CAAGCCATCTTCTTCTGCTGTTTGCCTACTTTGCTCATGGAAGCATTCGCTCTGCAGGTCATGACAGCGATGTTTCATCATCGATCCTATCGCACGGTCGTGATGGTGCGCGGCGGCTTGATCCTTCTGATCTATGATCATACCCTGAGCTTGAATATTTCGGCTCCTTCCAAGGGTGATTCGTTGACTTTGATTAATGCTGACATCGAGCGCATTGGGGCGGGGCTTCGGAGCTTCCATGAAACGTGGGCAAGCTTGCTCGAGATCGGTCTGTCGTTGTGGTTACTGGATATCCAGATTGGCGTTTCAACCGTGGCTGCCGCCGCGGTTGTCCTAGGTATATAGCATCTGCGTTTGATGTCTTCTCCATTTCTACCTCCTCTGTCCCTTCTCTCTGGATCGATTCGTGCCACAAAACGGCTAATCATGATGACTGACTGCACAGCGTGCCTCCTCATCAGCGGCAAAGTCAGCGGGTATATGGGTGAGCGCCAGAAGCTATGGCTTGAGGCGATGCAAACCCGGATCACTACGACCGTCGCAGCGATCAACTCCATCAAAGGGATCAAAGCGACCGGTGCGACCAATATCCTCCAGTCCGTGATCACTCAACTGCGGACGTATGAGATCAAAAGCTCTATCAAATTCCGCGAAGTGCTAGTCATGCTGGTGACGTTATGTAGGTGCTAGAACCCTCTCGACCTATCTCTACCACTTCGAGGTCTGCTTCTAAGCTTTGCCTCCTCTAGCGTATCTGGCAACCACCATGGCACCACCGTTTTCTTTTGGCACCTACAGCATTCTCGCCATGTTGCGAGATACCACCCCCCTGACCGCTGCTACCGCATACACCTCCCTGACCCTTCTTTCTCTTTTGTGCCAGGCCGTGGCCAGCTGCATCGACGCTCTGATGGGACTGGTTCAGGCATTGACCAGTCTGGAACGGATCCGGGCGTATCTGGCGTTGGAGGCCGGCATTCCGCTGCCCGACGACAGCCGCAGCACGACCGATTCACATATTAGTGAACCGTCGCCCGCGGAATCCACGCGCTCGTCGGAGAGTGACAACGAGAAGGCCATGGTGAGAGACACCGTATCGAGGAAGATTGACCCGAATGCGATGATTCAGTTACGCAACTGTTCGGCGAGCTGGGAGCGATTCTCCAAGCCGGTGATTCAGAATGTGGATGCCACCATCCCACGGGGTTCGTTTGTGATGGTGATCGGGCCAATCGCATCGGGCAAGTCGAGCCTGTTACACACGATTCTCGGCGAAATTCCCCATAAAACGGGCACAGTCGTCGTCCAGGACGTCGAAGTGGCGTTCTGCGGCCAGACCCCGTGGTTGGTGAACACGACCATCCAGAACAATATTCTCGGGCAGACTCCGCTCGACCACCAGTGGTACAACACCGTCGTCAGGGCTTGCATGTTAGATCGGGACTTCACGCAACTCCCCGGGGGGGACAGCGCAACGATTGGCAGCAAAGGAATCATGTTGAGTGGGGGTCAGAAAGGCCGTCTGGTACATCCACCCGGAGTTTCATTACATACTTGGTTCTGATCTCGTGGCAGGCATTGGCACGAGCACTTTACGCGAGAAAGCCGCTGGTCATTCTGGACGACGTGTTTGCCGGTTTGGACGCCAAAACGGAGCAACATGTCTTTGCGGCGCTCTTTGGACCCGAAGGTCTGTTGCGACAGGAGGGGACGACGACGGTCCTGGCCACGAACTCCAGTAGGTGGCGGTGTGAATTGGGCCCATAAGGTCCCTACCGGCTGACAGTTCTCTGCTAGTTCGCTACATCTCCCTCTCCGATTATATCCTTGTGTTAGGGCCAGGCGGCACAGTCGTCGAGCAAGGCGTCTATTCGGAGCTGGTTCACTCGGGAGGATATCTGGCGAGCCTGACTCCGAAAGAGGGACGCAATGAACAGGTCCATCGCCAGACTGACAATCAGGATCCTGCACTCACTGACACGGCTCTTCGCAATGCGAACTTGAATGCTGATAACCTGCCCGCCAGTGACCTGGCCATTTACAAGTTCTACGTGGACCAGACGGGGCGCGTATCATTCTGTGTCTTCTTCGTGCTGTGCTCTGGCTTCGTAGTTGGCTTGCTGTTCTCCCGTAAGTGATCGTATAACCTCTTTCTCTCTCCTTTCCTGTACTCATACTCACTGCGAGACAAATGCCTGCAGAAGTCTGGATCAAGTTCTGGGTCGAGGCCAACGCTAGAAAAGCCAACGATCGACTAGGGTATTACCTTGGATTATACGCACTGTGGTCGGTCTTGGCCATCTTGCTCTTCCTGGGTGCATGCTTGTAAGTTCTTCGCAATGCAAAGGCCTCGAATTCCATAGAGACGAAGATTAATATCAATCGAACCGCAGCCAACTTATGCTCGTCATGGTCCCGAAAACCGCCAAAGGATTCCACGATCGTCTCCTCAAAACAGTGCTCAGGTTGAGTTTTACTTGGTCGGTCGGTTTCAAAGAAGAGCAAGGTGGCTGATTTGTCGCTCTAGGGCACCATTGGGATTCTTCTCCGTCACCGACAGCGGAGAGATCACCAACCGATTCAGCCAAGATCTCGAACTGGTGGACATGGAACTCCCGCGATCGCTCATCGGCACGATGATGGCGCTTGTTCTATGCATCGGCGAATTGGTGGTAGTCGTGTATAGCTCTCACTACGTCGCCGCCACGGTGCCCTTCCTGATTGGGCTGCTGTACCTGGTGCAGACCTTCTATCTCAAGACCTCGCGACAACTGCGGATCCTCGAGATCGAAGCCCGGGCGCCTCTGCTGTCTCATTTCATGGAAACCCTGCAAGGACTGAGCTGTATCCGTGCATTTGGCTGGACGCGGTCCTATACCGCGCAGAATGATCGGCTGCTCGGGACCGCCCAGCAGTCGTTATATTTGCTCTACTGTGCTCAGCTGTGGCTCACGCTCGTCTTGGATATGATTGTGGCGGTCTTAGCCATCATCCTGGTCAGCATTGCGGTCACGACCCGGACGTCGACGGGTGCATCCATTGGTCTGGCGCTGGTCAATGTGGTGGCGTTCGGCGCCAACCTGAAGGGCCTCGTGTACAACTGGACCGCCTTGGAGATCGCCATGGGGGCCATTGCCCGCATCAGAGATTTCACCTCGAACACCCCGTCTGAAGAACAATCGGGTTCAAGTGCGCCTCCGCCCCCGGATTGGCCGCAGCAAGGCCTCATCAGGTTCCATGACGTCTCAGCAGCCTATAAGTGAGCGATCAGTTGAGATTTGGGCTCCCAAGTAAAGACTAACTCTTTCTTGACAGCTCTGAGTCCCCACCCGTGCTGAAGAATGTCTCTCTGGAAGTCCAGCCGGGACAGAAACTCGCGATTTGCGGCCGAACTGGCAGGTACGCATCCTTGTGCTGAGCATTAACACCATCTGGACCGTTATTACGAGTGCCTTCGCTGACCACAGCCATCAGTGGTAAGAGCTCCCTCGTAGGGTCGCTGTTGCAACTCCTGGACCTGCGCAGCGGCACGATCGAAATCGACGGCGTGGACATCTCCCCTCTCGCCCGGCAGGTCGTTCGGTCGAGGCTGATCACCCTGCCCCAGGAGCCGTTCTTCTATCACGGCACGATCCGGGAGAACCTCGACATTGGCGGGCAACACTCGGATGAGGACTTGTATGAGATCCTGGCCAGACTCGGACTGCAGGAGCTCATAGTCCGGAAAGGGGGCTTGGACGTTTTGATGAGCGAGGACATGCTCTCCCACGGCCAGAGGCAGCTTCTGTGCGTTGTCCGGGCGTCGCTGCGGACGTCGAAGATCCTCATTCTGGATGAGGCGACAAGCAGGTAAGGCCTGACCTGTTGCCGGGACTTTGCTTTTTCTGCCTGTTCTCTTTTTATTTTTTTTATTTTTTTTTATTTTTTTTCTTTTTCCTAAACTCAAGACTAATATCCCTCGTGTTCAATCACGCAGTGTCGATCAGGAGACGGAGGCCCTCATCCTTGATGTACTTCGTGAGCGATTTCGCGACCATACCGTGGTGTGCATCGCGCATCGACTCAACACGATCCTGGATTACGATCAGGTCATCGTGTTGGACCAAGGTCGCGTTGTGGAATGTGGACACCCAGCCACTTTGGCGGCGCAGCCGTCCGTATTTGCAGAGCTTCTTCGCGCGACCGGCGAGCATTCCATGTCAGAGCATTAGACATGTATCGACACACTCATCTCACTGCTGTTCGTCAACCTTGGGGTCCTGCGGTCCCCTATGCGTGTCCCAGGACTGACGCTACCCCGGCCTGATGCTTCGGGACGACTGTTTCTACTATTCTCTCAATCACAACTAGGGAGAAGTAGTGGCTGGCAAAACGCAATAAAAGTTTAAATCAGCGCTTCATCCAGTTAGATTGCAGAAGCGCTTTCGTAGCAAATTGCATAGATATTGGGTATTGAGAACCGACATGGTTGACCGTCAAGTATCATTACCGCAGGCGCAAGAGCCTCTTTTTCAAAGGGGGAGCATACCGACATAGTCCGGCGACTCTTCATGGTCAACTCAGTTCCTCCAGACCATGTAGCATGCAGTAGCCTGTCACTGAGGCTCTTAGAGGTAGCATAAGTAACTGCTTGGGGGCCCTTGTCAATTGCATAACTCAAATCCGTGTCAGAGACGAGGGGACGTGTATCTTGTCGGAGACGTGGATGTGTCATTTGAGATCTGAGCTAAGGCCTGGGACAAGTACTGAAGATCATTAACGACAACCCTGTCCCCGAGGGATATGCTCACCGCGGAAAGGTTGCTTGATTGAGGCTTGTTTTTCACTACTGTAACTAATGTTGCAATGATATCTACGCAGTTAATCTCTGACTTCCACTACAGACATCTTCCATTCCATTTTGCACTCTGTGGTTCCTTGGAAATGATTGGAATATAGTAGATATATTCATCTAGGCTGACACAGCCTCATGGCTGATCCCAGTCAGTTAATAGAATCCATTACAGCGAAAGCACACTCTTTCCCCCGTCGGAGGTGATGCGCTGCCGAACCCTAATTCGCAGGTGTTCCGCACCTAATCGGTGAAACTTCAGGTCGCCAGCCTCGGAGGCGCTCGCCTTTATGATAGCACTGGGCGAGAAAAGGAGCGCCTCGCCGACTTGAAGGTCCACAATCTGATTGAGCAGGGAGACGTGGGATGGGACGCTGGGGTCGTCGGGGTCGCTCCGGTGGGGTTCCTCGGCGGCGCCGGCGAGATGTCTGTGCAAGACCTTCAGCCAGTCCGGGGACGTGAACCGGTGGACGATCGTCGTGGAGCACAGACTGAGAAGGGTCGCTGAGATCGTGGGCTCCTGAGTGGAGATGATCATGCGGATCCCGAGGTGGCGCTGCAGCCGGACAGCCGACAGAAGGGTGTCGGTGAATTTGCGGGCTTCGATTGAGGCGTTCATATACTACGGTCAATTAGTCATTAACTTATTCGAATTGCAAAGAAGTACATCAAGGGAAATGACGGAGATAACAACAACTGGGGGGAGGCGAGTGACCTTATGGGCCTCATCTAACCCAACCACCCGCGCCGTTTCCGGGGCCTGCTCGAGGAAGATGGTCAAGCAGACATTGAACAATGCACACGCCGTTTCGGGCGAGATGCACGGACATGACAAATCGACGATTGTGAGACGGCGCGCCTATCTCCAGCCTCATGTTACTGATACTGCACTCGGAAAACATGAAAAAGAGCCAGCTTAGACAAACCTTCGGCTTCCAGTCAGACCCTCGAGACATCCTCTGCGGCGCCAACCACGCATTCCTAGATGGTGTCTGCGGCATAAAGCTCTCCAAAGTGTCGAGCCGCTGTTTGAGGGGTTCCAGCTGTGGGGGAGTCAGACCCGAGCTCATGACCCTCCTTCGAAATTCCTGGTAGTTGAACTCGACATTCGTGGCCTGCTGTACAATCCGCAGCTCCCGAAGAATGCGCTGGACGGTATGCATATACAGCGGGATGGGACCGCTTTCCTGACCGACTGCCATGAGATCCAGCATCCGCTGCGTGTTGAGGTTGCTCTGGTCAATCTGCAAGGCAGCCACCTCAATGTCGAATCTCGAGTAAGAACACTTCCAGAACCAAAGTCAGCGTAGGGACGAAATATCGAATATCACATGTGAAGGAACATGTCTTGATTGTGTGCAAGTTCGTCGGGGAACACAGTACGCGCACCTCGACGTCGTCGTGCGAGGAGAGGAAGGCCGCCTCGCATGGTGAGCCAGCCCTATCGCTGATGAATGTATCATAATGGAACACCAGACCTGTCAAGGGACTGAACAAGTTCCCAGCCTTGGACGCGATGAGGCAGTTTTCCAGGATACAAGACAGGGTGTGGCTCTTCCGGAGCCCTGGGCGCCGCAAATGAATGTACTTGATGGAGGGCTGATGTTGAAAAACATGCGACGATCATCATCAGCCTCGGGGTCTTTCCTGTCCTCAATGATTCCTGCTAGCAGACCGTACTGCGTCGCCTGGGGTGTGCCCTCGGGGTTTGTTTCCCGCTTGAACGCACAACTCGTCACGAGAGGGGCCAGGTACTCTTCTCCAAGCTCCTGTGATGGATCCGTGGATCCGAGGAGCTTGGAGTGGTATTCGAGGATCTCAGTCTCGAAAACAGGATGTTCAGCAGCGCCTTGGGGCGTTGCTGAACGGGTAGGCTCGGATGAAAGGTGATTCTCCGTGACAGCATGATTGGATTGTGCATTCATTCTGCGTCTCAAGACCTCGTATTGCAAAAACGAAAACCGAGGCCTTGCTTGTACTCAACACATCCAGCAGGGAGATTCAGTCCTACTTCTATACTCTTTGCGAAGCATATGAACGATGGGCTAGGCCTTCGGTCGAACTGACTGGTGACAAGAAATGGATTCCAGCACCACTTCCATGTCGGCAACTGAAATTGTGAACCCATGGTCGCAGAGGGACTCTTGAATTGTCAATGATTCCTGGCCTCTGATCGCATTGTCCGCATGTTCTAGACCGAGTAGCAGGGCTTATTAGCACGGGTAGTTATGCACATATGACGAAAGCCCTGGAGGGGTCATAAGATTGCAGCGGGAGCTTGCACGGTACAACCGGGAAGACTGGTACGACTAGATAGTCCAATCCTATAGTATGGGGCTACGAGTCATTCAGTGCTGCCTGTTTCGCCGAATGTAGAGGATGGCTATTATTAGTATGGAAGCTTCGAGTTCACCAAGGGTAACGTGTGGAGACAACTCTTCATGCCTCAGGCTGCCCCTCTTTGCAACCCTAGCTATACCTCTGTTGAAGGGGTTCTTGAGCCCATCTATCTCTCGTTGCTGCATATCCTCGAGTCTACCCTACGTAAGCTATTTGCATGTCACATAGCCGTGTTTCTCGGTCGGATTTGGCATACAGAATATTAGCCAAGACGAGAGAATCCTTTCTACCGTCCTATGGCTGGGGCTAAACGAGAACCACAGGGCTACATCAGCTACACAATAATGAATCTTTGTAACTCTATCCAGAGGCTCATCTAGCCCTCTCACTCAGTGCCATAGGTAGTAACTGTCATGCACCTCACCCCCCTGCAATTTCATCGACTCCAGCTCATCTAGCTTCGGTTCAAGGTGAAGGCCACCGTACGGGAACACTTGGGAGGTTGAACGGATTTCAGTGCGGATAGGCAAGCAGTAAGGACTGTAAGTACACAGTAGGCTATGAAAGCTGGTGCTGTAGTAATGGGTCAATTTAAGTGTAGGTAAAGATTCTCGGCCGCGGTCTATTGTTCACCAATCGCGTGCAGGCTTGAAATGATGTGGTATCTCTCTGGCTGGTGAAGAAGTTCTTTTTGGGTTTTGGTTGTTGTCCCAGATATATATCCTCAGATCCAGCATGAGCCCACAAAATCACATTTACTTGCGAGAACTAGTCTCCGCCGTTCAGCCATGGGGGCATTTTTACCCTCATAAATACACAACACAGCATATAATCAGCAAACTCTACGCTAAAACATGCTGTACCTCCTCTATAATGTTATATGATTCAGAACGAACTTCATCAATGAGTGCAGGATATAGATTAAATACATTCGAAAGCAGGCACATACGACCACAGGGTGTGGAAAACAGGGCTTCCCGTCCGCTCAGCCGTACTTAAGCCACACGCCGGGAGGTTAGTAGTTGGGTGGGTGACCACCAGCGAATCCCTTCTGTTGTATGTTTTTGCTCCTTGACCAACCAGTCTTTTTTCACCGGCCGGCTAATTCAAGGCGTCGATTTATTCTAGAACAAAGCAGTTGTGGAGGGGGAGGGAATTAATGCCAACCGCGGATGCCGGCCCGCCAGCTCTAAACCTGCCGAAGATACTCCTAGACCTTTTCCCAAAAAGAAGAGCAAAAAAGAAAAAGGGAAAGAAAAAAAAAAAAAAAAAGAGGAAAAAAAAGAGAAGGAGAACACAGAGACAAGTAATGTGATTATCGAGTACTGCCGCTATGCTGCTGGTCTAGCCCACCATTTCGCCTATCTTACGGCCGACGCGACCGCATACGTGACCAGCACAGCCGAACAAGTCCCCAGCTTACTGTAACTGATATAGACCATAACTAAGAACTAATCAACGCTCCACACGCCATGGACATAGGCTGTCATCAGGCGTTGTCTAGTCGCAAGCTCCTATTATGCGTTACCAATCTACTCCAGCTCGCGAGGTGTCTTCGAGCCTGTTCTCGATCCAAGTACAGTACTGCAGATCGAGTTTTATTCTAGTTTGCGAAGCTAGTGCTTCGCAACCTTACAAGTGGCTCGGCTCTAAGGGCGACGAACACTGACTCGCAGAAAATCTTGCTAACAATAAGCATTTTGTGTTCTAGCCCCTCTCAAAGGAACGTGTTTATCAATCACCCCAGCTGTCTTGAAAGGGAAAAAGGTACCCGGGGCCCGGGGCGAGTTCCGGGGGCCCGCCCTAGCCGTAGAATTTCAACTGTAGGTCTTAGTCAGGATATCGATGTTTACATGAGATTAGACGTATAGGCAGGTTCTCCCTCCACTTTTCTCCCCCAGCTGAGGAGGAAAAGGACAGAAGAAAAAAAAGTAGGCAAAAGCACAAGGACACGCCCACGTATGTGTTTGTGTGCATTTGCTCCGCATCCGGGAGATTGCAAGGCACGGTATGGCGTACTTTTGAAAATGTATACTTCGATCCGATTCCACAGCACCGGTCTCTGGCATCCGGCTATGGACTGGTGGGAAGACATAATGCAGTTCCCAGCACGATTGAGCTCTTGGCCTAGACTCATAAGTAGGCTAATTTTGAGGCTGCCCAACCAACCAGTCGTCCAGGCAGCACGTTCGGCCGGAATGAGTCACGGAGGCAGACCATGGAGCCTACCGCTTGACTCCCTTGTAAAGTGCGGTGTGGTCTAGCGTACCTGATACCTGACGTGAGGGGATGCATACACATGCATGTTTTCTGGATAACAGATTGAATCGGCTGATGCTGGGAGGTGACAAGCGCACAGCTAGGCTTGCGCTGTTCCCTCGAACACAGTCTTAGCTCACATCATTCTCAGCCGCCTTGGACAATCTTAGGTCACTTCATAGGCGAGATCGTTCGAAACTCCAGTCTACTAACTTACTAGTCAGGGGTTCAAGAACACACTCGGATTCGGGCCCGGCTTCGTCTCTGCCAGCGTTAGACTTTATGTCCACAGTCAACGCTCCGAGACTCCTCTTGTGTACTATTTTCTGCATTTCCTTATTTTTCTCATTCTCTTGCTTCTTGGTTCTCTCCTTCCTATTTCGCTATTCTTTCATTTCTTCTTCTTTTCCTTATCTCTAGGTACCTATCGCTTTTTTTCCCACTTATCCTTCGCGGTGCGGTTAGGGCCGCTTATTAGTGCCGCCTAACAAGCGGTGTGATCGTGTACCCCGCAAATGACAGCCAAAACAAAACCAAATAAAATGATGATCAGCACTACACTCAAGAACTGACCATTGTAGCATCATTCCACATGCCTGTAATATGTTGCTAATAAAGAACAACAATAACAACCTTATTGTATAATCAATACATCTGTCTGTGTTGCACCTACGGGCGCAATTCCCGCCTGTTAGCGTCTAGGGACATCTGAGAGAAAGAAAGAACAAAGAGACTAAGTAGTTCCTCATGATTATCTATAATAGTGAGTAGTACCAGTATACAGTATTCAATGTAATCAAGTTTTACTGTATCGGGGCGTGGGAACCCTATGTGTTGTATTGGAAAGCACAAGCCAGTCGGGGGATGGTCATTAAGGTCAAGTAAGCAGTCAGGGCTTACGGAGGTGGTCGAGAAAACAGCAAAAGAAAAAAAAGCACGCTCAAAGTCCAGTAAACTTCAAAGTCAAAGTAGCTAGAGGTAGATGACACCATTCAAGCTAGGTTCCCAGCTGAATGGAAACGCGATTTTCACGCGTATGAGCAAGCCCATGATTACCACTGCCAGACATCCCCAGATGGGCTCGGGGCTGTGTGGATTGGTGCCTAGTTGTTTGGCTTGCATGTTGCCCAGGTCTTCTCGTCGCGCGAACCCTCGCCAGCGCATAGAGTCTCGGGGCCCTCGGTTCGAATGAATCTTCTAACATTTTTCGATTCCTGTTGGGGTTTACGCATCAATGATCAGTCATTCATCAGCACCCCACATCACCTTGAATACTTGATCACTTGTCAGATTCCGCCTCATTGGTGCAACCTCATGGGCTCTGATGAGCTATCATATCCCATCATTACTAGTGCGATACCTAGTGGCAATATTCGTGCCAATCATCATCACGTTGCCCCTATATCTGGCACTACATGCGACCTTTGTCTTGGAATTGACCGTCCGCAAGACATGTCGAGCGGTGGCAGAGTGGCCAACTGGCGACGAGCTGGTAAGGCGCTGGTCCGACAACCTTCCTTGTGACAAATGCCTTTTTATATGAGCACGAGGTTAAGCAGTTCTCTCTTATTTCCCTCCCCCTCCCTTCATTTAGCGTAGACCTTCCGAGAGCTCTGGATGCGTGAGGAAAAGAGGCCACCCCATGGTTTGGAAGCATCACAGCCTGACAAGCCACATAGCACGATTGTGGCCTGCTTGTGGTAACTTATGCCATTAGTAGAGCCACAGCGACCATTGAGGTACTGTACATAAATGCGAAACAGATCGACAGCCATAGCAACGAATACTAGCAGGGAAGAGCTTGATATCTATCCTTTTCTGCCCACTCCTACCTCTTCCTATCTCGACTCAGCTCGCCCCGTTTCGCCCCCTCCCCACCTTTCCCTCAAGGTTTAAAGTGTATACTAACACGTTTCTGATTAGATCATGCCGTAGTACGTAGGTTAGCGTACAACAAACTCGGATTGTTCCTGGATTTTTCTGTTTCCGGCTTGATGGCAAGACACGTCGCTTATCCTCGTCAACTTAGGAGTCATAGCGAACAGCACCGGTCGGCAAAGCAAGGTAGAGGAAATTGCTGCTCTGCAGCAGGACAAACTGGGAGGTATTTTTCTTCTCTATTGATGTCCATACCTGAACAGATGAACAGAGGTCGACAGAATGGATAGAGGTGGACGAAGATGGATATATAAGAAGATAACTCCATACATTTCAAGAGATTTCTTGAATGTTCGAGTTGACACCCTTCTTCCTTCTCAAGCAGTATCACATTTCTTATACTAGGCCGAATCGTGCGCCGAACCCAGGCCCCTATACACCCACACCAAGGGCACGATGAGCCATGGAAGCAGCCACTATGCCTTTCAATCTGTGACAATTATGCATGGCCTGAGACCTACAGATGCTCATGCAGGCGAAGAAGAGGTGTGTCTATAGCATCGTCATATATCCCTTACCGTTTCTCTTCTCTGCCCCCCGCAAGCACATCTACTCTATTCTCCTCGAGCAAAGAAAGACTTATACTTATTCGATGACTCTGCCCAGGTCCGACCGATCCTTCTCCGACCAACCCTTCAAAACGATCCCAGCCTCGTCTACGGGCGTTCTCCACCTGCCGCTGCCCTCTTCAACAACCTCCTGCAGGCCGACTGGGCCTCCTTCGGTCTCCCACGCGAGAGCACAACCTTCCCCTTCCACGCTGGGATCGAGGCCGCCGAACAGCTGTACCGGACCTTGCATTTCCGATCAAGCCTACTCGGCCTGCTAAAAGTTTACGACGAATCCCTGACGGGCGGAGCGCTACGGGGTCTGCATGGCAGCGAAGCCCAAAAGCTGGCCTCGCAGAAGTTGGCAGGCACAGCAGCTACAGACTATGACACCCGAGCGACCGAATTGCTTTATAAGTGGGATGAGAAACTCACCATGACCAAAGCGGAGTTATGGCAGACCCTGGTGGAGATCTGCGGGGGACGTGAGGTCCTTCTGATGGACCCGGACCCGTCGGAGGAGCTCCGGCCGTGGCTGGGGCTGGTCATAGAGGCGTGTTGCCGCTTGGGGGGCGCGGTGGACTTGATCTACAGCCTCGTCGGCGCGCCCTGGTCCTTGGAGCGGACGCGTCGCGTTGCACAGCTCCAACACCTGATTCGCAGTGCTTTGGTGGCGCGCGATGAGCTTCATGCGGGCGGGGACGATAGTGATGTGAGCATGGCGGATGCGGATTGAGAGGCTTGTCGTCGAAGCTCCTCACGGAGCCAGCAGATGGGAACAAATGTTTTTCTATACGTTTTGGTGTATTATTAATGTGCTTTCTGGCCTTAACAGTGGATTTTTAATGGTATCTTATGTTTGGTCGATGAAATGGGCGTTGAACGGGCTGTTGACTGGTGGAGGAACTATGGAGGAAGACTAAGAAGTAGGGCAAGGCTGACGGCAAGGCTGACTGACATTTATGGACAAGGTAAACAAAAAATAAAGATAAACAGAAAGTAAACTAAAGAAAAAAATAAACAAAAGAAAACAACAAGCACGTGTAGGGTGCAAAAGCCGCCTGCCCTAGTCTGGGGCCCAGATAATAAATCGGCGACACGAACCATCGCACGGGGGAGCGATTGATCTCTACCGGACAAAGTGCTGTACAGGACGAAAGTCTTGTTCCAGAATTCTACATCTAAAAGTCCCACGCTGACTTGTATATTGAAGGTTATAGGAAAGATCCGATTGGTCTTCTAGGGGGGGATGCAAAGTGCAAGGTACTGTATGTAAATGTGTGAACCAAAGCTGATCAACTTTTCGCCACTCCGCCAAAGTAGAAACCGAACACGGATTGGTATGAGTCTGAGGTATCGATCTGGATGACTTGGTCAAAAGTACTGTACTATAAAAGTACTGTGCTGTACAGCCCAATGTTACCGAGAAGGGGTTAGTAAAGTACAATACTTACCCAAAACAGACAGGGCGGCTGCACTCAGGACGAGCACAACGTACGTGGACGACACAGCACAACACTAGCAATGGGACTGTGTATATATCTACCGTACTTTGCAGGGCTTGCAGATTCGCTGCCTTGGTGACCTAGATCAGAAGAAGGCGTAGTGTCATACACACAATACGCGTTCTTACGCACGGGTTGGAGCGGGCTCCCAAGTTGGGTTATGCGCATCAACAGCTAGGCTTACTGTGGCGCAGCCAGCTGACTACGGTACTTGGCTTTCCACAACTCAGCTCAACCGGCGGCACAAAAAAAATAATACAGCTACGCAGGAGAACCGAGAGGTGTCAGGGAGCTGGTGTAGTATTAGTGGTTGCGGAAGATCGAAGCCCGCTTGGCCTCAGTCAAGTCACATAACTATGATTTTCAGGGCAATTGGAAACTTAGAATATTTCAGGCCGAAGATATTTTTACATTAAGGATTTGTATTACAAAATCTTTATATAATTTCAATATTAGGGTCAGGTTTGAAAAAAAAGCGGTCCGTTGGGCGGTGAAGCTATAATGTCTTTAAAGTACTATAGTTGATGCGGGGGGGAACACGCGTTGTTTAGATCCTTGAGGGGGGTGAGCAGGTTAAGGTGGCGCGCGCTTAAGTGGTTGGTCAGGCAGCAATGTGATTAAGACGAGTAGCCCGCCGTAAGCACGCTTCAAGTTGTGTCTGGGAAATCCCCATTGCGGAAGCATCATTGAATTTCTCAGAATTCCTTCGTCCTATGGACTTTCTTGCCAACATCTAGTTTCCAACCACCATGATTGAATGTCAGGCACGCATCTAATCCAAGCCATATCTCAACAATCGGGATACTTGACATTGTAGATTGATGGCACGAGAATGTGACATCATGAACAGCATACCACTCTGAAAGCTCCCACAAATACATGACCACCTCCCGTGACATCCTCCCACAAAAGCTCAACACCAAACTCATTGCTTTCTCCAATCCTCCTGTCCTTACCCTTGCAGCGCCCTAAATCTCCTCTTCGAAGTCCTCGTCCTCTTCGAAGTCCTCATCCTCCTCCACGCCCAGATCGATTTGTTCCGCCTCGTCCTCCACTCCCTCGTTACTATCAGAGTACTCTTCCTGCTCCTCAAAACTCACAGTCTTCCCAGACGAAGGGAGAAAACTGTCTGTGGTCTTGCGGGTATCGGACTCCACGAAGAATGGGTGGTCAGAACGCAGCCTCCGGCCTTGACAAACATAGCCCATCGGCGTATGGGATATATCTTGGCCTTGCCGTCTCAACGCCAGCCACTCCTGCAGGAAGGCCATGTTGAGTGACGACCCTTCCGCAGGAGTCACCGCGCTACCGGCCACATCGTCCCATTCGAGAGCCAGGCGGTCCAGGATCTCTTCGTACTCACGGGGGCCGAAATAGAGTCTTCCAGCGAAGATGCCAACCTCGAACGCCAGGAAGGCGGGCACATAGTTTGCGACCGGGAGAGGGGGGACGGTGTAGTAGTCAAGGTTGCTGAAGTGCTGCATGCGCTTGGTGACCGGCGCTGCGTAGGTCATGAGGTGCATCGATGGTGCTGCCTCAGTGCGGAGGATGGGAATCAGGTCTTCGGCTTCTTCGGGGGTGACCACAATTGCCATCTCAGTTTTGATGTTGCAAAGTAGCCAGTTCACCGGGCGCTGAGGGAGTTACATCTGTCAGCACATGGAGGCTTGATCGTTAGTCATGAGTAACGTACCGTCAGTTCATCCATCTTTTCTCCAGGCTTCAGCTTGACCGTCTTGGTGAACTCCACCGATACGTATAGATGCGGCAGGCTCGGAACCACCTGGTCTTTATACTTGCCACCTAGTTCAGTTGCAAGTATCATACTCTCCGCGGTCACATACCCCACACCCTCGAGGGAACCAGTCTTCCCAAACTGCGATAGGGATTGATGCAAGCCGGGGTAAATGTACGGCTTCAGCAACTTAGGACGCTCAACCTCCCGCTCTTCTTCAACCTCGTAAGCAACCTCTCGTTCTTGCTCGACTTCTTCTTGCGCTGAACTGGCGATGGCCGAATGGTGGATATCTTTGCCTTCCGTGCGTCGCTGTCGCAGAACTTCAATGAAGCTGGCGGCTCGGCCCGAATATGTGAAATCATTCGACGAATCCGAGTCTCCATCGCTCGCATCGGTGGGCTCCGGCTTGTACAGTTGCTCCAGAGACTGCTGCTCGGGCTGCTGCAGGATCCCCATGTAGTACCTCCGCTGATGATGGTTCTTAATGAAGTTAGGGTAGTCTTCAGCGGCCTGAATACGGCGACAGAAGTCGACGCCTTGCGCATTGTAGAGCGGCTCGAGATCCCTGTTACTGGCACAGGTCTGGTGCAATAGCCAGTACACAACATCGGAGGAGTCGAGTTGCTCGTCCTGGTGTTTGCCGCAGACGTCAAGAATATTATGATGCACTTGTGGAGGTGCGATGAAAACCACAGACTGCGTTGTCCCGAGCTGTCGGAGCCTCATGGCTGCCTGCACAATATGGTCCTTCGTCTGATTGATACCCAAGGTAAGGGCTCCCCGAGCATCTGCCGGGAGTTTCAGATCTGTACCTCGAGTATGTGCTTGATCGAGATAGATTAAGCAGTCCGTCATATCATCCGCATACGGAGTTGCGATCAGTGGTAGACACTTTCCTGTTCGTGAGCAAACCTGCGGCTGATTATCCGGCCCAAAGTAAACCGCAGCTTGGGCATCATTGTCATGCATCAACCATGTCTTTACCAGGCTCAGATTGTCCATCTCGAGGACAAAAGCGCCTGCGTCAATCAAGGTGCGGACTTTGGTTTTGGTCAAGCTACACAGCAGCTCTGTTTCAGACATACGCTTTCCTTTGAAGACCGCAGCTCGATACTCCCTGTTCCTTCGCTGGAGCAGGTAGGTGAGGACCTCCGCGTTCGTATGCGACAGTTCGGGAAGATCGTGTTGTTCCATCGTTAGGGGTAGCAATCTGCGGTTGTCGTTGGTCCCACTAAAGCCGGTGGTTAGGCCCGGTTTTACAGTCGTTGTACCGTCAGAGGTGTCGGGAGAGTTCCTGAAATAAGGCACGTCCCATCCTGACATCTGAAGCTTGATAGCAAACTGCTTTGCGTGCACAGGAAAGACAAAGTTCTTCAGATAGTAGTTGATCACCGTCGTCGAAAACCGTAGATGCTGCCAGATCATAAAACCCTGATCATAATCGTTCACGTTGATTAGATTCCAGTGTCGTAAGCTTTCTGGCATAATTGCTGATGTCTCCGTCCAGCGGTCATATTCGGTAGCCGGATCATCCGCTCTGAGAACAGCCTCCAAGCACTGTCGACATTGCTCCTGGCTCAGACCCTCGTGATAGAATGCAAGGCAGGTGAATAGAATGGCCACATCTGGGTGACCCCACTCCGCTTGGTTCGATGGAACACCCTTGGCATGGAATGGCACGGCAATTGGGTCTCGGTCAGGATGCAAGCTGTATTGCACATTCCATCTCTTCTTCAGACATAGCAGCAGGATCTGATGAACCAGCAGGCCTCGCAGCAGATACATTCTCTTAAGCGTCTGAGGCTTATCCTCGAAGATCTGCTGGAGACTCTCGGTGACCGAGTCATCAACGGCCGGGTCTGAAAGAAACATGCGCACGGCCTCAATCTCAGCGGCGCCGCGACCTTGCATCGGCAAGATTCCACCCCGACCAGTACAAGCATCGTTCACAACTCTTTTCATCAGAGCCAACTCAACGTCGTTTCTCAACAAATATGCGATCGGAAATGCGACATCTTCCCTTTCGATCACATCAATGCTGCGCGGGAACTCCCGTGCTAAGTCTCGTAGATGATCCGCGACCAACCCTAACACATTCATCGTGACCTCCCAGCGATCGGGGTATCCATCGACAACAAGCTGAGAGCCGCTGGGATAAATGAGCTGTGTCTTGACCGCGAGGGTGAAATCACATTCATCGAGAATATCCCGGCCATGTCGATCGATCCATTTTTGGATCGCTACCATTTCAGTAGCCTCGGCGATCTTGACATCGGAAACTCGCTGAAGACCACTCAACTTGAAGGACAACGCATGTTCGGGAACACCCAAGATGATACCGGATTGACGAAGTGTGCTCTCATGTAATCTCCGAAACTCTGATATCACTTGCGGCGTTGTTGGCGTTCGTCGGGAGAACGGGATATGCAGCACTTCTCGACCAGCAAGACCTCCGATATGTGTCTGTAAAATCTGAGCCGTCTGGGTGAGAAGCGCACTTGGCACGAGCAACCGAGCGAGAATCTTGCCATTGGCCAACGCGCATGCCACCATCGGCGTGATCACTGAAGTCTTTCCTTGTCCCATGTTCATCTGTAGAACAGAATTCGAGCCCGAGGTTGGAGCGATCATTTCAAGAGCAACCGTTACCTGTTCCTGCCGTATCTGCATATTCGCATCGATTTCAACGAGAATCCAGTCCGAGTATTTCATGTAATTCCACACCGCATGGTCCTTCTGACAGTACTCTTGATCGAGCCGGCTGTCATCACGTCTAGCGAAGAATTCTCTGATCCGCAACAGGCGTTGTAGCTTGACGATCTCGAGCGCGTATGATATAATGGCTTCTTTCATTCGCGGCCCGAACCGTACGAGCGACCCCCTAAGCTGCTGCAAGATAGTGACCGTGGTGATGCATGGTGCGATATTGCCTTTCAGCAACCAATACAGTCTCGAATCCCCAGCTAGAAGAGCTGAACAAATCTGCCGATAGTGAGAGTCCACCACATCCTGCGTATCTCGAATCTCCTCGTTGTATCTCTTGAGCCCTTTCCAGTAGGACACTTCGGGTGATCGGGACTTGCTCGTTTTCTGGTCTTTATCCCTCAGCGCATGGATGCTCACTTGCAAGTCTCGACCATATCTGGATTTCACAGGACAGTCCGAGTTGATCATGCTTCTCACTATGCTTTCAAGTTCAGCGATCTCTTCCGTAGACACTGACCGATCATCGCGTCTTCTCCGCCGGTTGGTGGGATGGTGGGGCTTCTTTTTCGCGCATTTCTGATGGTGGTGTTCAGCCTGCGCGAGCGGCGGGCCTGGTGTAGGGAGCAGGTCACGTCCGAGCTCAACTGCAACTCTTGGATGACTGCCAGAGCGCGATTCAAAGTACTCCACGTGTCCGCTTGCTGGTGAATCCTGTGGTCTGTTGGCTCTCACATGGCCGTGGGCATTCAATACCTTTTGTACTTCCTCGATATGGGCAAGAAGTTGCATGTTCTTGTAACGACGCGACCATACTGGCTTGATTAGGTCCAGGGCGTCCATCACGTTCACAAATTCTGACGAGAACCCATCGACTGAGGGCTCCAAGCAGGGCCATTGGGAAAGAATGAAGGTCACGAGGCGTTGACTTTCGCTATCACACTGAGACTCGTGTTCTTCCTTGGCCCTTTCATGTTCAGCCCTAGCTGCTGCTGTCAAGGTTGTGGTAGAATTTTTAGGCCTCTTGACCGGGGTCGGAGCTGTAAACTTGATCAACGCTGGTTCCACCAGCTCGAGAAGCAATCGAGAACCCGGCTTGCCGTTTTCGCGAACGTGGTCAAAGGCTTCATGGTAGGGTAGTCTTATCTTCTTCAGCTCGTCCAAAGTGACAAAGGCTGCTAGGACACGAAGGGCTGTCATGCTGACATTCTGCGAATAGGCTATAAGACCGAGGTTGAACATCAAATAGTGTACATCACGCGTTTGACTCTCAGCGCAAAGCCGAACCAAGCGACCCCAATTGGCCGCAAGGTCAATCGATATGGCGGCCTCCACAGTGGAGGGAATGAACTTGCGGTCATAGCCCCCGACGTGGTCCCAGCGCTGTATGACATGAGCGAGATGATCCGTCGTGGCGATCTCCGAAGGCCGTTCTCGGAGCAGGGAGACAATCTCACGCACATTCTTCGCCCGCGTGGACGAACGATATCTAGCACGTGATACATATACCTCATCAGCGATTTCTTGCACTTTGTCCTCGTTCCATGTGTCCGATCGCTCGTACAAAGAGCGGCGCCCAAGAGCTCTATCTCGCAGATATACTTGACTCCCGCTAGTGTTGATTCCGCGAGGCGGGATACCTGGTTGGAAGAGAGAAAGTCTCTGTGACCTCTTCAGAATCGACTCGATGGTTGTCTGATACGCTTCATGCTGTATGGACACTGTCAGTTCCTTATTCCACCTCACCATCTGTTGGACCTTTTTTCCGGGAGGATAGTACTCCCGCACCGGCGTGAGCCCGGAGATTCCTCGTAACAGATCCACGATGTTGGACTCGAGAGGTCTCCACGGTAACGAGGAGGCGGACTTTAAACAAGCCAATGCCTCTTCTGTACCGGTACGCCCTGTCAGCGGGTCCGGAGAGACGAAGGAAGTGAATGCATGAAGCTGGGCTTTTGTGTAAAGAAGTAGTGGCTCGGCAGGGCAGTGAAGCCGACCGAGAACTCCGTCAATCTGATACCTCCCATAGTTCCCATTGTTCTCTTTCTTGACCAAAACATGTATGCCTTGGCGCTCGATTTTGATGCTGCCCACGGGAACAATGATACTGCGCTGTGAACGATTGTAGACATTTCGAAGTACTAGCATACTTTGGAGTCCATAAAGTGTACCAGCGTCTTGATTGGGGTCAATCTCTGCGCTCAATTGAGTGCACTGCAGGCGCTGTCTCTGGTTGACATAGAATCTGAGGTTCATTGCCTTCAACTCGACCGAGAGCATGGCTTGCGGCGGTTGATAGATTGTCAGCTCTGCGGCTTCTTCGAAATGAGAGAAAATGCTAGCTATCGTCATTGCGAGTTGAGAACGGGGGTCAATCAGATATGACTTGCGTCGGTTAGCCTGCTGGGTTCGGATGTTGATCTTCCAGTCGCCCGGCCTCTCTCTCCAGATTTGTGGTATACGCCTCGCTTGGAGGATTCCCGTTTTGATATTGATCCAGTGCACACAATCACGAAGTAAGGAGCATGGTAAGTCCGGTTTCGTGCCACTGCCAAACACAGACCGAGGAACATGCTCCAAAGTTTGGCTCTCCTTGCAGGCCCAGATCACGAGGTCCTGACCTCGGTAACCCAAGTGAACCTCATAGCCGTTCCTAGCCAACGCCAGTTTATAACTCATCCCGGGCAGACTCGAAGGGAAGGCACTGAGTCTCTCGTTGCCGAACAGTTCCTTGAGCACATCTGAGTTACGGATGTCGGCTGGGAGCTTCCCCAGAGGCTTGCCGTCGATCAAGAAGTGGCCTTCCAGGATGTGGAGCCGGCGATATTGATCTCGCTCTTCATCAGTACCGCAGGCTGTGGAATTTATCCAGCCATTTTCTTCTTGCTGCCAGATAGTATGTTGTCCCTCACGCGCACTGAACCATACTCTGTCGATGGCTGCATTCACGCTTGAGGGATACCACCTGACCGCGAACTGAATCACCTGGCACAGTCGATTTGACATCTTGATGTCGCGGACTAGCATCCTCCGAGTGAATGCATCGAAACTACTCGCATCTATGACCAGGCTTTCCTGCATGGAAAGTGTGGCTTCAATCCATGTTTGGGTGGAGGCCGCATCAATTGAGGCGCTAGTCGTTCGATCAAATGTGCGGCGACAGAGGAGAGCGGCCAAGAAGCAGTATCGCGCTGTTCTGTCCGCGACATCGACCTCGACAGCTTTGCGTGCTTCGTTGCGTAGGTGGTGGATCCAACGATGCGTCACACTGCGGATTTTTAGCAGCAGTTCGTTGGCGCATCTTGACACTTCATCACACCCCAGGCTGCACACTCGCATCGTCAAAGTCAGCATCGTTTCCATGTACATGACCTCACGCCAGTTCGAGGTGATCAACGAGACGTGTTGATCAATTTGTTGAATCAGTCGCTTGCAGAAGACGGCTTCGTGGAAGAAAGAATGTATGACTCTCAAAGATTCTCCCTGCTGCCAGGGGCCAGCCTGCAAGGCGAGATGCTGCAGAAGGGCCATTGTTTCGTGCGCGCTGAAATTGATGTTCGACGATCCGAGTTCAGAAAGGATCGAAATCCACCGACGTTGCTTGCCGGCCATCAAGCTCTGATGTGCGAGAAACTCATGGACGGTCACTGCAGAAGGACGCTTCCGTGATTCCGCAAGAGCTTCATATGACGAAGGCCCTGGACCGTCCGGAGCGAAACTTGATGAAGAGTATAGCTGTGCAAGGGGGAGATTCGATGGGAGGGCAAGGGCAAAGTGATGCGCAAATGTGAGTGTTTTTGGCAAGTCCCCTCCCCATACCTTGCGACCTTTATCATAGTACTTGAAGGTCAAACCCAACGGAAGCAGCACGCTTTCCTCGGCGACTGGTAATTGCCGCCATTTGTAATGGGTATCCAAGAACGACTTGGTAGGCGAGGCTAGAGAGAACCCTCCGCGGAGTGCATTCTCTCTGAAGTATCCGGAAAGATTCGCGTACTCACTCAGCAGCTTCATCGGTGCCATTGCATTCGGTGAGGCTAGTTTAGGACCAAATCGAACAATGAGATGCCACGTAGCACTGCGGTAGGCGGCAAATGCTTCGGGGATTTCCAACTCAAAAACAATGGCTCTTTTTTCGGCCATCTTTCCGTCGCAAGGCAGATACGCTTCATGAGCGCTGATCTCTAGACGTTTTCGACTTCGAAAGTAGTAGCAGTGACTGCAATCGCGGATATCATGAGTACCGTCAGGGTTCTTTCGCTGGTTACAGTCACTCGATGACAACTCGGTAGTCAAAGATTCGAACTCTCTATTCACTTTCTGGAGCTCTTTTAGCTTTCCCTGGCTTGAAGCCTGAGATGCATGTTCAATGGCTTCCTGTAGTTCTCTCAAGCTTTTCCCGACGTCGAGCTGCATGTATCGATCAGCAAAGCAACCCGGAGCCGGGTCTGCAAAGATTGACACGCTCGAGTCATCTACTGTCGCGCATCTTTCATGAAGATGGAGTTGAATCGCATGCAGACGGTCTAGGTCGGTTCGTCTAGAGAGGAGCAAGACATCAAGTAGCTCTGGGCTGAATACCGGATGGAACTCGAGAAGCAACGGATAGGCGACGGTCGCGTATTTGTCCATATAGACCCACAGCTCAAATATGTTCAAGATGAAGAGGCTGAATTGCTCCGGATCTCTGTCATAGGCGCCCACAACTCTTTGAAGATAGTCCTCGATTCTGTCGGCAATTTTAGTGCAAGCGCCGATGCTCTGAACTAGGCCAGCCGCTGGAGCCCTCCATTCACCGGAATCTATTGACTGCTCCAACTCAGCTAGGGATGAGTAAACCTTGAACAATGTGGTAAACTCGTCCGTCATATCTGCGCTCGCCTTGCTCGCCGGGTGGACAGGATTCGTGTTGCGGGACCTCGGATTAACATCATGAGGCTGTTGCAGGATATTGCGGAGATAGGATATGCTGTTGGGTAGACTTAGGTGCATCTCTGCTGCACCAGCCCTGAGTGGTAGCTTTGGTACTTTACGCAAGAAGTTCTTCTTAAAGTCATGCCACTCCTGCTGAATGCCACTGCTCGCAATCTCAATCTGCTCCGTGTAGAAAGGCTCCAGGTGGTTCGCGAGTCGGGTATAGGCAGCCTGTGACTCTGGGCATAGAGAATCCTTCATAGTTTCCAGCTTGGTGAGGCGACGGCAAAGTTTGGCCCTCAACCAGCTCCATTGCTCCGGGCCCACCGCGCGTGATTCCACGAGGTCTCTCAGTAGATCTGCTAGAAGTACACAGAGCAGGGACTTGTAGTAGACGCGAGCCAATTCACTGCCCAAGCGCAAGTACAGCAGGCGTTGGAGGCAGACACGAAGCACGAGCCAAAGAGGGCTACGCCGCCACGGTCGCTCCGCGTTGTTCCAGCATACATCGTCTTTGATGCGCTTGCGAAGGAGAACTGGCTGGGTTCGACGGCCATTCACGCCGAGTACTGTGATCAGAAAGTCGGTGATCAAGTCCGGATCCATGGTGTCTCTTGTTTCAGTCACCTTGACGCCCGCCTTTTGTGATTTTGGCGCAAACTCGTCGAGGGGCTCCGTACTGGCTCTCTCCAGGAATTCCCCGATATTCTCTTGGAGAGATGGCTTGTCAAATTCTGCCTTGTCTAGTGATATCGCCACCCCAGGGAAATCCCACTGTAGCGCACCGGGCGCCGCAATGGTGGGCTCGGCACTTGGTGAGGCTTCGAAGGCTTCGACGGTCACACTGGTATCGTCCCTGGCAGAGAAGTGCGTCAGAATCAAGGGGTCTTCCACCGGGGTCGAGAATGACTTACTGAGCTTGATGAAAAAGGAGGGCTGCGTTGTGTTCGACGACGTGCACGATGATAGGGTGGTCTGGGCTCAGCCTCTGGAACGCACTCATCAAAGCTGCCTTGTGGACCCTGCCATCGTTAATCGCACGACACTCTTTCAGGGTCTCATCAAGGCTTTTCCAGACAGTCGTTGTGTCATCTTCCGCATAGTGGCGAAGGTTTCTGACGGCCCTGCGTAGGCGTTCGATGAGGCCGTAGTCAACTTTCTGCGGCTCTGTGTCTGGACTTCCAGGAAGCTGGGGGGGTAAGGCGACATGGTGAAATATGTCGATGAGAGTGTTCTTTTCATACATGACAGGAAGTTGGGTCGTGATGGAACAATGATACAAGTAAAGACGACATGCGAAGAGACAAAAGAAAATGAAGGACTAGAATGGGGAAAGGGAAGGGGAGGGGGATGAGGATGAGGATGAAGATGAGGGCGAAGTTGGGGACGATGATGGGAATGGAAGTGTGGTCAAAGGTGACATTGTAGAATGGAAGTCAGAAGAAGACTGTGAGCTGTGAGCTTGGAAGAGGGCGGATTGGAGAATGAGATTAGAAGTGAGATGAGGATGGAGGTGAGTTGGTGAGGTGGTGATAGTGGTGAGGCGAGGATGGTGATGGAAAAACAGAACAAGGATGAAGATGAGGGATGAAGGATTGAAAGTTCCTCACTGAGTGATCAGGTAGAATTGGCAAGAGGACAAGTAGAGGGGAGGGGGGGCCAGCTCACAGGTGGAACATACTCAATCAGCCATCATTGCTGCGTTTGCAATCCTCACCGTGGTGGTAGTCGGTGAATATGCACCAAATTCACCTGTCACCTACCCCTCCAGCAAAGGGCTTGGTTATCTACATCCAAAAGAAATGGATTGGGTTCTGTGCCATTTGAATATCGATTCTCTTACTTATAATGAATTTCGTATACAACAGACGCCGTATGTATCATGAGGATGGCCTTGAAAGTGCAAGTACAAAGAAAAGTAACCTCACCTGAGTTCCTCTAATAGGCCCCGGTAGCCTGGATTCAGTCGATCGGATCTCTCTCAAAGACTTAGATCCCCGTCCTGATGTAGCCGCGGTGCATGCAGAATGGTCGATATGGTTTCTAGTTCGCCATCTCGGAGAGTCGCTCGGCGAGGTTGTGTTCGGTGGTGATGAAAGGCAGGCCATTCTTGATGTAGCTATGAGAAGGGATTGGATGTGGAAGAAGAAGGATCTGGAATCACAAGAGAGATGGAGCAGGGATATTGACTTTAGGTGCATCTGTAGTCGGTGATGGTGGATAGGAGGGCAATGGCCATATGGAACTTTTGATATTTACTGCACCCATGAATAACCACGGTGCATAAGTGGGTGGCTTACATGGTCGGAGTTGCTTTATGCCATCACGTGATATGTTGGAGATATCACATGACCCCGCGGTCAGGCAGCCACAAGAGGCACTAGGCAGAAACCACACAGCGGGTTCCCCTGGACTGCCGCAGCCCGGGAAGGAAACCCCCGCCGGAGGTTTCTTTCCCCGGGCCCGAGTTGCAACCCATACCTGAGGATGAGGTGCCCTGGTAAAGAGTCAATGGTGGCAAGGAGCCGAACGATAGTAGAACAGGTGATATCTACGGTCGGAATGATGCAGACGGGGTAGTTGTGTGAATCTAATAGCTGTCTATGTTCTACCATCATCCTCATCGAGTCCGATTAGAATCGGAATGCCGTCAGGTCAGTGGATCAGAAATGTATTTCCCCGCTATTACTAGTAGAATGACACTCAGGGAATCAGATACCGAACAAGCGCTCAGCCCCATTGCCTGCGAGCCATGCAGGCAAAAGAAATGCAAGGTTAGTAGAACAGGAAGAACGAGACTTAGAGAGTAGACACTGGGAACACCCTTCTAACTCCAACGTGTGCCAGTGCGACCGCACGCTGTATGTGACTCCGCTCTATAGATGTACGGTACATGCTCGATCTAAGCCCAACTAACCCGCCTACTTGCCTTCAGTCCAGTCTGCACACAATGCTCCCCCGATCCATCCAAGTGTGTCTATCCAGAAAGCGGTAAACGGTAAGGAAGATCGTTTGGCGGTATTTCAACCGGGTGCTGACCTGAGCCAGAGGGCTTCCACTTGGGTATCTGAATCTGATCGAACAGCGGCTTGCCGACACCGAGCAAGCGCTATTCGAGGCCCTCACCACCATCCGCGAGCTCAATGCCTCGCACGGAGGCATGATGGTGCAGACCACCCGCAAGTCCGCTGATATGCGCCCCAAGAATGCACGCATGCAGGAGTGGTCCCAGTTGCCATTGAGCGGGTGGGCGGAGCGCGAACGATGGCGAGAAGCGAAACAAGATCAGTACCAGTGTGAACGGACCGTGGTCAAGTCGCCACCGGGGGTAGAAGTGCCGCCATCGAACGTGTATGAGATGCCGCGGGGAATCTCCGCCGCCAGTCTTCCCAGCAGGAGCAGTGTAGGGCCGGCGGAGTCAGTATCGGTCGCGGAGTCAGTATCGCCAGAGCGGCGGAGGGCGGATCGGGCAGGGGAAGTGGCGCGGCGATATCCTTCCTTGTACTTTTGATTAGTGCTAGGGTCTATACAATGTGTGTTGGATACCGATTCTGCAACAACAACCCCCGATGGTCTAGTTGGTTCATGGCGTTCGGCTGTAATGGAAATTGTAACCGAAAAGTCACCAGTTCGATTCTGGTTCGGGGGATTGCCTTTTTGCTCCCGCTTCCACTTTTTGACATAGTGGGCTTTGAGTTGGGCTCCCAACAAGCACTATCCTACTCGGTACATCCCTTCTGCGCTGTTTTTTTTTTTTTTTTTTTTTTTTTTTTTTTTTTTTTTTTTGTTTTCTTGTCGGCTCCGACAGAGTGAACTGTAAATCCATTCAATTTCCACATAATGACGATACTGGTAAGGTAGTCACTATTCACCCCCAACCTTAAGAAAATGCCGCGGGCAAACTCCAGTCAGCGGGATGTTTGCATCTTTTGCAATCCTCGTAGTCTTCTTCCGCCCGCCACGGTCTTCCGTAAACGGGGTCCATCTGCTCCCCTTCGCAAACAACAATCAATCCGTCAATCGCATCCACACAAACCTGCCTCTCGAACTCTCGCACGTTATCCACCGCACTATTCTATCACCCCGCAGGGCTGCATCGATCGTCATCATTGTCCAGATGCAAACCCGTCCCGACCATCCGTGTGGTGCCGGAGATGTCTTGCTCCGAGACGCGGAGGAGTGCAAGTCCGGCCCTCCACCCATCTGAGATCATGGAGGTGAATCCTTCCTTCGGTGAGGGGCGACACGCGGGGGCTGGAGATACGATATAAACCTCGATCGACGCGCTGATACCGACTTCTTCTCTCCTCTCATCGATCTCATACCACCCTCGCACCCAGTCACCATGTCTCTCCTCAAGTCCTACAGCATCGCCTCCATCCCCGCCGATGGCATTGGCCCCGAGGTCGTCGAGGCCGGTATCACTGCGCTGAACGCCTTGGCCGATACCCTCAAGACCTTCAAGCTTGAGTTCACCAACTACGACTGGAGCTCCGAGACCTACAAGAAGACCGGAAAGTACATCCCCGATGGCGGTCTCGACTCCCTCAAGAAGCACGACGCCATTCTTTTCGGTGCCGTCGGCGCTCCTGGTATGTTGATTTTTCCTACTTCCCCGCATATGGAAGGTTATCTAATCATCCACTACCAAACAGACGTCCCCGACCACATCTCCCTCTGGGGTCTCCGCCTGGCCATCTGCCAGCCCTTCCAGCAATACGCCAACGTCCGCCCCACCAAGGTCTTCCGCGGTACCCAGTCCCCGCTCCGCAACTGCAAGACCGGTGACCTCGACTGGGTCATCATCCGCGAGAACAGCGAGGGCGAGTACGCCGGCCAGGGTGGTCGCTCCCACACGGGCAAGCCCTGGGAGGTCGCCACGGAGACGGCCATCTTCTCCCGCGTCGGTGTCGAGCGCATCATGCGCTTCGCCTTCGAGGTTGCCCAGAAGCGCCCCCGCAAGCTCCTGACCGTGGTCACCAAGAGCAACGCCCAGCGCAACGGCATGGTTCTCTGGGATGAGGTCGCCAAGGCCGTCGCCAAGGACTTCCCCGATGTCACCGTCGACAAGATGCTGGTCGATGCCATGACCACCCGCATGGTCCTCAAGCCCGAGACCATCGACACCATCGTCGCCACCAACCTGGTGAGTTGAGCCTTTCTCCCCCCACCCTTCCGACAAGACCAAACTAACGGGACAAACAGCACGCCGATATCCTCTCCGACCTGGCCGCCGCACTCGCGGGCTCCATCGGCATCGCCCCCACCTCCAACCTCGACCCCACCCGCCAGAACCCCTCCATGTTCGAGCCCATCCACGGCTCGGCCTTCGACATCACCGGCAAGGGCATTGCCAACCCCGTCGCCACCTTCTGGACCGCCGCCGAGATGCTCGAGTGGCTCGGCGAGGCGGATGCCTCCAAGAAGCTGCTCACCGCCGTCGAGAACGTGTGCGAGGCCGGCGTGCTGACCGCCGATCTGGGCGGCAAGGCCAACACCAAGGAGGTCACCGACGCGGTGGTGGCCGAGATCAAGAAGCTGTACGGTTGAGGGCTGTACACATATACCACGGATTGATGTCATTAGCATGAAAATAGATTTCCTTGTTCATAGAGTTGGGTTCGTCCATTGAGTTACCGTAAACTAACCATCGCGATCCACAATGCTAAGGGGGCGACAGTCTGACCATAAATGAGAGGAAGAAAGAGTGTTACTGCGTGGCTGTGGTGAGCTCCAGGCCAAGGTGCACTTGTAGAATTGAAGCTCCCAGAGCATTGAACCTCAATGCCTTAGTACCTCTTTTGTTGCGGACCTTCTGTGTCTTGGTTAGTCCCCGACAGGCAGGTAAAATAACCTCGGCAAATACCCCGGCCCGCCGACTCTGCCACGATCTACCGCTTTCGCCTCGCAACATCCTCCGTGGCTGCGGTGGCTGATCCTGTGGCTGACCCGCAAAGCCATCTGCCCCCAGTCATAGAAGCAAAAACCTGAAACAAAATAATCTATAAATTTCTATCATGCCGCTGCCCATGCCACAGACACGAGCAGCACAACGTTCTAATCTTACAAATAGATATAACACAAGGGAGTTCCCGCCGTCGTGTCCAAGATATCATAGATCTCGCGGGAGGCGGTGAGGTTGCCCATCCAGAGGGTGTCGTGGATGGTGGTGTTGGGGCCGGGGATGAGCCCGTCGAGGAAGTCGGGGCCCTTGACCACGTAGGTGCGGTTGGCCGGGTTGAGGTTCTGCCAGATCCAGAAGACGCGGTCGATCATGCCGTGGTGGACGTAGAAGGCCGGGTCACCGGGGGAGGCGTAGAGGTCCTGTGTGTTGGGGTTGTCAGTGAGGATTGAGAAATGGAAGAGAACTGGCGAAGGGTACATACACCTCCAGGGTCACCGCCGATGGTGAAGTGGCCGGCCGTGTGCACGCCCAAGAACCCTTCCTCGAAGAACCCTTGCATGGTCCACTCGAAGCACGAGATGTCGTCGCAGTTCTGGATCAGGTCCATCACGTCGCTGGTCTTGGTCCAGCCCTGCGCGGCCACCGGCGAGATGTCGCGGCGCAGACAGCGCGGGTTGTAGTCCAGGCCGGTGCCATTCTGGGCCACCAGGCCGGGGATCTGCAGGGTGGGGTCGACGGGACCCAGGTTGACGGTCATGCTAGAGTGTGGTTCGTTAGGACAGGACGAACTGGGGGAGAGTGTTTGGGGAAGGTCAGGGCATGGCTTACTTGGCGAAAGGACCGTTGGTGACACAGCCGCCGCCCACACCCGGAGGAAGAGTGGTGTAGGCAGTGGCCGGGGTGCCGTTGTGAGCAACATAGTCGCCGTTACCGGACATACTGTACTCGGTGCCATCGAAGAGAGGCGAGTTGATCGGGTTGTTCACGTATTTGTTCCAGGCCCAGTAGGGCTGGTAACCATCGTAGCCACACTCGTCGCGCAGAGCGGTCTCGTAGGCCCAGGTGAACAGCCGGTGCCAGGTGAGGAAGTTACCCTACATCCAATCAGCTGGGAGAGAATTAATTTGGGGGAAGCAAGGCGCCTTACAGTGCCATGAATCCACAAGGTCTGGTTGATGTGCACCGCGACGAAATCATCGAACCGGTTACGGGCACCAGGGGCGAAGCTGGGATCGGACTTGGGGGGCTTGCTCATCAAGCACAGCACCGCATCGGTGTACTTCTTCCGATCCGCGGGTGCCAAAGAGGACCTGGTGTTTCATGTGAATGAGTTTGGCGAACTCTCCCAAGCTTAGCGCGGGAAGGCGAGACGTACCACTCGCGACGGACTGCCGCATTCTTGATGTTGCAGGTTGAGTTGGAGCCATGAGCGGCCTCATAGGCCAACTTAGTGGCCAAAGCTTTGCTGGAGAGCTTATCCACGGCATCGGGGGTGCCGAGGATGGCAGCGGCTGGCGAAGCAGCCAAAGCAGCCACAGCCGCAGTGGACAGGAGGGAGAACTTCATGATAACAGCAGTCACCGGACGAGAATGAACTGAGCGGGCTGACAGATTTACAGAAAAGTTGGTCGCTCACTACCTCTATATAGTCCTGTCCCTGGGACCTTCCTCTTTGCCCCTGATAAGACAAGAAGACCAAGGAAAGGCTGCTGCCTCGTGGGAAAAAGAAGCTAATCAGCCCATGTGGTCGTCTGGAGGTCGGAACCGGGCGAATAGCCCTAAGAGAAACTCCCCAAATGGCACCAGTTGGGACGACAACCTCTTAGTCGCTGCACCGTCGGCAACTAAAGTGCGAAGCATACCGGAACACGCATAGTTCCTGCCATACAATGCAATTTTAGACAGTTCTAGCCGGAATTCGAACCGATAGTGGGGGGGGGGGCTTGCTTTGTTCGCTAAGGGTCTTTTCGTTTCCGAGAGCAGCCGGTATCCTCGGTGACGGTTTCCGTCTGCTCGTCTCTACAACTCGAGACTTCGTCTGTTTGTTCAAGATGTTATCGACTGAAGAGAGATCGTGCAATGATCTATTCCCCCGGATTCAACGTTTGACCTGTCATAGTGGTGGCAAAGCAATTATCTCGAGGGCGGGCTGAACGTGGCCAAGCGTGGACAGGGGTCCCTGCGCCGCCCGCGTTCTGAGTCGACAAATTGCCTCCCACCCCGGTTGGGAGCCAGGGACACCCCTGACTGGATGAGCACTCAATTGTTCCTTGAGCGCGGGAAGGCGATGGCGCCGGTGGTCGAGAATTGATAATTAATATCTTTTAATCTATGTTAGTGCTTATTAGTGGGTCCGTTAGCACCACTTCGTCGGCCGCACTACGCTCTTAGCCGCTGTCATCCGTCTTCCCCGATTTGACAACCTGACTCCGGCCGGAGGAAAAGAGGAACACGAAATGGAGTCCGAAATGGAGTCCGGTGGAGTGCGAGATTCAGGGAAATGTGCGATTGCTGGCCTGTGAGTTCGATCTTCCCTCCCTCCCACGGTCGAACCCTCCCGTGATCGTCCGGATCGTCTCGTTGTCTACCCCAAACACCAAGTGTATGTCTTGCATGGGGTCCAGATTCTATCTAGATATGTCTCTAGTCGACCACGCCGTTGTGGGATTGCTGAACGCTAGAGGGTGCATGAAGGATGCCTGCCACGTTGCCCCTGCAGCGCCACGCGAAGCAATAATTACCGGCGTCGGGGGCTTCTGGAGCCTGGCGTGAGCAAAATAGATGAGAAAGTGACACTAGAGTCTGCATTATCCCTGCTAGCCTGGCCAAAGAGGAGATTTGAGGGGGGTCTTCAGACCTTTCGAGCCCATCGGCCGGACAGCCGAGGCTAATTGACTCGCTTAGTTCTCGAGTGCCACCCACCTTCTATCCTGCTCCAGACCTCCCGGCCTGGTTCCCCAAGTGGATGGAACTTCCGAAGACGTAACATTTCACGGAATGTGGGATCGGAGAAGGATCGGAAATTCAGGCCCGGATCGTGCAGAAGTCGTTCTTGGCTGCGCCTCGTAGACGGTCGACCGTCCCTTGTGATTCCTGTGGAAGACTGCACAGGCAGGAAGAAAAAAAGGATTACTCGTCCTAGGATTCCTCTCTCCATGTATCAACTCAACATCGCTGTTCATGGCTTGCTGTCACTGTGTTCAGTGACTTCTTCTTCGCCGATATGACGGCGGTTCCCCTCTGGCCGCGAACTGGGGCCGGCTCCTCCCACGCCCCGACCATCTTGGCAGTGGTTGGGACTTTGTCGGGTCTGTCCACGCTGATCGTGCTGCTACGGTGCTATGTGCGCGGACTGGTGCTGCGAAAGTTCAATGCGGAGGAGTACAATATACTCGGGGCGTGGGTAAGTGGACTCTGGTTTGACCTGCATGGTTCGTGATGGAGAAGATCGACATGTTCTAATCAGTATACCCCCATGCAAGCTTTGCGCTGTGGGAGTACTCGTTTGCTTCGTGGTTGAAACCCAGCATGGAGTCGGTCGATACAACAAAGATATCTCCGACGAGGATCTTGGGTACCTGGCCAAAGTGGTTTATTTCCATTCCATTATTGTCATGGTTGGCCTTAGCTTGGTCAAGATCTCCCTGGCGGTCTTCTTGCGACGATTCGCGCAGAGTTGGCTGCGAAAAGCCTTGGTTGGATCGATTGGTTCGTCGGCCTCTCACGCCTGAGTCTTGAACCTGCTGCTCATCATCATAGTCTTCCTAATCGCCTTCACTATTGCTTGCGCCTTGACCCTGATCCTTGAGTGTATCCCTGTGGCTGCAGCCTGGGATTATAGTCTGAGGGCCAACGCGCGCTGTTTCGATTCTGGTACTTTCACGGCCATCGGACTGTGGAACAGCAGTGCGTTCCCCCCCCGTGTCACGTCAATCGTCTTTCCTATTCGCAGAGGCTCACACCGATCGCATTCCAGTTACCAACCTCGTGACGGACGTCATTTTCGCCACACTACCGGTGCCGATGTTTATCAAGATCCAGGTCAACCTACGGACCAAGGCGTCACTGATTGGGGTGCTGAGCTTGGGATATTTGTACGTGACTAAGCTCTTCGTACGCGGGAATCGAACTGATCTGGGTTGAATTTAGGGCTTGTGTTGCTGGAGTCATCAAAATTGTCGCTCAGATCAAAGTGCTCAAGGAGACGGATGTGTACCGGTAAGTGACGGTCTGGGAGTATTATGGGGGGCCTTTTAGCTCACACAATATGCAGGAATGATACGTTCATGGTGTGGAACTGGTATGTCGAAGCCATTCGGTGACCGTCTGAGGCTTGAGACTGACAACAGGAAACAGCGTGGAATTGAATGTCGCTATCATCGCAGCATGCTTACCTAGTCTCAAGACCTTGGTCAAATCGCTACTGGATAGCACGCGCAACCTAACCAGCGGACGACGCAATGCATACGGCAATTACTACCCCGAACATTATGGCCAACGCAGTGCCGACGTCACGCTCAAGTCGATGGTGCCCCGAGCGCCCCATTCGATGTACAATATCACGGTGGAGGGAAGTTCCGATGGAGACTCGAACAGCGCGCACAGTGGCAATCGCGAGGAGGATGAGCAGCGGCTGCATCGCACGGAGCTTGGCATCTTGAAAACCACCGAGGTGGTGGTGCATACGCAGCAGTAGGCTGCAATCGGCTGGACTGTACATATTCAAAGCATGATAGGTATATAAGCTCTTTCTTTTGTTTCACTCGTTCCACTGATGTGCCACCACCACTTTTCGACTTGGCCCAGTATTGATGCAAGACGCGTTCGGCGCGTTGGTCCAGCAAGTATTGGGTTCTTGGCGGCGATCCACCCCTTGCATATCGCGGTGGGCTTCTCATACGCATAAATGGGGACTCAGTGACAGCTGGCATCAGCTTGATGAAGGAGAACTTCACGTCGCGTACTATTCATCTTCATCGTCGTCTCGTCAGTCATCCTAGAGTGGGAACAATCACAAATCAGCAGAAGTCATTCTCAGGCAGTAGTTTTGTTGATCGAGAGATTGGGAAATGGTGCAGATACCTCAGGAGAAAGAGGCCAGCGATGGTAGCCGTCATCGAGTGATATATTCGAAAGAGGAGGAAAAGCAGGTGGTGAGGAAACTCGACCGGTTCATCTTGCCGATGTTGTGTTGGGTCTTCTTCTTTCAGTGTTGGTCATCCCCGCCAGTTGCCTTTTTCCCTTTCCCTTTTTCTTTCTTCTCCCCTTAACTTCTTCCCTCTTCACTTCATCCTCCTTCTCCTCCTCCTCCTCCTCCTCCTCCTTCTACTCACCATCACCATCACCATCTCTATCACAGTTCTCGACAAGCAGAGCTTGAGTTATGCCTCGGTCTTCGGTCTTCTCGATGACCTCTCCTTGCAGGGGTCCCAGTACTCCTGGTGCTCCTCGATTTTCTACCTTGGTATGACTTTCAACGCGAAGATAATCACCAAACGCATCTCGCTGACAGGCTTCAAGGACAGCTGGTGGCGGAATATCCCTTCATTTATCTGATGAGTCGCCTGCCCTTGACGCGATTTGTTGGAGTCACCATGTATGTGGAGCCTTAATCACTTCTGGGAAGCTTCTCTAACCTTTCTTCTGGCTTAGTATCATATGGGGAGGAATCTGCATGTGCCTGGCAGCCACACAGTCTTTTGCTGACTTTGCCGCCGTACGATTTCTCCTCGGAGTGAGTGAAGGAGCAGTCGCCCCAGCATTCGTCACTCTGACCAGTATCTGGTATAGAAAGAATGAACATGCTTTGCGGGTTGGGTGAGGCAAAATGAGCGATCCTGCGATTCGGATGAAGTCTAATCTCTTACTCTAGGATTTGGATCACGATGGATGGCTTGGCTCAGGTACTTGGCTGTCTGCTCATGTACGGAATCGGGCGATCGAATCCCGGCAATCTCGCCCCCTGGAGGACTTTGTTCCTCATCTGCGGAGCCATAACATGTGGCATTGGCGGTCTCTTTATGCTTGTCGTTCCTGTTTCGCCCAAGAGAGCATGGTTCCTCACCCCGCGTGAAAAGGAGGTTCTTGAAGCAAGGATGACGCTTGATCGGGACGCCGGCGATCTAACTCAGTTCTCAGTTGCACAAATTAAGGAGACATTGGGAGATATCCGGGCGTGGTTCATGTTCATTTTCGGGGTCTTGGTCACCATGCAGGCCCCAGTGATGACAGTGAGGTCTTGTTTCCAAAGGGGTCGTACCCACCGTCGCTGACAGGTTTAGTTTGCCTCCCTCATCATCAAGAACCTGAACTACACCAGTCTCCAGACAATGCTGTATACGGCCCCCTCGGGAGCCGTACAGATCCTGGCGATATGGATCAGCCTTGCAGGGTGCTACCTACTCCCAAATCATCGGTGCTTGGTTCTGATGATGATGACCATCCCTCCCCTGGTCGGAAACATCCTCCTCCTCAAGCTGCCACTCACTGCTGGCTGGGGTTTAATCGCCTCGTCGTGGCTGGTAAGACATCATCGTCATCTTCTTTCTTATTCTCTGCAATAGTAGTGTGGACTCTAGGACTGAGTGATTGCAGGCTTCATGTCTACCCAACATCCTAGCTGTCGTGCTGAGCCTTAGCGCCTCAAACGTCAAAGGCAACACCAAGCGTCCCATGGTCAACGCCTTGTTCTTCATTGGATACTGTACCGGATGTATTGCAGCTCCTCAACTCTGGAAGCCCAGTGCTGCACCGCGGTTTTTTGAGGGGGTCGTGACTGCCATTGTCACCTGGTGCCTGCTCATCGTGGCACTGAGTCTGTACTGGTACATCTGTCGGTCGGAAAATTGTAAACGAGACCAAACCCCGATTATTTCCCCGGGGATCACCTACCAAGCCGGTGAAGATGTCACCGACATACAAGATACTCAGTTTCGATATATTTACTAGGGGCTTGTTCACCTCCTGTGCGACCGAGGCGATGCCTCGACATTTTGGCCGAGCCATGTCATGCCACTTATGCATCTACCATGCGATCAGTCGTTCCCATTTCGAGACGGGAAATATGAAGTATTGCCTACGGCGCCTACGGCACCAATGATGGCCGAAAATACTGCACTCGTTGGTATACTCGCGCGCAGTGGAGGCCGGGCATAGTGACAGTCCGAAGGAAAAGGCACAAGCCACATCAATAGACTAAAGAGACTGAGTTACTTGCAGGGACTACTGGTCGATCATTGTTCTTCATAGCTTATTCCCGATGCAAGCATTCCAAGTGTGGCAAGCGATCGGGATAATTCTCCTATTTCTTTAGATGTCGATCACCGACTGACGAGGTCGCAGAGTAACTCCGCGTGGATCACCATCAGAGGGTCCACCGCCACTCTTTTGACCCTTTTAAATGCCGGATAAGACCAAGCGGGGCCAGCAAAATTACCGAAGCACACGAGTTGCTTGGGCATCATTGGCAATTGGTTTTCACCCTGTGTGGAGATCTGCGGGGACTCCTTACATCTTCGGCGTAATAAGCCTCGGATGCTTCTTGCCTGCGATGATGCACGTCGATCCCAAGTGCACCGTGCTCCAGGTTCTCCGATCAATACACTTCGGCAGGATCTATGGGGTGAGGACATTCAGTTGGTGCAAATGGCTTGGTGAGGAAAGGGACAGTTTAAAGGATGCCAGAAGCCGCTCGACTTGGGTGGAGGAGAATAAACCAAGTGTCTGTTCAACACCCACAACACCCACAACACGCCTCAGTCACTCAAGAGATCAGCCGCTGCTTCACCTGCGCCCTTCCGCTATTCACAATGGCTATAACCACTCACCAGAACGAGCCCATTGCCATCGTGGGCAGTGCCTGTCGCTTCTCTGGCGGAGCATCGTCGCCCTCGAAGCTGTGGAATCTCCTTCGCAACCCTCGCGATGTTCGCAGCGTGATCCCCAACAGTCGCTTCAATGCCGAGAACTACTATCACCCTGACCCAGCGTACCATGGTCACAGCAACGTTCGACATTCCTACGTGCTAGAAGAGGATGTCACCGCTTTCGACACCGAATTCTTCGGGATCAAGCCGGTGGAGGCGAAGGCCATCGACCCTCAACAACGTCTTTTGATGGAAACCGTCTACGAGGGCCTCGAGTCGGCCGGGCTGACAATAGATGCCCTCAGGGGCAGTGACACGGGTGTCTATGTTGGCCTCATGTGTGGTGATTACGAGGCCAGCTTGTTACGTGATCGTAAGTTATGCTTTCGATTTTGCTCGGGATATGAGTCTACTGACACAGGAGGCTTGTAATAGCAAAAACTGCTCCAGTCTACGCTGCCACCGGCATTGGACGGAGCATTCTGTCGAACCGTGTCTCGTACTTCTTTGACTGGCACGGGCCATCGATGACCTTGGATACCGCCTGTTCCTCCAGTCTCGTGGCGGTCCACCTGGCCGTGCAGTCGCTCCGAGCTGGGGAGTCCCGGATCGCTCTGGCTTGTGGATCTAATCTACTGCTGGGTCCAGAGAATTACATTATGGAAAGCAAGCTGAAGATGCTGTCTCCAGACGGTTAGTACTAAGATCCTTAACTTCCAGAATGGGTGGGCTGACCTAAATGACAGGCCGCAGTAAGATGTGGGACAAGGATGCCAACGGCTACGCCCGTGGAGATGGTGTTGCTGCCTGCGTTCTGAAGACTCTTAGTGCCGCGATTGAGGATGGAGATGACATTGAGTGCATCATTCGCGAGACTGGTTTTAACCAGGACGGAGCCACCACCGGTATCACTATGCCCAGCGCTGCTGCCCAGCAGGCCTTGATCCGTGCGACCTATGCCAAAGCGGGCCTGGATTTGGAGAAGGCGTCCGACCGGCCTCAATTCTTCGAAGCGCACGGGACAGGTACGCCTGCAGGAGATCCGATCGAGGCCGAAGCCATCTCGCGGGCCTTTTATGGTAAGGACTTTGACATTAAGACCACGGATGACCGTCTCTATGTGGGCTCGATCAAGACCATCCTTGGACATACCGAGGGTACTGCAGGCCTGGCTGCCCTGCTCAAGGCGTCGCTAGCTCTTCAGCATTCGACTGTACCACCTAATATGCTGTTGAACAACCTAAGCGACCGAGTGGCTCCTTTCACTGCAAACCTGGAAATACCCTCAACGGCCAAGCATTGGCCTCAAGTCGTCCCTGGTCAGCCACGACGAGCCAGTGTGAACAGTTTCGGCTTCGGCGGTGCCAATGCCCACGCTATTCTGGAGAGCTACGAGCGCCCTCAGCTGATTGAGGATGGGATCCAGAATCAATTTACCCCCTTTGTGTTCTCCGCCCTCACCCGTCAATCGCTGCGTGCAAGCCTCTCCGCGTACGCTGATTATATCCAAGAAAACACATCCCTCAATCTGCGCGACCTGGCATACACCCTGCAGCAACGTCGGTCTGAGTTCCCTTACCGCATTTCATTTGCTGCTGCATCGGCCGATGACTTGGTGGCAAAGATTCGGGGTGAATTGGAAGCAACCAAGGCTGAAGATCTGGGCGTGAGACTCCCGGCTCCCTCGGGAGGCAAGAAGCCAAAGGTTCTCGGCATTTTCACTGGCCAAGGAGCGCAGTACGCTCGTATGGGCGCTGAGCTGATTGAGAAGTCCGCCACAGCTCGGAAGATTGTCCAGGACCTGCAAGGTCACATTGAGCAACTTCCCGAGGAAATTCGCCCTGACTTCTCACTCGAGAAGGAGCTTCGCGCGGCCGCTAATTCCTCGCGGGTTTTGACGGGTGCTTTCTCCTTCCTCTCCACCGTTGTTCAAATCGTGTTGGTGGATCTGCTGAAGCTCGCAGGCGTTCATTTCGATGCCATCGTTGCTCACTCCTCGGGTGAAATGGCTGCAGCATACGCGGCCGGTCACTTGAGCGCGCGAGACGCTATGTGTGTGGCGTACTTCCGTGGTCGATTTGCTTCGAAGATGGAAAGTCCCAACGGGCCTCACATTAAAGGAGCTATGCTGGCGGCTGGTATGTCTCCAGAAGATGCGCAGGCTCTGGTAGAAGACGAGCTCTTCGCCGGTCGCCTCTGTGTTGCCGCTGTCAACTCATCCTCTAGTGTGACCATCTCGGGTGACGAGGATGCCATTGACGAGGTCAAAACGATCTTGGACGACGAGAACAAGTTCAACCGTAAGCTTCGTGTCGACCGAGCCTACCACTCCAACCACGTATCGCGACGTCTTGCCGATTATGTCGCCTTGGTCAAGTCGGCAGGTGTCCGCGCCATCGAGCCAACATCGAACAACTGTCTCTGGATCTCGAGTGTATATGGCCGCGAGATTACAGCAGACATGAACCTCAGTGACGAATACTGGGGCGCAAGTGTCGCTCGGTCTGTGCAGTTCTATCAAGCTCTCAAGCTTGCTCTTGAAGGAGGCGAATACCAGGCTGCAATCGAAGTCGGCCCTCATCCGGCTTTGAAGGGACCCGCATCGCAAACCATCCAGGAAGTCCTAGGTAAGAGCATTCCATACTATGGTGTGCTCAACCGAGGATCGGATGCTGCGGTCAGCCTGGCTTCGAGTCTTGGATCTCTATGGTGCCATCTCGGGGGGCAGAAACTCGACTTGACTGGATTTGATCTTGCGGTGAATGACGACCAGTCCACCCTCCGCGTGGTCAAGGGCCTTCCAAGTTATAAGTGGAACCATGAGGCCTCTTACCGTCATGAGTCGCGAGCATCAAAGAAGCACCGTTCTCAAATCCAGCAATTCAACCAGTTGTTGGGGACCATGAAGCCGGAGAGCGCAGCTCACCATTTGAGCTGGGGACACCTGCTTCGCGCCAGCGAGATCGAATGGGTTTCAGGTCACCAAGTTCAGAATCAGACAGTCTTTCCTGCGGCAGGATACATCTGTACGGCGTTCGAGGGTGCTCGGGTCCTTGCAGGAGAGCGCGATGTTCGTATCTTCGAGTTGAAGAATTTTGTCATCCACCAGGCCTTGACCTTCAGCCAAGACGACGCTGGTATCGAGGTGCAGACTTCGCTGTCTGACGTTCGCCAATTAAGCGATAACCACGTCCAAGCCAAATTCACCTACTCCGCGAGCCTCGGAGAGGAGGATCTCGCCCTGGTAGCTGAAGCGGATCTCCATATCATCTTCGGGAAGTCCTTGGAGACCACTCTTCCTCGTCGAGCTACCAAGCCAGCTCACATGATCACAGTAGACAATGAGCGTTTCTACAATCTCTTGGCTACGCTGGGATACGGCTTCGAAGGATCGTTCAAGTCTCTGCACACGCTTAGGCGGAAGCTGGGAACGAGTGTGTGTGCTGTGAAATCAGTATCGCGCGATACGTTCGGACCGCCCTTGCTGGTGCATCCTGCTGAGTTGGACGGTGGCATCCAGTCTCTCATTCTTGCGTACAGCTACCCCGATGATGACCAGCTTCTGAACATGCATCTACCTACCAGCATGAGCAGCATCCGTGTCAATCCCGCTCTGTGCAAGTCCATGACTGACATCACTGTTGACTCGACTCTGGGCTCCACAAAGTCCGCTGGATTCTCGGGTGATGTCAGTATCTACACCAATGACTCCAGTTGTGCAGCAATTCAGATGCAGCGCGTTGAATTGGTGCCCCTGGGTGCTTTGACCGCTAAGGACGATCGCAAGGTCTTCTCCAAATACCAGTGGGTCAAAAACAGCCTCGATGGCGAGTTGGCTGCGTCGGATACCACTGTGACAAAACATCATTCGGAGATCTTGGAGGGATTGGAGCGTATCTCGACCTACTACCTCAAGAAACTGGATGCAGAGGTGCCCGCCGACTCTCCGCTGAGAGGTAAGGATAGCCCTCACAGCCATTACCTTCAGTATGCTCGCCACATTGTTAGCCTGATCCGGAATGGAGAGCACAAGGTGGCCAAGAAGGAATGGCTGAAAGACTCCTTGGAAGACCTCCGTGCGGCCACAGAACAATTTTCGGACCTCATCGATTACCGCATGATGCACCTGGTTGGGCAACAGATGCCGCGTGTCTTCCGAGGTGAAACCAACATGCTGGAGGAGATGCGCGTCAGCAACATCCTCGACAACTACTATCAGGGTGCTTTTGGCTCGCGGGAGGCTGGTTTCTGGATTGGCAAGATCATCGCCCAACTAGCAGAGCGCTATCCTCATCTCAACATCCTGGAAGTTGGTGCTGGTACCGGAGGTGCTACAACAAGAATCCTGCAGAACCTTGACTCGAGATTCTTGTCCTATACTTTCACAGACGTGTCCAGTGGTTTCTTCGAAGGTGCTGCGGAGACATTCTCTGCTCACAAGGATCGTATGGTCTTCAAGACCTTTGATTGTGGTCAGGATCCCGTTGCTCAGGGCTACGCTGAGGGAACCTGTGACGTGGTTGTCGCTTTCCTCGTCATCCACGCCACCCCGGATCTTGAGCTCACCATGCGCAACATCCGTAAGCTGCTCAAGCCGGGCGGTTTTCTGATCGTCGGAGAAGGTACAAACAATGGGCAACCGTATGGCAGTGCCGGATTTATCTTTGGATCCCTGCCGGGTTGGTGGCTTGGTGCAGATACCGGCCGCCCTCTGTCACCATTCGTCTCTTACTCCGAGTGGGAGAGACTCCTTCGGAGTAGTGGGTTCTCTGGTATTGATGCAACAGCACCCCAGTCATTCCAGGATATCCTTGGTATGACTGTGTTTGCTGCTCAAGCTGTGGATGACCGGGTTAGCTTCCTGCGCGAGCCTGTCAGTCCTGAAGTCCTGCAAGGTTCGGCTGCAGTTGAGTACCCTATCAAGAAGCTCGTCGTTATTGGGGGAAGCACACCGAAGACTCTATCTCTGATCCGGCCTGTCCAGAGTATTCTCAAAGATACCTCCCACGAGCTCCACTCCTTTAACAAGTTGACGGAAATAGACTTCGATCTGATCGATGCTGATACCACAGTCGTCAGCTTGTCGGAGCTGGACAAGCCTGTCTTCGAAGATATGACACCCGATGAGTGGCTCGCTTTCAAAACGCTCTTCTCTGCTCCCATCAAGCTTCTCTGGGTCACCAGTGGTCGGCTTAACGAGGACCCATGGTCTAACATGACGGTCGGCTTTGCTCGTACTGCGGTGTTCGAAGCCCCTGCTCTGCAATTCCAGAACATTGATATCGCAGATCTAAGCTCGTTCAAGCCCGGAAGCCTGGTCGAGAAAATTCTACGCTTCGATGCCTCTGCCTCGTCGGGCAAGCACCTTCCGTGGCCATTGGAACCGGAGATCGTTATCAATGCTGAGGGCGAGGAGCTCGTGCCCCGTCTCCGACACATCAAGGCCCGCAATGACCGCTACAATTCAGCTCGCCGCCCGATTACCAAGGAGGCTGACATTTGCAAAGCCCCTGCAGCCCTGCACAAGGAGACCGAGGGATGGAAATTGACAGAGCTTTCACGTTGGGCTAGCCCTGCTGATACCAAGTCTCAAATCAGCCTTGAGATTAGCCATGCCGTGCTGTCGGCCCTTCGCACGCCGCATGGTCATCAGTTCCTTGTTCTGGGGACCGAGCCCGAGAGTCAGGCACGATTCCTGGCTCTTGTGCCATCTCTCTTGTCGGTCATCCATGTGCCCAAGGCTTCGGCAGTTCCGCTGCCCGTTTCGACGCTAGCCGACGCCGACCTTCTGACTGTACTGGCTGCTCGTCTCGTCGCCATGGCTGTGGTCGACCCTCTCATTGATGGGGATACGGTTGTTGTGCACAACTCCACTGAGCTTCTGGCACGTACCATTGCTAGCCAAGCGGCAAGCAAGAATGTCCGCGCCTTCTTCGTAGCGGACTCGACGCAGGAGAACGTTCCTGTCTCTTGGACTAAGCTTGAGCCTTATCTGACCCAGTCCGAGGTGTCTGATATCCTACCTCTCGACACCGCTAGCTTTGTCGGCTTATCTAGCGAGCACTCTGAGATCGAGTCAAACATCATGTCTAGCCTTCCTTCACACTGCAGGAAGGAGTCCAGGGCAACCTTATATTCGTCGGTTGGCTGGGAGAGCAGTCCTTCGTCTGCGCCCTTCCTGGGCCAATTCCTACAGCGTGCTCTGGTCAGTGTGCAGACCGAGGCTGGAAAGATCTCACAAGCGGTGTCTCGGACTGTTTGTATTGATGATCTTCTGAACGAGCCAAGCCCTGAAGAGCCCACCACAATCATCGACTGGACTCGTTCCAAGACCTATCCTGTCCACGTCAGCCGGTTGGACTCGGTTTCGTTCTTCAAGGGCGACAAGACCTACTGGCTGTGTGGTTTGTCGGGCGCTCTTGGTGTCTCTCTGGCCGACTGGATGATTGAACGAGGCGCGAGATACCTTGTCTTGACTAGCCGTAACCCCAATATCTCCCCCGACTGGATCAAGGCTCATAAGCGCAATGGTGTCATTGTATCTATTGTACGCTGCGATGTGACAAACGAGCCTGCTCTGCGTGCTGCTCATCAGTCTATCTGCGAGACTATGCCGCAGATCATCGGTGTCCTGAACGGAGCCATGGTGCTGAGAGACGTCTCGATCCGCAACATGTCATTTGAACTGATGAGCGAAGTGTTCCGCCCGAAGGTATACGGAAGCATTCACCTGGACCGCATCTTCAAGAACGCCAATTTGGACTTCTTCATTTTATTCTCGTCTATCAACTGTGTCATTGGTAACCTGGGTCAAGCAAACTATGCGGCGGCGAATACTTTCATGTGCAGTCTGGCTGCTCAACGTCGCAAGCGCGGTCTGGCAGCTACTGCTTTGAATGTGGGTGCTATTATCGGTGCTGGTTACATGGAGCGCGAGTCCAGCAAGGCTCTTGACTTGACTGTGTCCAAGATGGCGCTGATGCACCTGTCAGAGCAAGATTACCACCAGCTCTTTGCGGAGGGTATCGATGCCGGTCGTCCGGATTCTGGCGACGAGGCCGAGCTCACCACCGGGCTTTTGGATATCCCTGCTGCCGACACGGAGAATGCGCCCAAGTGGCACTCCAACCCTGCATTCTTCGACTTTGTCGTTCACCGAGTTGAGAAGAACGGGACGGACGCAGGAAATGAGGTTGTTACCTCGGTCCAGGATCAGCTTGCTGCCTGCAAGTCAACCAGCGATGTGCTTGCTGTCGTCAAGGGTAAGTTTCCGCCTGTCGCAATCTCATACATTCCATAATAAATCAAGCAGGGAGATTCGCCATGCAACTTCGCAATGTTTTGCAGATGAACACTGCCGACGAGGACTTGATGGCAATGAGGAGCCGTGATATTGGTCTCGACTCCTTGATTTCGGTCGATATCCGTTCGTGGTTCCTGAAGAACTTCGAAGTCAGCGTTCCGGTCTTGAAGATTATGGGCAATGATACTATGGCCGAGCTGGCCGACCTTGTGGCCGCGCAAGTCCCAGCTTCGCTGCTGCCTGGACTTGGAGGTGAAGAATCTCCATCTGATCAGCCACCTACCACGAACAATGCTTCCCAGCCTGCTCCACCTGCTGCAAATGATGAGACCAGCTCCTCAGTGGACTCCAACCAGGATGCCACATCCACTGAATCCAGCAGCGGCTACACCGGAACTAGCACCCCTACCAGCCTGGAAGCCACCACAGGACTCGTATCGAAGGGACCTATTCGCATCGACTGGAAGGCCGAGATCGCATTGCCTCAGGCAGCGAATATTGACACCAGCGTGGCTCCTGCCGCCCGTCCTCGCACAATCGTGCTCACGGGTGTCAGTGGACTGCTGGGCAGACACCTGCTCCTGCGTTTGCTGCAAGACCCATCCGTCAAGGAAATCATCTGCCTCGCCACCCGCCGTCTTGACGAGCGCCTACAGTCAAAGGAGCTGGTTGAAGACAGCCGAATCCAGTACTTCTCAGGTGACCTCGAAGACCCCCGTCTCGGTCTCTCTGAACAGAAAGCGGCTCAGATCTTCAGCCGCGCGGATGCTGTGATCCACAACAGCGCCGACACCTCTCACCTCAAGTTCTACCCCGAGATCAAGGCCGCGAACACGGGCTCGACCAAGGAGCTGATCCGCCTCTGCACGGCTCGCAAGGTACCCATTCATTACCTCTCTACCGTGGGCGTGGCCCTCTTCGGCAACTACACCTCCTTCCCCGAGGTCTCGATTGCGGCGCACCCGCCCCCGGTTGACGGCTCTCACGGCTACGTAGCCGCCAAATGGGCCAGCGAGCGTCTCCTTGAGGAGTACAACAAACAACACGGGGTGAATGTGTGGATCCACCGCCCCTCAACCATCATCCGCGAGGGCGCCGATGCCCAAAGCGCCGCCGCGCAGACCGACTGGATGAACGCCTTGGCCGCGTATATGCGCAAGACCCGCGCTGTACCGACGCTGAAGAACCTGCGGGGTGCTCTCGACTTTGTCTCGGTGCACAACGCGACAAAGAGTATTCTAACGGCCGTGTTTGCGAACAAGCCCAAGGCTTCCTCTGCGGGTGTCTCTTACACTCACCAGGTTGGCGATATTGTGATTCCGTTGGACAATCTTAAGGAGTTTGTGATCAAGGAGACGGGTGCTGCTCATGTCGATGTGCTTCCGGTGGAGGAATGGAGTGCTCGAGCGGTGGCTGTGGGATTGAATCGGGGAATCGCGGCGTTGATCGACTCGATGGATGACCCGGGTCAGCCTCACTATCCTCGCATGCTAAGGGGGGAGTAGACTGCATGACTGTTAGTCTCGACTTGTATGCTCATTTATAGGTAGTGTAATGCAATATGGCTTTGTTGCCGCCCTTGAACGAAAACTAGCTCGCGCAAAATGAGATTCGGCCTAGCCATTCTGGCGAAGCAGTCCACATACACTTTCATCCTATATTTGTAGGGCCCGCCACCACTCGACCAAGCAGTCTGGTCTTCATATATCGGATTAATATCTGCTATCCAAAGCTACTATATACATACATAGACTCAACTACTCTTTCTCGCCAGAACACTAACCGGTAACCAGTGGAACTGCGCCCCACCCGGCTTCTGGATCTCCTCATACAACGCCGCCAACGCATCTAACCATTCCTCCTGGCTCGGTACCGAAGGCGCCGCCTGCTTCGGCCTTTCCAACAGCGCACTGCTACTCTCCAGCGCAAGCATGAAGGTATTCGTCACAAGAGGGATGAGGCTGGGAGCCCACGGCTTGTACTGACAATCCACTACCTCCAGCCCGGCGCGGCGGTTGACGTGCCGATCGAGCTCGTCGAGCCATCTGGTTTCATAGACGTTAGGCTTAGGTACTACTGTACCTCGTGTTGTAGACTCCCACCGCGGGGGGGTGCAAGGCATACTGGAAATTATGCTTGGTGACCGTCCACTTCCGGCGCATCAGCTCCCGGAACCGCAGCGCGGTCTCGTCGCCCTCGCGCGTGACGATACTCCCGAACCGGGCATCTTCCCACTGGAGGTAGCCCCCTGGCTCTTTGCGTCGGGGGGTTGGGTATGTCAGTAAACCGGTGGAAGGGGCTTGGCCGAAAAACCCTCAAGGGGGTTTGGGGGCTTGGGGGCTTGGGGCAAGGCAAAATACTCACTCAACAATCTCTCCGCATGCCGGATCAGCGCGCTGGGGTCGTTGTCCCGGATGACAAACGCCCACATGCGCAGGTGCACTACGTCGAAGTGCCCGATTAGTTCTTCGGGTATCGTCTCGCTGAGCGAGTCGAGGTGGTCGAAGCGTACGTTCGCGGGCCAGTATTCTGGGGCGGGCAAGTGGGTGCTTGCGATGTCGTAGCCGACGACTTGGGCGTTGGGGGGCAGGTGAGGGGAGAGTTCAAGGGCCCAGATGCTGCAGATCTCAGATTGAATGTATGAGCATGGGAGCAAGGGTCAGGAAGAAGTGGAGGAGGGAAGAGAGGGAGGGAAGGGGAATCCTAACCCAGTTCCGGTCCCGATGTCCGCGATAGTCATACCATCCTTTAGGGGAATGTCGGGGTGAAGCAGATAGCTGGTGTGGAGTTGCCAGAGCAGATGCTGGGAGGAGAGCCTAAGAATTAGGGTTGGGGGTTAGCATGGTGAGGAAAGTCTCGGGTGTGTGGTGCGCATACCTGGTGGCTTCGAAGCGATCGCGTGGGAGCAAATAGGTGGTGGGAGTCGAGGAGGTCATGATTGGGGGCTTGGGGTTTGATGTCAGGATTGCCTTTCCTTGAGAGATTGATGAGGGTGTTGAAGCTCTGCTGTAGGCTCTATTTGAGGACCGGAGTTTCCAAGGGGAGATAGACCCGAAGAGGGGAAAAGCGGTGGGGATGATGCACGAGCTCATCACAAACACAGACTAGTCTACGTATGAGAACCTGTATGATGATCGGCAGCGTCTAAGGCAGTGAGTCTGCATTATCTGTCCATGTTCTAATGCTCAGGCTCTGTTCTCGCTGCTGGATTGTAACCACTAGTGATCTGCTGCTCCTAGTGGGTTTGTGCGGTGCAGCACTTGCAGCTCGGTATAGTGCCCAGTATTCACAGTACATACACATTGCTCAATGGGATGACACGTCGCCGCCACTGCGTGAGGCGCTTTCTGTCTGCACCAAGTAGCCATGGTGGACGGTGATCCCCCCACCAGCCTGCATAGGAACCTGATCTCCATACCGGTACTCGTCGTCGTCCGAAAACAGCCGCCACGGAGTGCGGCCAGAACAAATCTTGCCTTGGGAGTTTGGAAAGGACCCCGCGCTGGGACGACTACCAGATAGCCCCGTCCTGTCCCTCAAATATGTGTAAATGGGCCGCAGGCAAGGCAAACAAGCTTTGTGGCCCTCAAAAGTCAGTCCGTACGACGGTTGCGGGCAGTGGGTGGGGAGGCTTACCGGCAACGGTGCCGATGTTCAGCTCTACGCAGGTCCAGATCAGATACGGGACGAAATTCCACGTAATGTCTTCGGAGCTAAGATCGACACTCATGAGGCAGACGAGTCGGATGATGGAGATGACAATCACGCTAGATAGTGAGTTAGAGTCACATGAAAACATGCAGTCAGCATTTAGTGCCGCCAACCGCGGGGTTATGTTATACTCACAGGCCCCCCATCAAGAAAGTCAGGGTGAGAATTGTCTTCTGCGTTCGGGTGGTGTGCAGCTCCCAGATGGCTCTCATTGGGATCATCAGAATCCCAATGTCGGTGACCGTGTCCGGGATGGACTTTCCCAGAAAGTAATCGCGGTTGTTGACTCCACATTTGGCCGGGATGCTCTTGTCCCAATACCCCTGCAAGGGGATGCATTGGAAGCAAACAATGAGGATCTGTTTCGGGGTTTGCCTATGGATCAGCAAGGCAAACAAAAGAGCGGAAACAGGTTGTTGTTTGTGGGGCGGTCTCTGTCCTATCCTTACACAAGCTAGAGCCCAGGCAAACACGATCCAGGCCACAAATGTGGTCGCCTTCTGCACATGAGGAACTCGGAAAATTCGTCGGTAGGAGAGCAGAATGGAAAGCTTGATGGCAACGGTGGCGGCCACATAGAAGAGCTCTGCAATGACCAAGGATTTGAGGAAGGCTGAGACCGAGCCGGGAGGCGCAGCCCAGACATGCAGCCCTAACCCATGTCGAACGTCTGCATGTTTGTTTGTACAGTACATAGATTAGTCGCTGGACTCTCGAAGCAAGCAGCATGGGTGGGAACTAACTCCAGACAACCGGCAGCAGGGACACAATGGCCCCGAAAATCTAGACTCGATGGTTAGGATATTGCTCTCAAAACGATCAGCCGCGAAAAGAAGGGGGGGGGGAGAGACCAGCGACGATAGAACCACCCAATCATCCCACCACAGTCCGGCTTTGACCAAAGTTCGAGCGGTAAATCTTAGCGAGACCGTCAAAAAGGCCAAGATCCAAGTCGTAACTAGCACAGCTACAATCTTTGGCCGTTGATCCGCTGAAAGGTCAACTCCTGTTGGCCCGGTGGCGCTCATTGCTGCGCGGTCGGATTTTCACAGGGCGAGAGACACGAGTTCACACACAGAAAGGTTTGGAATTGTTGTCGCTCATGGTTGTCAGAAACTTCTCACCTCTCTACATATAGCCCTCGCTAGAGTCAAAATTCATTGAGTATAATGGGTAAGAGGGAAGGGTGCAGACAGCTAGGTAGCTGCACGAATATTCCGTTAGGAAGTAAGGCTTGCCATTGGAGTCGAAGAGTGTGGGGGCCTAGGCATTTTGGATCAGTCGGCAAAAGAAGGATCGATAAGGTAAGATTCAACTGAGCTTGTTTCCATTGCGTGTTTCCATTGCTTGTTTCCCATGCCAGTGCGTATAAAGGTGGAGTTCTTTCAGTCAATCATCGGGGTCACTCTCTACAATTCCAACCCCCCCCGGAAGCTCCTACCTCCATGACCGTGGCGCAAGTTCCTAAATACAGACTGATCGGCGATCAGGAGTCTGGTGAGATCAGCGCAAGATTGAGAGCAAACACGCCTCGATTCTTATGGTACTCCCTGCTAGCTGCACTCCTGTTGTTAGTGGCCTTTGCTGCGGGGAGATACCAGGCCCCTCCCGTGGTTCCCTGTGAGTACTTGACTGCTATTCCTTCATTGAGTGAAAGAAGAAGAGAGAGCTGATACACTGCCATCTATGCCCACGAATTAGTGGCAACCACGCCCTCCGTGTTTGAATACAACAGCGCATTCCAGGACGAAAGATCTCCCCTGACCAACGATCTGTGGGAGGGACTCTTCCCCAAACGCAAGGGCTTCTTTCAGCACCCTACTATTGCTGATCACCGATCGGCGTTTGCTGTGTATCACCAGCTACACTGCCTGGTACGGAGTTCTTCGGACCCCCCACATCCCACTCAAATCAAGAAGCAACGACTTTAGCTGACGAAAATGGAACGCGACAGAACAGCATCCGACAGGGCTACTGGGGCTTGTACGACATGGCAGTATCCGGGGGCCAGAACAACCTCACCAGTCACGACGATGATCTTCCCCACATGCTCTCGCCGCACCACATCCGTCATTGCCTCGAACTACTCCGGTTGGCGTTAATGTGCCAGCCTGACCTGATTGTGGAGCTCAAGAACGAAACCCTGGGTGGAGTGACCGGATTTGGGACCGAGCATCAGTGCAAAAGCTGGGAGGATCTGTCTCAATGGATGGCTCAGTGGGAGTCCTTTGGACTATGACTTAGCGGCTAGATACTAGGCCAATATCTTTGGCAAACGGAAACAAGTGCGGCTGTATACTCAAACTAGTGAGTTCTGTCCACAAGTCGAACATTTAGGTAGACCTGAGCAGCAAATCACATCTCTTTCCCCATCAGTGGATTCTCCAACCCTCGGATCTCTTCCAACTCCACTGACCGAGGCTGCAGTGACTGTCGCAGAAGATCGAAATCGACACATGTTCGCACGGGCATTGCGGGGTTGAACTCGGGTTTCCGCTGGGTCTCTGTCCACCGGAAGGTCATCAGATATGCATCGGCGTGACACTGGACACTCTGGCGCAGCATGTCCAGGCAATGGCCTTCTCAGAAAGGGCAGTAGTGTCAGCATGCGGCATTTTCGCCGAGGAGGGGGTGGGGGGTTCAGGATGCGATGGGAACCTACTAATGTGGGATTCGAGTTTGTTCTGCTCTGCGGCTGTTAAGTTGGGATGGTAATAGTCCCGGTGAATCCATTGGCGAAGGGTGTTCTTGAGCCCAAAGTAAGTACATGATTGCTAATAGAGCTCATCATGGGGGTTTTTGATTGGGTAGGGGAGGAGGAAAGGAGGCTGTACAATGCAATGCAGGTCGTGGTAGACTCCAAGCCAAGCAAGGTGCTTGTCATCTCGAGGCAGCGAGATTGAGGTCTGGTTTGCCAGGTCCAGTTCCTCGGTTGAAACTCGGATGAACATGTCCCCAAGTAGATCCTCCCAAGCTGCGTCGGTCAATGAGCCGGGATCCTGGAAATATGCTGTTTGGGGGTAGTCAGTGAATTTCGTGGGAACAAAGTGGCGTTGGAGGCCGCGAAGCTCTATATGGTGGTCAGTTTGATTTAGTCTCAATGTCAAAACAACCACCACCAAGCTTGCCTTCTCCCCGCGTCAATGAACATGCTGGGCTCGAACGGTGCGCAACCCAGGAAGCCAGAGATATCAAAACGAATGCATTTATGAGAACGGGAACTCCAATCCAAAGGGCGACTCGTTTAGAAAAGCTGGATTTGCACGTATGCTGAACCTGAGGCCACCAGCCTTGTTGCTGCTGCTGGTCACCATCTGTCGCGGTGGGCGTCAGAAAGGGCTGTGACTCTGTCTCCATGTTTTCAATCCGGCGGTGATCTCGCGCGATGGCACCGTAGTAGCAGTCCCTTGTCTTCAAATGAGTTTTTCTCTGCTTGGGGTTGGGAAGGACAAGAGTGTATTTGCGCTGCAAGTCAATCCGTTCTCAGTATAGATCATGTGTGCAGCCGAGTGCATCCTCATCACTTGCATGCCGCTAATGCTTCACATTACACATCACACACATAGCATGCGAGGAATCGGTGGGCTTGGAGCAGCCGAGTTTTGCCTCTCTTTTCCTTTGTGTCCCAGGGCTTGCTGTCTGGGTGTCGGTTGCTGGGCGCGGTATCGAGGTCTATAAGTCGGCGTCTCTACCTCACAGTGTCCGGGGCAGATAGAGGAAGAGAAGGAGAGAGGAAGTTTGCGTCCATTTCCAACCCGATCCCCGTCCATATCATCTTCTTTTATCTGAGAAGCCCAGAGCGTCGGTCTCAGCAGCAAAATCAGCATATCAAGATCTTATATCCCTTCTTTGCCGAACCACCTGTCTCAAGATGAAGCTGTTGTCCGCGATGATCCTCTTGGGGGCTGGGAGCTTCCTAGTCCTCGCACTTCCCACCTCCAATAGCAAAGGTAAAGAACATCCAACTCGCTCTGGTTCAGTTGGGAAACATTCGGTACTAACATCAATTATGCTCTGATAGCAACCCACTCCGTCGAAGAGAACATTGCGTACCCGGAGGCGTACAGGGAAAAGCGTGCGGAAACACCACAGGGCCGCTCCGTCTCCGTCGAGGCGGAGGTTGCTTACCCCGAGGCATACGCGGAGAGGAAATGAGGCACCTGTTGCTTTTTCAGTTGTGCTGTTGTTGATGGATAATGAAGTGAAACTTCAATGCTCTTTTTCCAGGTGCAGATTGAATAGCACAGAGTTTGTTTACCTGTTGGAAATGTGTCGCCAGTTGCCAAGGTTGATTTATCCGCTTATGCGCCCGAACAAAAACAAAAAGCAAAAGCAAAAGAAGAATGCGTCAGCGGGGAGTCGAACCCCGATCTATTGCTTGGAAGGCAACAATGCTAACCGCTACACCACTAACGCTCGCTTGTGATATTTTATTCTAGCTATTTTATATAAATGACCAACTGCAAATGATTTCATGCCTTATGTAAGAATGTAAGACTGGCGCCGAGCTGGGCGGCCCTGCAGAAAGTAATCTGTAATCTCTCTGCAACCTTGCCGTGTCCTGCTATCGTAACTCAGGGACTGCTTTGCTCTACTGCTATGGTTGAACACTCTTCTCTCGCTGCTTCGAGATCTAGCAAGATTTTATCTTCATCTAATGCGGCAGATCGGGTCGTTGCCTGCGACTCGTGCTACAAAAAAAAGGTGACGCCCTTTCTTTCCCTTCGGCCTTGCCACGCGCATACTGACGACTGATGGCGACTCCAAGATCAAGTGTGAGGCTGACAACCACCAATGTAACTATTGCTTGCACCGTAATATTGCCTGTACGTATAGCCGACTGGCCCGGGGCTCCAATAAAAGGTATGAATCGAACAGCCGCCGCCGCCTCCTCACAAAAACTCCAAGTCTGATCTATGGTTGATGTACTGTACAGAAAAGCCCCGGAAGCGGACCCAAATGCCGCCAGGGGCTCTTGGGATGAGCCGCTTGCCATGCGGCCGCATTCCTCCTCTACGAGTATGTATAAGACTTTTCGTTTCTGCGCTCTATTCGGTAATCGTCTAAAATCCCACTGCCAGAGGTTTCAATGGTCAATCTGGGGTTGATGTATCTCAACGGGAAGCGAGATAGCGCCGATGAGGGCCGGGCATGGGTGGAATCTCGCACCGGGGAGATCGTGAACATGGATAAATTGAGCACATTGGAGCTTCCATGGGCCAGAGTCGGTCCTGTCCGGGACTCTTCCGCCGTACCTCAGCTCCCCGCTCGCCCCATGGTGGAGCGAAGTGTTGCTTCATACTGTTCATCATATCAGAGCCTCGTGTTTCCGGTCATCAGCAAGTCACTGTTCGCCAACACCCTGGATCTCGCGTACGGGCCACACCGTTATGGTTCCGACAGTGCCAAGTCCTGCATCTATGCCTTATTGTCGGTGGTGGCGATCTTTGGCCTGGAGAATGATCTGGGCGATGCACTGGACTGCGAGGCGTATGCCATAGCGTCCCAGAGCTTCACAGTCCCGATCATCAATGAAATGACCATGGATGGTCTTCAGGCGCTTGTCATGCTTGTAAGTTGATTCCGACTGGAACCGAGAGAACTGGACTAAAGGCTACCTACCATCAGACACAGCACCATTACTTCCTAGGTGACTTACAAAGTGCGGCGGTCTCCGTGTCCATGGCCAGCCGTCTAGTATTCAAGCTGGGTGCGCATGCGAGACCTGGCCCCACCATCTATCACAAGAGCATACCCGAATGCCATCTGCGCGACCTGTTCTGGCTCTGCTACTCCTTTGATCAGGATCTCTGCCTCAGAACTGGACAGCCCCCGTCGATATCCGGGGTGTTCTGCTCCCTGGACCTCCCGACACATTACGCACAGCTGCAGGACACCAATCTGCAGCACCCCGAGCAGACTTTGGCCATCACGGATGCCATGCTCCCTCTCTATCCCTGGGACCTTCGTCTCTCCCAGCTCAAAGCCGAGATCTACGAGGCTCTCTACTCCGCGACCGCGTGCCAGAGATCCAATTCGGAGTTCTTCGCCCAAATTCGCCGCCTCGACCAGGCCTTGGAACATTGGCGCCTGAGCCTGGCTCCGGATATCCGGCCGACGCTTCAATTCTCCGTGGGAATGCCCGTCGACGCCCAGCTTAATACACAGGCCGTGATGCTGCGACTGGCCTACTACCACTGCGTCACCATCATCCATCAAGCCACCGAGCGGCATCACGATGGGCCCGGGATATGTTCGAGTTTGAGTCTCGCCATCAGGGCCAGTCGGTCCAGTCTGGCATTCCTCCAGACCGCATTGCCCGTGGTCGCAGGCGAATGCTTTTGGTACGTCCCTGAGCTGCGAAGAACAAGGGGGTGGGGGGGAAAGGTCAATTGACTGACGCTGCGCATCTCGATAGGGTTGTCATGTTCTACGCGATCACTTCCATCCTGACGCTCTTTCGCAACATCCTCAGAAACCCAAGAGATCCTGCCATGGCGGATCTGGCGGATGTGCTGCAGGGGGTCCCGAATCTGATCGGCAAGATCCCCATCCGGACGCTGACGGTGGGCCCGATGATTCATCTAAGGTTCTTAAACAATTTCGCCACCGAGCTTGCTAGGCTCGCTAGATGTGCTATGGCCAAAGCTGAGCGTGAGGTTGCTGCCAGCGACGAGCATTCTTTACCGTAACTTGTGCCCTCTCATGTGCAGTCGCGCGTGTCCAAGAAAAAGCCATGGAAGAATAAGCCTCCATCCTGCAGCAAAGTAAATACTAGCCATCTACAACAAATCCAATCATTCTTTCCGCTGTAGATGAAACTACCTACTACAGTAGTAAGTGTTCGATATACGGTGCATCGGAGTCTACGATTTCAAAGGGTTCTTCCAGTTTACCTAACCTTAGTGTAAATGTTTACTGCTAATTCTATGAGGGATTACATGACGTGGCACCGAAGCAGAGACCGCGCGCGGGTGTTTTCGAATCGCTGATCAGGGCTATATTTTCCCGTGCTTAGTGGAGGGATACCGGAAACCCGGTATAGAATTCCTCAAGTCCAAGTACATGGATTTTACTTATTCTTTCCTCTCTACATGTATGCATACAGTCGTTTAACATGGTAAACAGAGCCATTTTCTGCTAATTGCATGTACATCTCGGTTACTTATACAAAGGAGTTGCTGGTAGACCCACCGAGAAAAACTGGATCCGCCGCTGACAAAGCGGAGGCGCATTCCGCGGGACGCACTGCTTGGACTTGCGTCTCTCTCTCAAGTATGAAAAAGTACTCATTATAAAGCCATGCATCATCGATCGTTCGCTCAGTGGTAGGTAACTATTTTGCTCAGAAGAGCCCCACGCGTCTCATTCCTCATCCGTCGCTTGCATAGCCTGTCACAATGTCATCCTTTGCCTATTACTCTCTCCCCGGCTTCGGCGAGCAATGCCGCGAGCAATACGGGTTCAGCGATGCCTGCATTATCGGTGACCGAATGATCATCACTGGCCAGAGTGAGTACTGTTCCCCGTCTCACCCTTCCGCTGCGTGGGAGCCGGCAGTTGACCATCTCTCTCCTAGCCGGCATGGATCCGGTGACATGCCAGACCGCTCCTGATCTGGAGGCCCAAGTTGCCCAGGCCTTTGAGAACATCAAGGCTCTGATCGAGCGAACCTTGCAACAGGCCCAGCATCCCGCCTACCAAGAGGGAAAGTCCGGCTGGGAGCATGTCGTCAAGTTACACGCCTACTTTGTCGGCTTGTCGGCGGTGCGAGACGAAGCGCGAGCGATCATGGTGCGGCACATTAAACAGGCGTGCCCTAATCACCAGCCACTCTTCACCATGGTGGGCATCGAGAGCTTGCCATTCCCCGAGCATCGGGTTGAGCTGGAGGTTGATGTATGGATTGGCTGATTTCGGACCTATTGCTGTCTCGAATTGCTGTCATGGCGGTATCTTCCCACGATAGTACATCTGTATCACGGCCGCAAGAATCACTTGATGTTCTGTTCGTTGATCATATTCCAAACGGATCGGTGTCTCTGGACATGAAATATTGATTGCATGTCTCCCACTCCGATCAAGTGTTATCTAGCTGAATTGTTCGCCTTCCTGAGTTGAGGAGGTTGTTCGAATATGCTGCCAGGGCCAGTGATTTCATTGCATTATTAAGATAGAGATATCATGGGCTTAAGATAGCCGGTCACCACTTGGGCTATTCTTAGCGTCCATGCTCAGTAAGAGCCCCCCTTCAATGCACCGGTAGTGGTCCCCCGTCTAAGTGTAGGGCAGAACTACGGCAACTCGGCATCATCGGATGATCTTTGACCACTAAACCAGGGTCGAGTAGTGAGGCCATTCCAAAGAGGTACTCGGGGATCTGTACGGGCGCGATATCCTATCAGGTGCTTGTGGGGATATGAGTACCTCCATCTCCAGCCCCCGATGAGTAAGCGGTCTCGTCATGAGTTTGTGTCGGTGGAGGTGAATTATAAGTAGCTGCGGCAATCGCAGAGAAGCTTCTTGCCACACATTACACATCTCCTTCAACGTTTGTTCACTCTTGAAGCCTTTGGAACAGTGGTCGATCACGCATTATGTCTCCGCGCCTCGTGGTTGTTATTGGAGCCACCGGCTCGCAGGTTCGTCACCGGCACAACTCGCATTAGTACTTGCTGTACATCACACATCCTGCTTGGTAACTGACGATGGCTCAACTGAATTCTCGACGATAGGGAGGGTCCGTCGCAAGGGAGCTCCTCAAGAGCCCGCAGCTCTATCAAGTCAGGGCTGTGACCCGCGACCCCAGTAAGCCAGCAGCCCAGGAGCTCGCCACCCTCGGAGCAGAGATCCAAGCCGCCGATCTGGGTGACGGGGTTGAGGCGCTTACGGCGGTCTTTGCCGGCGCCGATACGGTCTTTGCGTTGACGGACTTTTGGGCAACACAGTCCTCCGAGGTCGAGATTGCGCAAGGTCGTGCCATTGTGGATGCAGCGGCCCGCACGTCGACCCTTCAGCACTTTGTGTGGAGTGCGCTGCCTGACCCCGAGAAACTCTCTGGCGGAGCGCTGCTGCATATCCACCACTGGAAGGGTAAGAGTCTCGTCACGGACTATATCCAGCAACAGCATCCAAACCTGTGGGCCGCGACCACTACCGTGCTCTTCCCAAACTATTTCGAAAATTGCCTGACGCACCCCGAGCGGTATCTGTCTAAGCCGGTGAGTCGGTGGTTCAGTGGTGATTCAGCCGGCGAAACATTGCTGACCGTTTCTAACAGGATGCGCAAGGAGTGTACAACATGAGCTTTCCGCATGGCCCGCTCACGGTCATGCCGAACGTGTCGATTCGAGATACTGGAAAGCTGGTCCGGCTGGTCCTTGAGTCTGGCTCCACTTACTTCACCCGCACCATTGCGTTCTATGGTCAAGCTCTCTCGGAGGCAGACAAGTTGGCTTCAATCGGTAGAAGTATGGAAAAGACCCGTTCTTGTGTCCCTCTCTCCTCTTCCTGCTACCAAAACCAATGATCGTAGACGGCTCACATTTCACAACACAGAGTATAACCTCCAAACCAAATATCAGACCTTGGACCCGGACGATTATCAGCGACTTCTGGAGACTCGGGACGGCATGTCTCCCGAGATTGCACTGGATTTCACCGAGCAGCTCCTCATGTTCGAGAGGTTCGGCAATGTCTACGACACACCCGAGTTTGTGCAAGCTAAAGAGGTACGTGGGCCGACCTGGTTTGATGCATGCCAGCCGATTATGAGAACTCATCCGCCAACACTCACGCATCCAGATACCTGGATTAAAACTTCAAACCTGGGATGAATTCCTGGCAGAGCATGATCTTCTTGCCTACATGAAAAAGGTCTGAGAGAGGGCGCGGGGAGACGGCTACATGAGCCGTGCCTGGTCTTTTCTGCCTCGCCGGGTTCGCTTATGCACTGTCTTGGTGAGCGCTGTTATCAGTTTTTCTCCTTGGCTCGACATCATCGCGGCTTTGCGGGGGTATACTTCATCTAAGTTGGAAATTAGACCAGCTGTAGCCGGGCGAATATGAGACTGAACTTATGCCAAACTCTCAGTGTTACGGTAGTCTATAAGGGAGCTTCTTGAGTCATGGTTGCAACACACGCCGGTAAGGAAGATCTGGGCAAACGCCTGCTAAGGCAGCTGGACCTCCTGCCATAATTACAAGACCTCTTGCGTTACGTCCTATATCCCTCTAGTACGATACGACGAGTTCGTAGCACCACGCTCAGAAGGAAACTGTACCTTCATCAGGCCTCCACCTTGCTGGGATGGAGGGCACGGTCGATGAATCTCCCACCGTTGCGGGTTCGCGGGGTGGCCAAATTGCCCTCAATGACCGCGGTCACTCAGAGAATCGTAGATCTCAGGTAAGCCCTGGGTTCGTGATCGAGCACTGGGGCAACTGAGCACCGCCAATCCACAAGGATCGCCGCTTAGTAATCGGAGGCGATGGAGAAAAGTACTGTAGCAATTCATACCAAGGCCCGAACCAGAAGTGAGGTGCTCCACCCAGCGACAAATAAATAATCCCCCGTCGGGAACTGGGCAGTTGAAGTGAGCACAGCCCTGTGCGTCAAAGTCCAAGTTTTAACAACGGAAACCTTCATCCGGGCATAATCCAACATGACCAAGGTTGTACTCATTACCGGTGCTAGTCGAGGTAAGACATCCCTCGCCGGATTTCTCAAGAAACAGCAAAGTCCGGCTAACCAGGGTGCAGGCATCGGGAAAAGACTGGTGGCGCAGTATCTTGCCCGTCCAGACACGACCGTGATCGCAGCCGTACGGGACACGACATCCGCGAGCGCAGAGCAGCTGGAGACTCTGCCTAAGAGCAAAGATGGATCCCGCCTCATAGTCGTTCGACTCGCAGCAGATGATGCCCATGGCGCGAGAGAGGCAGCCTCGGAGATTCAGAAGCAGAATGGCCTGGATCACATTGACATCGTTATCGCCAATGCGGGTATATGCGATCACTGGGGCCCAGTCTTGGAAGCCGCCGAGGAGGAGGTGAGGTCGCACTTGGAAGTTAACACCCTGGGGCCTCTTCGTCTCCTCCAAGCCATGGCACCCTTGCTAAGCAACGCGAGTGCGCCGAAATTTATCTATATTTCAACGCTACTTGCCAGCATTGGTGGGATTGGCCAGACGTATACCCTTACGGGCCCGTATGGAATGTCCAAGGCGGCCGGAAACTACTTGGTCAGGAAGGCTCACGCGGAGAATGAGCATCTGGTCACCTTGTCTATCGATCCTGGGTAGGTCCGAACCTTCTGTTTCCATGTTCCCACTGCAAGCTGCTGACCAGGTGGGGGAGGTAAGCCTTGTACAGACAGACCTGGGCAATCGCGCGGCCCAGTATTATGGGTTGGACGAGGCTCCAGTGACGCTGGAGGACAGTGTTAGCGGAATAATGACACAGGTAACGACAGAGAAAACTCACGACTGTTGCCAATTCAGCACGGCTGACCTTCCTCCAGATCGAAACAGCCACAAAGTCGACCACTTCTGGCATGTTTGTAAATACCAGCGGAGAAAACGTGGCTTGGTAGTTGGAGTGGATTGTAGGGTTAGCAATATAATGAGAGGGTTCGGCGTCATGCTGAACGCGAGTGGAGCTACAGCGTGTAGGAGAGTCTATTTACGGCTCCAAACAGCGGGCGAATGAAGCCTTTTGAAGTTGTTGGATACTTGAATATCTTAGGTACTTAAGACAAGATGTGATGAAATATCCAGAAATGACGGGGTTGAATATCTCCGCGCGCATAAGCCGCGCTCTGTCTTCTGTCTCGCATCATCTCACCTCCATCTTTTCAAATAGACCCACTAAACCACTATCAACAGATGGGTCAAGATGATCCCCTTTGAGTCAACACATCTCCGCCAACTCCTGCTCGATCCCCCGCCACACCACCTCACGCAACGGCCCCTGCAACCAATAATTCCCGGCGGCATCCTTCCCCATGATGGGCATGAGATTCCGGAGATCGAACTTGGTCGACCACGCGTTGAACTGCACCATCGACGCGAACCCGGGCTTCTCCGCGCGCTGCGCCGCCGGCAGACCCTCGCGCACGATCGCCGCCGAGAAATCCGTCTCGAAGTATCTGCCCTTGGTCCAGTTGGAGTAGCTCATCATCTCCATGGACGCGTCCCCGAAGATCGGCCAGCTGTGGCCCTCGGTGGCGAAGGTCTGCCGCTTGACGCACTGTAGGGCTTCGACCTGTTCCCGCGTGCCGCCGGTGGTCATGGACCGGCGGATGGCGTGCGCGGCGTAGCTGAGGGGGCGAGTGAAGAAGTCCTTGACTTGCAGGAACGTGTAGATCTCGGTGGCCGCGTTGGAGATGAAGGCCTTCGACGCAGGAAGGTGGGAGTCGCCCAGCACGGTGGAGAGGGTGAAGGCGTTCATGATGCGCATGGTGCGCGTGGAGGTGCGCGGGTAGAGGGCCGACAGCGTCAGGCGCGTGAACCATGCGGTGATGATGTCGTTGTCGCTCACGAAGGCCGTGTCGTCCCCGGTCGAGGCCCGGATCTCGGCGATGGCGCGCTGGCGCAGGTTGGCCAGGTACGCGCCGGGGATGCAGACGATGCGCGACCCCGTGCGGTACCGCCAGCCGTCGTACAGCTGGTGCGCGATGAAGAGGTACTTGCGCCACCCCGTCAGCTGCTTCTCCGCGTACATGTACTTGGTCGTGGACTGCGGGTCGGTGCCGAAGCTCGCCAGCGGGTCGTGGGCGTAGCCGTGGAATGCGGGGATTTCGTCCTCGCGGCCCTGCAGGACGAGCGCCCACGAGCGGTAGATCTGCGCCCCGCCGGTGCCATCGGTGAGGGTGTGCGGCAGCGAGATGGAGACGAGGGTGGAATCCCTGAACGAGGCAATGTGCAGACTCAGCTGCGGCACGTCGCGCGTCAGGTAGTCGTGCAGGGTCTTAGGGGCCTCCGCGCTGGTGGTTAAGGAGTCGAACTCAGTGGGATCGGCCACGACGGCGGGCTTAGCGGTCGGTCGGGGGAGGCGTGAGGCCAAGGGGTGCTCGAGGATGAAGGTTTCGTAGGAGGCGTGCGAGTAGTTCACGATGGGGCGTTTGGCGTCGTAGTACTCCGGGATGTGGTATTCGAGGCCCCCGTTTTTCTGCGGAATTTCAGCTACGGTCCTTATCTAAGCTTGTGAATGTAGTGAACGTACATTCAAGCGCAGCCGTGCTCCGATCTTGCGCCATCCAGGTCGGTCGAGCAGTCTCTCAAAAGACGATCGAAGCTTCTCCGGATCCAGCACGTCATCGAACCGGTAGGACAGCACCACGCACACACTGCGTAGCACCTCCGTGTCGTCAGCGGCATTCAAGGGGATGACCGTGTCCGTGGGGACGCGAGCAGGCTGGGCTGGTTCACTGCTGCTGAATAGTCCAAACATGATGCTGGGTGTGCGGTTGAAGCAGGGCTGTGGAAAGCTCGCAGGACAGGTAGGAGTGCGCAGGGTGCGGTGGTCATGTCGTGTCTTTCGACTTCTTTAGCGCTTTCGGTGATTTATGGCTGTGACCAGGTATTGTCATCTTGTCAGCAATGAGAAGCAGTGGAGATATTGGGCGCTGTCTGTGTCTCCGATTTGTTGGTCGGGAATTTTGGGGATGATCGGGAATATCCAGCGATGGAGTCCCCGCGAAGCCCTAACTCACCCTCTCTTGACTTCCTCGCAAGACAGACCATGTCCAGCCCGGAGGTTCTGATCGGAAAACCATAGTAACATCTTTGCCGTGGGCCTTAGGGCTCTGTGGCGATACTGATCGGATATATCGCACAAACAAAATACCGATCGCCAAGTAATAGTTCGATAATGCAGCAGCGACGGCTATGAAAGCAACACCTGGGCAGCAGCAGAGACAAATAGAAGACCGCTCAGTCGCGGTAGCGATCTAATCCGATCCCCACGCTCGTCGTCCTCTCAACCTGGATACAGATACAGAAGCTTCTGTCAGTATGGAGTTCGACCTCGGTCGGAATCTGTCCGCCCCTGCACCGGGCATCCTGCCCATCGCAGACTCGCGATCCTATACTGTAACTCTAACCGCTCTATGGATCCCCATCTTCATTGCAATCTCGCTACTGTGGTATGGACGACTGGAGAGTCCCCTGGCTCATGTGCCCCTCGTGTCCACCGGGAAGTCCTCGTTCTGGGATATCGGCCACAAAAAGGCCAAAGAGAGCTTCGCGGCCAATGCGCGCAAGATTGTTGCCAAGGGGTTTCAGCAGGTACAATGCCTATTCTGGAATTGGGTTAAGATGGTGGCTGATGAGGGGTTAGGTTGGCAACACGAAGCCGTTCAGGGTCATCTCCGATCTCGGGGAGATGCTGGTCCTGCCGCCCTCGATGGCGGATGAAGTGCGGAATATCGATGCGCTCAGTCACGGGGAGTTCATGAAAGAGGTTTGCCATCGTGCGTTCCCGGTAGCAAGACGCTGTCCGACTGACTGGGGTGTGTAGTCCACATGTGCGGAAGTCCATGGATTCGAACCGTTCTTTCAATCCACAGGGCATAGTCTGTTGGCTGATATGACCAAGACAAAGTTGATGGGGTCGCTGAGTACGTTCTCGTTTCCAATGGGTCAATTCTAATACTAACCCTGGGCCAGAACAGCTGACGGACCCTGTCAACGAGACAGCGAGCCAAGCGTGCAGAGATCTGTTCCCTGATGACGACGGTGAGCTCACTCACTCCTCTCTATCAGACTTGAAAACGTACCACCTAACAAGGGCATAGAGTGGCACGAAGTGGTCCTCAAAGACATTCTCCTTGAGATCATCGCCCGGATGTCGTCAACCATCTTCTTGGGCGATGAGGAGGTCCGTCATGACAAGACCTGGCTCCGCCTCACCAAGGAATACACAGTGGACTCCTTTCTCGCCGCGCACCAGCTGCGCACCTATCCGCAATTCCTCTGGCCTGTCCTGGCCATGCTCTTCCCGCAGGCGCGCAAGGTCCGCGACCAGCTCCGGCAGGCCGAGGCGATCATCCGCCCGCTCATCGAGCGGCGACGCGCCGAGAAGGCCGCCGCGCTGGCCGATCCGAGCATCAAGCTGCCAGAGCGGTACGACTCGATCGAGTGGCTGGAGCAGACTTCTCAAGACCGCAAGATCCCGTACGCCCCCGTAGCGATGCAGCTGACGCTCGCGCTGTCGGCCATCCACACTACCACCGACCTCATCACAACGACCATGTACGAGCTCCTGCGGTGCCCGGAGGCGATTCAACATCTGCGGGAGGAGGTGGTTTCCGTCATGGGGAGTGGAGGGATCAAGCATTCAGCGCTGTATAACCTCAAGCTCATGGACAGTGTGATCAAAGAGGCGCAGCGAATCAAGCCTGCTTTATCAAGTAAGTCCCTGCCTATATTTCCCAGCAGTTCTTTTCCTATTCACACAACAAGCACACCCCTGACCCAAATCCAATCGGTAGTCAACATGGTCCGCAAAGCCACCGCAAACATCACTCTCCCCGACGGTTTCCGCATCCCCAAGGGCACTATGCTGGGCGTCTCGCACCACGGCGCGTGGGACTCGGCCGTCTTCCCCGACGCCGACAAATTCGACGCCTTCCGGTTCGTGCGGCTGCGCGAGCAGCCCGGCAACGAGAACCGGTGGCAGTTGACCACCCTCCGGTCGGAGCATATTGCCTTCGGGCATGGGCTGCACGCGTGTCCGGGGCGGTTCCTGGCAGCGAATGAGATTAAGATCGCTCTGTGCCATTTGCTGATGAAGTTTGAGTGGAAAATTGCTGGGGAGGTGGAGCCCAGGATCATCGAGAATGGGATCTTCTTGGATTCAGACCCAGGGGTTAGAGTCTTGGTCAGGAGGAGGAAGGGGGAAGTTGAGGTTTAGGTTGTTGATTGCTGTGGGAGTTCTTGGGGAGTGAGTTGATGTCATGCCTGTGGTAAGCGATATGGTAGCAATACTTGTTTCGGGAATTGAATTGCATTGAGTCGTTATGATGTACCTTGTTGAGGTTTGTGAGGCATGGCCTTAGGAAGACGATTTGGCATGACGAGAAATTAGAAACTACCTAATGCTTGATACATATCGAGAAGAAAGCCATCCTGTTTGCGCTCTGGCTTGGCAAACTAATCAGTACAGTACTTAGCATCGACCTAAACACATGGCCCAGAACAGCACGAGCCTAAGGATACATTGTGATTTATCAGAGCATGACTACACGTGGTACTAGATGAAATTTACATATAGCGAAGCCGTAACACCTATATCCTTAATCCCAATCCCGAAAAATTCAATTCTTTCCCTCCAGGTATCATAAGTATCCCATAACTCCGTTCAGAGCCCCAAATAGGGACAGCATCAAATACTCGTCAAGACTTGACGAGTTTGATATCCTTGCTGCTGGGGCCTCCCCAGCACCATCTCACCAAAGTGATGAGCTGATCCAAATCCCGCTCGCGCATGTCCATAAGCGGGGTGCTCCGCATGAATAGTTCGCCCTTGTCGAAGTATGCCTCGATCACTCGGAGATAGTGCTCCCCGATGGCCGAGAGCAGCAGTACCTGCAAGAGATTATCAGCACCCCAACCGCAGTATCTTGGGGAAATAGTGACTAAGAGCTTACAGGAGCAATGACATGAGGTCGGAGCGAAGGGTCCCGCAAGCGCCCGTGCATGATCATTATTGCGGCGTCAACCTCGCCGCGACAGAGCTCCTCATTCTGCGGCCGGGCGAGTTCACTCCACATGAGGGCCACCATATGAGGAGCTCCGGAGTTGGCATCGTCCCCCACCGCTAGAACCTGCCATTGCGAGCCCATAGTCACGCACTCCAGGTTCTCGAAATTGATATTCCCCCAACTGCACAGCCAGACATTAGTCAAAGTTTCAAAGAAAATAGCAGTAGGTAGGAAACTTACCAGGTCATCGCAAAGCGAGGTGGATGCGTGCCTGTTTCTTGCATTTGGCACCGGCTGAGAAAGCGTTCCAGACAGATGGCGAGATGTTGGGCGTTTTTGTATGGGCATCCGTCGTATTGCGGCCAATCCTCGGCATCTTCAGGATACTCATAGTCGGGTTCCTCGATGGGATACGGATGGGCGGAGAAGTGATAGGGAGCATGGTCGGCGTCACCTTCCAGGGACATTCCTGTATGAGTGATCTTGACCTGCTCGAGATGAGCGGGCAACAACCGATGATCCATTGCGCCGAGCGGCCCATAAATCTCGTTCAGCGCCCGGCGGCGAGCTTTCCTCTCAGCAAGGATTTGGCCTTCTGACTGCATGTTGCAGATCTCGTGGCGAGGCACAATAAAGATTTGTGACAAGAGAGAGAGAAGGTGAGATGTGAAGCGAAGAAGAAAGGAATGGATCGCGCGTATGCAGGGATGTCACGTGGTGCGGGGGATTTCCTGCCCGAGGCATCAACCCTGGAAAAACAGGTCTTTTCGGCCAATTTAACCACGTCGGTGTGGCCGAGTCTGCCGAAGACAACAAACCGATAGGCCTTCGGGCAATGGGTATAGATACTGAAGACGCTGTGTAGTTGGACTACTAATCAACCCGAGGTCGCGGGGAGGATGCAAAGCAACGGAGACATACAAAGGCAGACTGGGAACGGCCGCTGAAGCCGTTGCTTGCAACACTATATATATATATATCTTGGGTTTTACAGGGAATTAAAGGGCATGCAGGCATGTTTTTGGTCTCAATGACCGTCATAGCTGAGCTGCAATAAGCGGGCTGAGTTCTCTCACGGGGCTCCTTGGGTTGATAGAACATAAATTGAATTGAATTGAATTGAAACGCGGCCATGCGCATTCTTCGTTCCTAAGACCGCCATAAGAATTTCATTACTGTGGGAAGTCAGACCTGCTCAGTAGTAGCCCGGGTCCTGAACCTAGATGTATTAGAGTACGCAACTTTGAAGCGTGGGACATAAAACTTAATCTATACAGGGCATAAAATGGCTCCACATCAGAGGATGATCACGTAGCCGAGATAGCCATTCTAGGAAAAGACCACTTACTCTAGACCAAGATAGTGACATGATATCCCTAAATAAGCTCACTGTCGACGGGATGCTCAATCTAGCTCTGGATCTAAACTCTACACAGCCTCCCTTTGGAATCGACCTCCCACGCAGCACTCCCCACCGCCGTCTTCGCATAAAACACATGCGCTGGATCATACTTCTCCTTGACCTCAAGCAACTGTGGATAATTCCTCCCATACAGCTCCACCTCCCAGTCCCCTTGCCACTGCGCATCGATCTCATTCAGATACGTCCCCGCACCGGGCGTCGCCCGCTCGAGCCCCGGGATCAGTGTGTCGACCAGCTGCGCCTTCCAGGCCTGCATTTGTTGTGGGGATACATTCCAGTCCCAGTAGCTGACGATGTTGCACGTGGCGATGGCGTCGCGCCAGGCGGGGAGCACTGCGTTGTCTGGGTGGGGGATGTCCTTCACGTTGAGGGCGTGGCATCCCAGCGAGAGGTCTGGGTCGGTCTCGACGACGGCGCGCAAGGCAGCGACGATGGCTTGGTTCTGCATTATGCTCTGCAACCCGGCGCGGGGGATAAGGCGCGATGTCAACTGCACCGTGGCGGGGCCGGCGCCGGCGATGCCCGGGCCAAACCGGCTGGCGAAGTAGTCGTGGTAGCTCGGGGAGGTGGTGGGCATGAACGAGTAGGGAATGTCCCGCTTGGTGAGGCGGGTGAGAAACGGCTTCAGCAGATCCTGCACTTGTGTGCCGTTTTTGTCTGGCACGGTGATGGCGTAGGCTTCGAAGCCGGTGGCCGTCAGTGCGAAGTCCCACGTGTTGGGGCCAGCGTCGACGAATTGGGGCAGGAACTGCCACAGATCGGAGATGGCGGACCAGTAGGGCTCTGGGTTGCTGGCAGAGATGTTGAAGAACAGCAGACCGCTGCCTATGGGCCCATCGACGAAGATCTTGGTCGTCATGCTGAGCACCACGGCGAAGGTCCCCGGACCCCCACCGCTGAGCGCCCAGTATAGGTCGGCGTTGTTGTACGGCGTTGCGACGAGGTGCTCCCCCTGCGCGGTGATGACCTCCCATTCCAGCACCGCGTCGGCGCCCATCCCGTAGGCGCCGTTGAGCAGCGAGTGTCCCCCCCCTGAGGTGTAGCCCCCGGCTAGCCCGACGGTGGGGCATGTCCCTCCCAGAATGCGATAGCCCGCTGCCCCGAGGATGGAGTAGACTTGCCCGCTGATCACCCCGGCACCTAATCGGGCGGCTGGCCCGGTGTAGTTGGCACTCGAGTACGAGGGAAGGATGTCTGTCGTGTTGAGGTTGTGCGTCCACAGGGAGAGGGCACCTGTTCCAGTGGATTTGCCCATGAAACTGGTTGGGTTAGATACAGTCTTCTCGATCAGGGGAACTAGGGCCGTACTCATGACCGGTGTTCTTGATCACCAGCCGGATGTTATTCTCTCGTGCGAAGGCAACGCCAGCAATCACATCGTCGGCGCCGGTGACATTAATGGAATAGCTGGCATAATTGCCTAGAATGCATGGTTGAGAGGCTGGAGTGAACGGAACACAGGTGTAGTTCTGTACGTAAGGGTTCATGACCTCTGCCGGATGGTCCAGACTAGGTATAGGTCAGTTGCAACATGGTATACATGCAGACAGATGTACTGACAAGGTAGTATCGTCCAGCCATGTGGTCTTGAGGGCACTGCAGACATCCGCATCGTAGTTACCGAACGGCTCGCTGTGGCAGACGCTGGGCAGGGGGGTCGTGGCAATCAATCGGCCGTGAACTGTCTCATTGAGGGCGTACCATTTGTCGAGCGAGGGCCAAGAAGCATCCCCAGGAATGGCGCGGCAGGAAGCATTGGAAGCAGACCGGGGGAGGGTTACACTGCGCCCAGCAGCCAAGCCGAGTAACACAGTCCACAGTATGGGTTGCATGATGCACAATTGTGATTATCCTGGTTCTTGAAATCTGCATAGATCTGGGACAAGTCAATCTCCATGTTCTCGAGTAGAAGAACAGGATTGCATCAGTTGATGAGGTGCATCGCAGCAATTCGGGTTAGGGTTGCGGACAGCCCAGAAATTCCCGAGTGGGCTCTCGGGAATTGTGACGCGGCGTCATGAATGCTCCGGAAGTGAGCATAGATTCTTCTTCTGCCTAACTGCTGACCTCGGGAGATTGTAGTGAACTGCCGATACTGATCTCGTTGCTCTTGGAGAGACTTGGTTTATCATTTGAGAGGGCTGGATCAAAGCCCCGCCCCTCAACGTTCGTCTTCGTATACGCCCCATCCACAAACACAGTGTAAACTTCACAATGGGGAAGCCAAATGCCATCCCTGAGCCTCCGGGCTGGCCTATTTTGGGCAATTTGCTAGACATTGATATGGAAATGCCCCTTCAGTCGTTGTATGACCTGGCGGACAAACATGGTAGGACTGCCGCCTTCAGGGACTATAGTTAGGGCTGACCAGGCTAGGCGAGATCTATCGAATGCGCTTCCCAGGAGGCCATACCTTCATCATCGCCAACAGCTATGCAATGGTGAATGAGTTCTGTGATGAGAGACGCTTCCCAAAGACCATTTCAGCTCTGAGAGTAAGTACCTCTATGCGTCTCATCGTGCCATTCACTAATATAAGCCCAGGAAATGCGACACGCCATGCACGACGGCCTCTTCACGGTAAATCCTCACCACCCACCAATCAACCCGTCTAGAACTAAAGTTTCCAGGCCATCGACGGACAAGTCGAGCCCAAGTGGGGCATCGCCCACCGAATCCTCGTGCCAGCATTTGGCCCCTCGTCGCTGCGCAACATGCTGGACGGGATGTACGATATCGCCAGCCAGCTCGCGATGAAGTGGGCGCGCCACGGCGCGGACAGCCCCATTACGGTGACCGATGAGTTCACGCGTCTCACTCTCGACACGATCGCTCTCTGCTCGATGGACTTCCGCTTCAACAGCTACTACAAGGAGGGGACGCACCCGTTCGTCGCCGCCATGAGCGACTTCCTGACCGAGAGCGGCGACCGCGCGCGGCGACTGCCCATCCCCGCCTTCTTCTACCGGGGCAAAGACAAGAAGTTCTTTCGGGATATCGAGGTGATGCGTAAAACGGCGAATGAGATCCTGCAGGAGCGCAAGCGGGAGAAGAACTTGGATTCGCGCAAGGATCTGCTGTCGGCCATGCTGGACGGGGTGGATCCAAAGACTGGGCAGAAGATGACCGAGGACAGTATCCTGGATAATCTCATCACATTCCTCATTGCGGGGCATGAAACGACCTCTGGTATGCTATCGTTTGCCATGTATCATCTTTTGAAGCATCCGGAGATGTATCGCAGGGCGCAGAAGGAGGTCGACGAGATTTGCGGGAAGACGCCGATCCGGTTTGAACATTTGTCCAAGCTTTCTTATATCTCTGCTGTGGGTTGCCTCGTCTGCTCTGGGACTCACCAAGACTGACACTTGCAGGTCCTCCGCGAGACTCTCCGTCTCACGCCACCCCTCCCGGTCTTCAACGTGGCCGCCAAAGAGGACGAGATCGTGGGCGGCAAGTATCCTGTTCGCGCTGGGGAGTTGATCATCGTCCTCGTGGGACGCTCCCAGCTCGACCCAATGGTTTTCGGCGCCGATGTACACGAGTTCAAGCCCGAGCGCATGCTCGATGAGAATATTGACCGTCTCAACAAAGAGTTCCCCAACGCCTGGAAGCCATTTGGTAACGGCACACGAGGCTGCATCGGCCGCCCGTTTGCCTGGCAGGAAGCCCTGCTGGTGCTGGCCCTGCTGCTGCAGAACTTCGACTTTGAATTTGACGACCCGGACTATACTCTCGCGCTCAAGCAGACCCTCACCGTCAAACCGGCCAATTTTCAGATCCGCGCGACTCTTCGTGACGGACTGACTGCCACGACGTTGGAGCATCGACTGGCGGGCACAACACCTCCGCCGAAATCGGACGCAGCGGGTGCGTTGAATGGCGTGGCTCCGACCAGCACCGAAGGACAGCCCATGAGCATCTATTACGGATCGGATAGTGGAACGTGTCAGTCCATGGCGGAGCGGCTAGCTGCGGACGCCTTTTCGCATGGGTTCCGCGCGCGTGTCGTGGATTGTCTCGACAACGCTGTCGACGGACTGCCGGCCGACGAGCCGGTGATCTTCATCACTGCCTCGTATGAAGGCCAGCCACCCGACAACGCAGTTCACTTTGTCCACTGGCTTGAAGAGCTGAAAGAACAGAAAGCCGCACTGCAGGGCATCTCATACGCGGTCTTTGGATGTGGTCACCACGACTGGGCGGCGACCTTCCACCGCATCCCGCGCCTCGTCGACGCAGCCCTAGCCCGCCACGGAGGGGAGCGCCTCGCCGCGCTGGGTCTCACTGATGTGGCGGCCGGCAATGAGATGACTGACTTCGAGGCCTGGGAAGACGAGGTGCTCTGGCCCGCCCTGACCAAACGATACAGGGCTGCTGTTCCCCAAGGCCCCGCGCTGAGCGTGCAGGTCACCAGCCCGCGCAAGGCCACCCTCCACTACGACCTGCACGAGGCCGGCGTCATCTCCACCAACACGCTGACCAGCCCCGACGCTTTCGTCGCAAAGCACCAACTCATCCTCGACCTGCCAGACCACTTGTCCTACACAGCAGGCGACTACCTCGCCATCTTACCCGTCAACCCACGCAAGTCCGTCCACCGCGTCCTGCGCCACTTCCACCTCCCCTGGGACGCCCACCTGACCATCTCCACCAAAGGACGCACTCCCCTGCCCCACGATGTCTCCCTCCCCGCCACTAACATCTTTGGAAGTTATGTCGAACTTGCCCAGCCCGCCACCAAACGCGATCTCCTGTCTCTAGCCAACGCAGCCAAGGACCCCTCCACAAAGACCCGGCTCGAAGCCCTCGCCAATGACAACCACCGGTACAGCACCGAAATTGCCGCGAAGCGTCTCTCCGTTCTGGACGTGCTCGAATCCACGCCGGACATTGCCCTTCCCATTGCATCGTTCCTGCGCATGCTACCCCCCATGCGCCTGCGACAGTACAGCATCGGGTCCTCTCCACTTGCAGATCCGAAACGGGTAGTTCTCACTTACTCCCTCCATGGAGGGGAGGGAAACGAGGGCGTAGCAACAAGCTACCTCTCGCACCTCTCCGCGGGCGATAAAGTCCACGTCGCCGTCCGGGCCTCTCACGCTGCGTTTCATCTCCCTGCTGATATCACCAAGACGCCAGTCATTATGGTAGCAGCGGGGACAGGCATCGCCCCGTTCCGTGGGTTCGTCGAGGAGCGCGCAGTGCGGCACGCGGAGGGACAGGTGCTAGCGCCGGCGGTGCTGTACTTCGGGTGCAGGGATCCGGGCCACGATGATTTGCATCGGGGGGAGTTGGATAAGTGGGAGAGGCAGGGGGTGGTGACCGTGTGGCGAGCGTTTAGTCGAAGGAGTGCGGAGAGTGAGGGACGTCGCTATGTGCAGGAGAGAGTGTGGGCGGATAGGGAGAGGGTGCGGGAGCTGTGGGAGGACGGGGCTAGAGTGTATGTTTGTGGGAGTTGGGCTGTGGGGGAGGCTGTTAAGGAGGTGTTGGTGGATGTGTTCTGGGAGGGTCGGAAGACTGATGAGTTTGGGGATAGGGCTACGAGGGAGGAGGTGAGGGGGTGGTTCGACGGGTTGAAGAATGTACGGTGGGCGGTGGATGTTTTCGATTAGTTACGAGTGCTACTGCAGATGTGGAATATTGGTTGCGTTGATAATGTCTCGGATCTAAAGCAATTGTTGAATATTATGTGAGTGTCATATTCAATGCATTCATGCGAATGACACTGCGTGTGTTTGCGCTCCTCAGACGAAGGCATGTACAATACTCTGGATACTCTGAGATAGCCCTAGAAACCTACAGCACAAACCAGCTGTATCTCACCAACCACGCACATGCAACTTCCTCTCGGACACTCCAATTCAGAGAACCAGCTCGGGGATATCCAACCGCAAAACCTCCGAACCGGAAATTCTACAGGAAAATCGGCAATTACCCACCCATCTACGGGCTAGTACTCCCAATGCCTGAACATACTAAAGCTATCTCGTCTATACCACCATTATCTCGCCATCAACCATCCAGCATTCTATTCTTCTTCTAACACACGTCAACAAAATGACAACCTCCAACCCCGCCTGGCAAACCGTGGACCTGCAATGGCACCCCACCATGCCCGGCCACCCGGTCACCACCCTCCTGCACCCAACCCGGCCGTCCACGACCGAGCAGAACCTCATCGCCCGGATGTGGGTCCTCTGCGCCATCGAGATGCACCCCAAGCTCCAAGCCATCCCTGCCGCCAACCTGACCCGCCCGCACTTCGCCCGTTATCGCGCCTTCATCGCCGAAGAGTTCGAGCGCTTCCACCGCCCACACTACCCACAGGTCCCGGATTCACGCGCGCTGGTTGAGCTGTCTAGCGCGGAACGCCACAGCCTCATGGCCGCCCTGCGCGAGCAGACCCGGGACACGGAGCTGTGGCCCGTCATCGAGGGCCCATGGCGGGTGTATGAGAATGTGGTGGATATTGTCGAGGGCAGGGTCAAGCTCGTCAAGGTGCTGCTGAAGGATGGGCTGCTGGAGAGGTTCTATGATTGGGCGAATGGGTTGTCCGAAGTCAGGCCTTTGTTCCAACTGTTGGGGCAGTCGAGGCCTGGGCTGCGGGTTCTGGAAATCGGGGCGGGGACGGGGGGTACCACCGCTAGGGCTTTGGAGGGACTCGCGGGTGGGACTGAGGGACCCGGGTTCGGGGAGTATGTGTTCACCGATATCTCGACGCTGTTTTTTGAAAAGGCCCGGGAGAGGTTCCAGGGGTATGAGGGGATGGAGTATCGTGCGTTGGATATTACGAAGGATCCCGCGGAGCAGGGGTTTGAGATCGGGGGATTTGATATTGTTGTTGCGTCGAATGTGAGAGTACCTTCTGATCTATACGTTGGTCGTGAGGTTGACGAGTATAGGTCCTGCATGCGACTCCGTGTTTGGTGGAAACGCTGAAGCATTGTCGCTTGTTGCTCCAGCCGAAGGGGGTGCTCTTTCTTCAGGAGCTGTCGCCGCGTGAGTCGTGTATGCTCTGGTTCAATGGGGAGGTGCTGACAATTTCAAAGCAGGGAAATATGTGGACTACATGGTGGTGAGTACGAATTGGGCTGAATTGGCGTGGTTACTGATGCATACAGGGACTCTTGCCCGGCTGGTGGCTGGGTGAGGCGGATGGGCGCGCGGATGGCCCCTGTGTGCCCCCAAAGGAATGGGACCAAAGGCTGCAGCTGGCGGGCTTTGAGGGATTGCATGCTGTTGGCTTGGACAGCGAGCCTCCGTTCTACTACAATGCCAATATGCTGGCTCGACCGGCCGTGTAGGGCGACTGGGACGACACTTGTTAGCTAGCCCTGGTTTGAGTGACAATTGAGAGGATGACCCTTCTTACAATGGGCAGGAGCTGCGTGCTTTCTCGTGTCTGAGTCTTCTATGTTATCTCTTGGCTAGATATGATCATCTGCCGATTACGTAGAGAGCAATATAGAAACTTAAGACTGCGGTATCAGACAGCAGCGATAATCAGTTGCAACTTATAGATCTCAATCCCGACAAGTATATCCATAACCTTCAACAAGATCATACAATAAATCCAATGGTCAATCCCTCGCAGAGTACAAACAAGTCCGATCAGTACTTAACAAGGCTCACCACTGATACAGCATGGCAACCCTAAGACACATCCACTTGCTCATCCAACCCCACCATCCTCAAACTATCCTCCCACAGCCTCGCCGCCATCGCCTCATCCCAAATCCAACTCGCCCATCCCGGCAATGCAAACTGCCCGCGCGACGCCTCATCGGCCTCGTCGGCAACCTGCACATCATCCAGATACAACCCCCCCTTGCCCTCCAACTCGCTAGCCACCGCCGCCCAGACCTGTGTCGCCGCCCCCTGCTCGACGCTCTTCTCCATCTTCGCCAACAACGGCTCCATCGTGTAGTACTGCTCCCGCCTTCCAGACGACGACCCCGGCAAGCCACGCGAGATCTCGGTATCCATGATAATTCCCGGATTCAGACTCAGCGCATGTACACCACGCCCCGCATACCGGCGCTCGAACTCATTGGCCATGAGGATCGTCGCCGTCTTGCTCTGTGCATACGCCTTGGAGGCATTATACTCGCCGACCAGTCCGTTGTAATCCTCCGGATCGATATTCTTGGCTCGATGGCCCGCGCTTGCCACCACCACGAGTCGGGAGCAGAAATCAGATGTAGCTGACGCCACCAGCGCCGGAGTCAGCAGCTGCACCAGCAGGAACCCCGCGAGGTAGTTCACGCCAAAGACCCCCTCGAACCCGTCATCCGTGGTGCGCCGCGGCGACGCCACCACCCCCGCGTTCGCCAGCAGGACATGCAGCTTCCCCCCGCTGCGGCGGAGAAACTCGTCCGCCCCATCGCGCACGCTCTGCAGGCTGTAGTAGTCCATGTGGATGACCTCGATGGCCGGGGCTGAGGGATCAGGGCTCGCAGCGGAGATCTCCCGCGCGAGCCGCTCGCCCTTCGCCACGTCCCGCCCCGTGATGAAGATCTTGGCCCCCGTGCGGTGCAGCACGCGCGCGGACTCGGCGCCGAGTCCTGCGGTGCCGCCGGTGATGAGGATGGTTTTGCCTCTCCAGGCGTCCGTGTCGAGGAGGTTTTGATCGGCGAGGATCTGGGTGGCGGTGGGGCGGGCGTCGTTGAGGCCCTGGGGGTTGGTGTGGAGGGGAGCGTAGCGATGGAGTGTCATGTTTGTGCTGAAAGCTGATTAGGAAGGGTGAGTTTGGGCTGAGTTGGGTTGAGATGGAAGTTTGGGTTGTTCCTTTGTTGATTCATGGTGGGTGGGGGGGCGAAGTAGTCTGTCTGTGGTCTGGGGTGGTTAGGGTTACAATTACTCCGTACGTCTCGGAGACAGACAACACAATTCCCGAGTTATTCCCGACAGGGACGATGAAACCTCCGAGTTGAGAGGGTTCGAGGACAGAGACAGAGTTGTGTGAATTGGGTAGAGTTGGGAATTCAGGTAGGATGTATCATCAGCGTCATGACCGTCATGACCGTCCTGACTGTCATCAATCTGATCAGTCTTTGTCCTTTGAGTCTCGCTAATGCAGAGCTAAGCAGGGATCTTCGCTGTTCCCCGCCTCACTTTCTCCCTTGGACGGTCTTTCTCTCCTTCTCTGCCCCTCACCACTTTTTTCTCACAACAACTCACGATTGTCCACCATATCGGGTTTTCCTGTTCTGCTACTGCCTATCCCCTTCTGCTATGATACATTCTCGACATTAATTCCCGGGCTACCAGACGAAACAACAAAATGACCGACTTCGACGCTCTCTTGGCCGAATACACCGCCAAAGCAAACCCCCAGGTTCACGGCGTCATCTGCAAATGCGTCGACCGAACCGGTACTAGCTCCTACCCTAACACTCATTGCTTCTTCTCCAGTTCTCTCTGAGACCCTCATGCCTCATTGCTTTTTCTGCATCCTATTCTAACTCTCCACCTCTGCTAGGAACCGAGATCTACAGCAAAGTAGCAGGCTACACCTCCCTCGCCCCCGACAGCCCCCCCGTCGACGAGAACGCAGTCCTCAAACTTGGCAGCGCCACCAAGCTCATCACAAGCATCGCCCTCCTCCAGTGTATCGACCAAAACCTCATCGACCTCGACCAGCCCCTCACCGCCATCCTCCCGGAACTCGCAGACATCGAGATCCTGACGGACGTCGTCGACGGCCAGCTCACCTTCACACCCAGCACCTTCCCGATTACCGCCCGCCACCTCCTCACGCATACCTCGGGGCTGGGGTACAGGTTCACCCACCGCCTGCTCCGGCTGCGGGCGGAGGCGCGCACCGAGCCTCCCTCTCTGAAAATCACGGAACGATACAAAATGCCCCTGGTGTTCGAGCCGGGGACCGGCTGGCTGTACGGATGTAGTCTGGACTGGGCCGGGGTAGTGGTCAGTCGACTGCACGGGGGCATCTCCCTGGGGGATTACTTCGTGGAGCACATCTTCAAGCCTCTGGGGCGGGTGGCCCCGTTCCCCCGGTTCAATATCATGCTGCATCCCGAGTATCATGCCCAGATCCTACAGGGGGCGGTAAGGACACCGGATGGAAAGCTGGCGCCGCTAGAGCGCTGGGCGTTCGATAACCCCGAGGACCAGGAGGGCGGGAGCGGGCTGGCGGCCACGACCGGGGATTTCCTGGCCGTGCTCGCGGACCTCGTGTCTGACGCGCCTAAGCTGGTGAGTCGGGCGACTGTCGCGGAGATGTTCGTCCCGCAGTTGGAGAAAGGGTCGGATGGCGTGCAGATGCTGCTGGGCTTGCGGCCGGCGTGGGATACCGTGGCGGGCCCGGTTGCAGAGGATGCGGTCAACCACGGGCTGGGGGGGTTGCTGTGCGTGGGTCCGGTGCCGGAGATCGGGCAGCCGGGGGCCATGCTGGCCTGGGGAGGGGCCACGAATGTCGTCTGGTGGGCGAATCGTGAGCAAGGGGTGGCCGGCTTCTTTGCCACGCAGCAGGCGCCCTTTGGGAATCCGACGGTCACGAAGTTGGTGAATGCGTGGAAGAAGGATTTCTGGGCGCAGTTTGATGCGATTGATCTGCCTTGACGGCCTGCTTTTATAGACTAGAGTAGAGTGCACTGTTGAGCTTACATTCGACAAGATCCCATCCTTCTAGACGCGAAATCATCTAACATTGTCCACACCCAAATGCAAAGCTGTCTACTGCGGAATCTGCACCACAAGCTTCTCCCCCCTCACCTCGCCCTTCCTCAACATCTCCAGCCCCTCAATGATGCTCTCCCACCCGCCGCTCAACTCCCGCAACGGATGCGGTCTGATCTCGCGCCGCGCCATCAACCCCTCCACCTCCTTCGCCCACTGCATCCCGATCGCCAGCAGCGCCGGATCCCCTGGACGGGTGTACGCCGACTCCCCGAGATTGAGATCCGTGCCCAGCACCTGGAACCCCATCACCTCCTTGACGCGGACGGCGCGTCGACTCCGCCACGCGGCGGGACACTCCTCGAGACAGGCGTAGACGCCGCCCGTGCGGGCCAGCAGGCTGTAGCACAGCGCCGTAGAGTCGGCGTCCGTGATGCAGTCGAGTACATACCGGATGGGCTTTCCGGCGAGGGCTTGGATCGTCGCCACGCAGTCCTTGGCCGTGTACGACGCCGTGCCCTTGGAGCCGTAGGACAGGGCCAGCGGGGCGGATTGCGGGGAGGTTATTGCTAGGGGGGTGTAGCCCATTCTTTATCACGCGTTAGCTCATATTGTATCTAGCTTATATGGTCAATGCAACCAGGAAGAGAATGGGAGGGGAAGTACAGGTTGAGCATCTGACACGCGAACGTGCCCGACGCAGTCGCACCGCCGTACACCACGACCGGCTCGCTGGTCTGATGCGCCGGCCGCGAGGGCAACCCCTCCAGCCCCAGCGCGTGCGGATCGCTGAGCGCCAGCGAGATCGTCGACCACGCGACGCCCAGCGCCGCTGCTTCGGTGTCGCTCCAGTGCGCGGGCACCTTCACCAGCAGTCGCGCGTCGACGGTGCAGTACTGCGCGAAGGAGCCGTTGTCGCCCTTGTCGGTGGGGTTGTAGGGGAACAAGGCCCCGCACACGCGCGTGCCGACGGGCAGGTCTGGGTGGTCTGGGTGGGGGGTTTGGATCACGCCGCTGAGGTCGCAGCCGGCGATGCTGCCAGGCTTGTTGAAGTAGGTGACCATCTTGTGGTCGTTGGGGTTCAGGGCGACGGCCAGGATGCGGACGAGGACATGGTGTGGCGATTGCGGGGAGGGGACGGGGGCGGTCGTGGAGACGGTGAGGGGGAGATGTGCTGGGCTGTTGCTGTCCTTGGGGGTTTGGACGATGGCGGTTTGCGTGAGGTGTGTCATTTTGGAGAGCAGTGGCTGTGGAGGTGAGAGATGACTGGGTAGTTGTGTCTGTGTGTAAGGTGAGATATTAAAGGTACTAGGTAGGAGATGAGGACGAGGAGTTAGGGCTAATCCCGAGGGTCGTCATCCACTCGGAGGTTTTGTAGCACAGCGTCTCCGAATGATCGGCCTTTCCTGCGTACTTTTTATGACCGAAGGCCGGAGTATCTTCCGGAGCTGGATGGGACTCACAAAACGAGGCTGTGGCGCGTCGATCATGCACGTCCTGCTGATTTTCCACATAAAGGGAGGCCACCCCGTCACGAGTCTCATTCCGTTCGTACCACATCCCCCCCCTGCTGGTACCGCATCATCGACGCCATGTTTCTCTACTCCGGAATCGCCCTGGGTCTCGTGCTGGCCGTCATCTTCAGGCAGTTCAAACCACATGGAGGCAAGGAACCCCCCTCCCTGTCCGGGTGGATGATCACCAACACCTACCAATACATGACCGACATGCATGGCTTCCTCCAGCGAGTGGCGTCAGTCCCGCCGTCATTTCTATCACATCTTCCACCCACTAACTCCCTCCAGATCCGCCCAGCGCCGCAGCAACATCATCAAGTTCCGCCTCGGCCCCAAGAAGATCTACATGGTCTCGGGCGAGAAGAACATCCAAGCCATCAACACCCCCTCGCACAGCATCAGCCCGGAGGTCTTCTTCCTCGACGTGATGGCCAACGTCTGGGGCGCCAAACCCGCTGAGCTGGTGAAATTCCGCCAGGACAAGTCCGGCCGCCGCAAGAATCCCATCCCCGGCCACGAGCTCCCTCCCGGCGAGCCGCGGCTCTGGCACGGCCAGCACCACATCTACTCGGAGTTTCTGCAGCGCACCGACCGGGCCAACTTCCTGACCAGCAAGTACTTCGACCTGTTCTCCGACAGACTCGTCCAGCAGCCCCTGAACGAGTGGCGCGAGGTCCGGCTGTGCGCGTTCTTCGAGAGCGAGATGGCCGAGGCCGCCCTGGAGGCACTGATGGGCCCGCGCCTCGTCGAGCTCAACCCGGGCTTCTGGCCGATGATGTGGGAGTTTGCGCGCATCGCGCCGCAGCTGATGTGGGGGCTACCGCGGTGGATGAACCCGGGCCCGTGGAAGACGCAGGCGGAGTTCCAGGCGATGTGTCGCCGGTACATCGATGCCGCAGCCAAAGCGTTCGACCCGACGGGCCCCGAGGCAGACGCGGAGTGGGAGCCGCAGTACGGCTCGCGGATGGCGCGCGAGCTGGTCAAGTGGGCGACGGAGAATCTGTCGCCGGAGACGACGGCGGGCATGGTGGCCACCTTCATCTTCGGGACCAACGCCAACTCCGTCCCCATGTCCACCTGGGCCCTGATGCATCTGGTCGCCGACCCGGCGCTGTACCGCGCGGTGCGCGACGAGTGTCTGGCCGCCAGCACGACCGACCCCGTCACCGGCCGGCGCGGCTTCGACCCCCAGAAGCTGTTCGGCATGCCCCTGCTGCAGTCCGTGTACATCGAGACCCTGCGCCTGCATGTGTCGATCAATGTCACCCGCGAGGTCACCCAGCCCATCACCCTGGACGGGTTCCTCTTGACGCCGGGGTCGTTGATCCAGGCCCCGAGCCAGATCGGCCAGTACAACGAGGGGGTGTGGAGTGCGCCGGGCCATCCGGCCTCGGAGTTCTGGGGCTATCGCAACCTCAAGCGTGAGAGTGAGAAGCCGGAGTTTACCATGACGGGCAAGACGAGCTCGTTCTTTCCGTTTGGTATGCCCCTGCAGCAGCTGATAAGATTTTGACCGGCTCATGCTGACGGATATATATAGGCGGCGGACCGTCCATCTGTCCCGGTCGGGTGTTCGCCAAACAAGAGATTCTGATGACGATTGCGGCTCTCGTGACTCGGTTTGAGATCGAACTGATCGACTGGATTCATCCGGATGGAACCAGGTCGGATCGACCGGCGCAGAACGATCAGTCGCTCATCGGGGCCGTGGGGATTCCGCCGGATCGGGATATGAAGGTGCGGTGGAAGCGGCTGTGGTAGGGGAGTCGAATGGATATGGGTATATGCCAGAGTTAGAAGTAAATGAGCTCAGTTGCAGCGTAGCTGAGATAAAGAAGTGCTTTCTGTGTATATAGGTACATCCTAAGAAGACCACTTGTGGTTGTATGTGATGATGTGCACGATGTGGGCTGCGGTGCTCGCTTGCTCCGTGCTGTACATGTAGCACTTTGCGAAGGAACTTTAACAACAAGGCAAGATGGCCGAGCGGTCTAAGGCGCTGCACTCAAGGACTATTCCTTCTCCAGATCACATCTGAAGAGCATTGCAGTCACGCAAGTGGCGTGGGTTCGAATCCCACTCTTGTCATCTCTTTTTGGTGGGTTTGTGCACACTCTCTTCAACAGTCTAGCTAAAAGAGCCTAGCGTGTTTTCTACCCGTGTTGTTCATTACTGCTCTGGCTGAACTTCTATTTTATGCCCCCACTCGCATCCTGTGTCGACGAATTCCTTGTTGGACCATTTTGAACCACCCCTGATAAGGAATCATGGAAGCGTACTTCGTTCACCTCTCCTGCTTATAGGTCAGTTACCTCTTTCTGTTTTTCTATGCCGAGGATCCTATCATATCACAGTTCTACGATTGGGTCGTTCATCATTTTTATCAACCTGTATGTATCTCCATGGTCGCGTTCAACGGGCGACACCTCCTATCGGGAGTGAGTCCCTCTCGCAGTACGGTGGTAGGAGCTACGCAGACCTTGTGAACTGCAAATATCATCATTAATTTAATCATACATAATTAATTAGTCTTATTCTGCCAGGGAGCCATAGTATCCCATAAATCATCGCAACCACCAAGATCAGAAGATGTAAACCCAGCTCATCAGTAAACTCTTTGCTGATCACAGTCGGACAGGACCGTGACCGTAACTGTAGCCAAGACAGTCGACGTCACCACGTCCTCGTCGCCCTCCCCGGAAGCAGTCGGGGGCTCGGTGGTGTGGGGAGAGACCACAGCGGCGGAGGAGCTCGACGCGGCCGATGGAATCACTGAGGGTTGAGTGGGGCTTGAAGATGGAGTGGAGGAGAAAGCACTGCCAGAGGACTGGACAGGGGCCGGGATCACTGCAAACGAAGAGACCCGCGCGGGCTGCGAGGGAGCGGACGATGACTGCTGCGGGGTAAGGACGGAGGACGACTGGGTCAGGGGTGACGGCGAGCTGAGTTGCTGAAAAGGGAGGGAAGAGGAGCCGGCACTAGGGCTGGGAACCACGACGGGAGTGGAGCGGGATAGCGAAGGAAAGGGAGCTGGAATGGAGGAGGCAACAGATGAGGGAATCGATGGTCGGATCGATGAGGGGATTGAAGAAGGAGCGGAAGAAGGAGCGGAAGAAGGAGCGGAAGAAGGAGCTGATGAAGCTGAAGGGGCCTTAGAAACCGACGAGGGAATGACAATCGATGAAGGAACCACGGATGAGGCTGACGCTACACTCGATGGCACCACAGCCGTGGGAGTGACGGTCGAGGACACCGGAGAAGGAGTGGACGAAATGACGGTCGATGTAGCGGAGCTGGTCGGGACCGTCACCGTCACCGTATAGACAGTAGTGGCCTGGCTGGTCACATACTCGGTCGAATAGTCGGTCTCCATGGCCGTGACCGTCTCTGTGCATGGGTTGGTGGAGTAAGTACTGAGCGCCTGATAGCCCGAAGCAGAGACCACTGCATTGCCCGTGGCCCACAAGTACTGACAACTGCTCGCCGCCGGGTAGTAATTGAAGGCATTACACATGTTTTCGAAGATACGACAATACACTTCACAGCCATTGATATTTGGCTGGCGACTGTAAACGTTCAGCACAGCTCGGGTGACTGCTCCACTGATGGAGGAGCCGTCACACATCTCCCGATAGTAAGCACCGGCAGAGGACCAAGCATAATTGGAGCATGAAGAGCCGGATCCTAGAGAGGCCGTGCCAGTGGCACAGACAACACTGGTGGTGACCACTGCCGAAGAGGTGGTGACAACGTTGGTGACAGTGGTGGGATAGGTCGAAGTCACGGTGGCGATCAAAACACTGGGAGCACCGGCAGCCGGAAGAGCAATAGTCGCTGCCAGACTGGCGGGGGCCAGGGCTGAGAGGAGAAGCAGCCCACCGGTTACTGAAAAGTCCTTCATGATGAGGATGCTAGCGATTGGTTTCTCGGTATGAGGATGAGGATGATGTTGATGTTGATGTTGAAGTTGAAGTTGAAGTTGAAGTTGAGGTTCAAAGAATGACAAGGGCTCAGTGAGAGCCTTGGATCGACTATCACAACGGCATGAGCAGAAAAGACAGACAATGAATGCCAGCAAGAAGGAGCACGAAAGAAAGATCGGACCTCGGACGTCGTCAGCCTGGCTGCGACGTAGGAATCATGGGTGCCAGGTGGTTATTTAAAGGCAGCTGGGATTTGGGTGGCGTCAGATGGCCGCGATCCCACTCAGCATTGTGGGACAGCCTTTCTGGGGGGTTCAGATCAATCAGAACCTATCGATAACTTGATCGAGAATCGCGGTGGAGACAAAATCTTGGAGCTGAAAGCAAGTTGGGGAAAATCCTAGCGAGGAGGCTACCGCATTAGGGCTAGTTAAGGGGGTGACAAGCCACTGTCCACGGAGTACGCCGTACCTCGCTCGATCCCACCTGATCGGTCCAGGCCTGGATACAAGCCAGACCTAAGGTGGTCAGAACATGCGAAGCTATTGGATCTGCAGGTGAATTTTACAATCGAGTTTGGCAATGGGTGGCGCAGGATCGGTGCCTAAGGCAGCAAACGGATCCACCGGACGTGCACTCGCTGCGCTATAACTGACACAACAAGGACTTTCCATGCACTTCATGCACTTCATGCAAAGGAGTGCTCTTCTGCCCCAGAGGGAAAGTCTGCAGCCCGAGCCGAAGGCTGATCGAAAAACTGCACCGACCACGCCATCGCACTGGAGATCTCACTAGGCCATTCCCCAGGGAACTGAAGATCGTCTGGCATGATGTGTGACGACGTGAACGAGGCAGAGTCGAGATTAAGAGCAGGATCGGGGTCGCTGAGGGGTTGTGGTAAGAGCGATAACGGCTGTGAGGTAGACTCTACGACTGCCGACGACGCTGCAGCTATCCAAGATGAGAAGAAATACCCACCAAAACAGGAAGAATCTGGACACACCTCTATGGATGGAATGATGTAGGCTGGAAAGTGCTTTCAGCATGTCGGCCGCTTTACGAGCGGCGGCCGAGTTAGCACTCAGCGCCTCAAAGACCTTCAAGCAGGTCTCGGCATCTTCTCGGAGATCCTGCGCAGATGTAGTGCTATGAAACGAGTCTTGGTTGGGACAGAAAGCTTCGGCCACAAAGAGGATCGAGCTGGCGCAGATCAAGCACGAGATCATCTGCCACCAGGGGAAGTCATGTACTAGACTGCGCTCGTCGACCAGATTGTGGAGCAGCTGCGCTGTCTGCCGTGCTTCCTGGACGCAAGTGGACTCGGCCTGGGCGATTCGGTGTTTCTCTCGACGCAGCAGTTCCATGAACGGATGGTTGTTGGTCTGCAGGAGAGGAAGGCATAGAAAGGGTCTGTGGATCAAAGCGCGTAGATGATGATACTTCACGGCCAGCATATTACGCTGTGGTGGGTGAGTCACATCAGTCACACACCAGACCTAGAGGACTGCTACATACCTGTCGCATGAAGGTGACCGAGCTCTCAAAAGTATGACCCAGGTCGAACCGCAGATGCCGTGGCAGTCCCTTCTTCCATTCGCTGAGCCGTTGATCCAGAGCCGACGAGGTGTTGAGCATCACGTCCGGGGCCACATCGATCTGCGAGGGCCGGTACAACTCCCGGATAACCGCACCCACCAAGTAAGAGAACCGGATGACGGCAATAAAGTAGTCCATGAGGGAGCAGGTCGATGTATCTCTGCTTGCCGTACTAGACCCCGCGGACACGGTTGGATTCCGGCCAAACGGGAAAGGATCGGAGACAGAGGGCATCTCCACTTGAAATTCGCTTTCATGAATGGCCATAGGACGGCCGAGCTGAAGCGCAAGCAGCCGATCGAGAACATACATCGAGTACCAGGTTCGCCGCCAGTGCGCCCGGTCGGCCATCCATGATGTCCGGGTATGCATGGGGGACGATTCCACATGAAGGCCGATGCTCTGCCCCATGCGGATGGCAAAGCCAAGTGTGTTCCAGCACCTTGTCATTGCGGTGAGTCATCAAGCTCAAACTCAAGTAAGTTTTTTGATCATGATGAACTTACCTATCTGTGTGGCAAATCGCCAGCAGGAAGAAACATTGCACTATCAAGGCCCACACACTCAGCAAGGAGCATGTTGCGCCCAGTTCCCGAGAAAAGTATACTCCTTGCTCGAAGTATCGCAAATGATCGGAAGAAGCTGTCCCAGATCGATGTGGAAAAGAGGTGTAGTAGGAGCCGATAGCGAAAATAAAGTCTATCCCGCTGTTAGAAGTAGGGATGACATGATATATGCAGACGCATAAACCAGCTTGTCTTACTGAACAATGCAAGCCAGGGCTCAAATTCCTGGGCCGCGTAATCACCGGCCTGAAAGACCTGAAACTGCTCCAGGAGAATCTCTCGGCAAAGAAACGGGTAAGCGACATGGATGGTGGACAAATAAACCTCTATGAAGCCTTGCGCTTCGGTTGGAGTCGGAACGATGAGAGGCTGGGTCAGCCCGGCCAAGCTTTTGGTGGTATGAGTCTGAGTATAGTTATCGGCTGGCGAGGGTTCTCTCGCAGTCCAGGCCCCGGTTTGATAGCACTGGCGAATGCGATGTATGAAATGAATATCGCTCGCTTTGCCCACGTAGGTGGCGGGTGAATTCACGCCCGCCTCGCTGGAAACAGTGCTCGGTTCTCGGGTCGAGACAGGTTGCTCCAGACTCGAATCCGCGGCATTGACAGGCAGCTGACGACGGATTGTGTCTAGACTAGCATTTAGGGTTCCTTTCTGGTTCGGATCGAGGCTCGATAGTAGCTCTTGCATCAGAGATTCATATTGCCGCACAGCTCTTTGATAGCTTGCCAACTCATCATGCTTTGATTCGTCTGACAAAGCCTGGTGCTGTGGCGCCTTAGAAGACATATCTCTCGCAGTCTCCAGTTCCGGCAATGGAACCTTTCGTTTACGTGATGACCATGAACACTTGAAGCCGTAGCCCTCGCACCGGGTACAAATCGGCTGTCGCCCATCGCACTTGGCCTTGAGTAGCCGACATTTCTCACAAGCAATCGGTGCCCTCTGGCGCTTCATGATGCATATCGATAGGATGATGGTTCGGAAGTTAGTGATGTGGAAAAGGAATGCTGTGAATGCAGAAGCCAGAGAGAATGAATGGATGAATGAGAATGAAGGGGGGCTGTGCTTATGTCAGCACTTCCACCATAACGCCACCCAGATCACGTGACTGCACCATGATTTGCAAGCCTATCTCCCACCACAGTCAAAAAGATAGATAGGCAATGAGAGACTAGCCTTCTCACTCGGATTGATGCAGCTGCAGTATGGGATAGTCGGTGAAAGGTTCAAGTTCGAATTCTGCATCAGTTGATCCGACAATCGAGGGGCCGCCGGCCGCCCGGGCCGTGATTACCGCGATAACCGGGACTGCCGCGTTGCTCGCAAAGTCAATGATTCAAGGCAGGGGGAATCCGGTTGGAATTTTCTTCCCACCACAATCGTGCTTGCTACTGGCCTTGAAGATGCAGTCACAGTACAATGTTCAGGTGCAACACGAGAAACAAGAACGACCCTCAACCTCGACCCCGAGAGAGAAACCAATGACTGAATCCGAATCCGGTTCCGAAATCAATCTCGATGAGGTCGCCGCCCCGCCACCGGTATACGATCGTCCCGATGAGGATCATCTCGAGAATCAGTTATCCCACCAGGCAGGGAGAGGAGAAGAAGACGTGGAACGGGAGTTGCAACAGGATCAAAATGGGTATGCGACGACGGTGGGAAGGGAAGAAGCTGAGAAGCAGCAGGGAAGGGGCCTTCGGTCAACTTCCATGCGCATGCCCTATGTCATCGCCTATCTAGTCTTCTTCTCATTCCTGGGCACTTTACTGAGAATGGTCATCGAGAGCCTGACCTTCTACCCAGGAGCCCCTGTCAACACCAGTGTGCTATGGGCTAATGTTGGAGGATGTTTCATCATGGGATTTCTCAGTGAAGATCAAGGACTGTTTCGGTTCAAAGAAGTGGACATCCAAGTCGAACACGAGGATGATGGCCAGCGCAGGGCGCGTCTGACCGCACACAAGAAGACGATTCCCCTCTACATCGGATTGACCACCGGCTTCTGCGGGAGTTTGACCTCCTTTTCCACCTTCATCCGCGACCTCTTCCTCGCCCTGTCCAATGGTCTGTCCGTTCCTGTGGGCCCCTACTCAGACGTCTCCTTGTTCGCTGCCGCGCAAGATGTCCCCAAGGCCCCCAACGGCGGCTTCAGCTTTATGGCAATCATTGCAGTGCTCTTCCTCGAAGTCGGGCTATCCACGTTCAGCATCAAGCTCGGAGCCCATACGGCGGTGTTTCTCTCCTCTTGGACCCCCCGTTTGCCGCAATGGTGGCTGGAACGGATCGTCAACCCGTGCATGATCCCGCTGGCCACTCTATCCTGGATCGCGCTCATCTGCCTCGTCGCACTGCTGCCGCGGTACGCCTTGGATCCGACCCTATGGAGCGCAGAGATATGGCGTGGCCCCGTGCTGTTTGCGCTGGTGTTCTCCCCGGTCGGCTGTCTCGCACGGTTCTTCTTATCGCTGAAGCTCAACAGCTGTGTGGCCGCGTTTCCGTTGGGAACCTTTGCGGCGAATATATCAGGAACCGCGGTGCTAGGGATGGCCTACTGTTTACAGCACAGCTCAATCAGTGCCGCGAGTCTGGGCGGGGGAAGCGTCATTGGCTGCCAGGTGCTGCAAGGAATTATGGACGGGTTTTGCGGCTGTCTGACGACAGTCAGTACATGGGCGTTGGAATTAATCGACTTGCGTCCCCGGCACGCTTATGTGTATGGCATCATTAGCGTGGTGGTAGCCTTCTGCTTCTTGGTGGTGGAGATCGGAAGCCTGAAGTGGACTCGTGGACTAGAGACTCCGATTTGCTTCAGTGCGAGTACAGCATAGTAGATGTCCCCCAGTCAATAACGAGCTGGCCATTTGTGATATACCACCGAGCTCTTAAGTCAGGGAAGATTCATAACAGCAAAGCAGTGAATAAGAACTCTATTAAATTAGAAGTCTTTTGACATATATCATGAAAGAACAAGATAAGAGCAAAACAGTATTAGCATTAGAGAAATAGGCAATAGTGCATCGCATGACAATAAATGCTGCCTACGTTCAACTGAGAAATCCGCCTCATTACGCAGCCCTGATCATTCAAATGCTATTGGGGAATCCCCTCCTCGGTCTCCACGCTTCATGACAATGGTCTAACAGCCTCAATGCAAACCTAACCAAGCGCGTCAGCATAATCTCAACCCAACCGAAGGACAACCTTACTGCCGATCCATGAGCTTGCCGTCCATCGCCAGCCGATTGGGACTGCGTCCGTCAGGCACCTTATAGACGCAATACCAGGTCTTCAGCGACTCCAAGAATCCGGGAAACTGCGCTTCCACATCCTGTATGTCCGTGAGGCGCTCTGCGCGCGCATCGGTGATGTCCACGGCAACAACTTTCCAATCCGTGCTGCCTTCATCTAGCACGGCAAATACCCCGAGCGGCTTTACCTTCCTGATCTCGCCGCATCGAGCCCCCCCAGTGCCGATCTCGCAGACATCCAGGGGGTCGTCGTCTCCTGCCACTCCTGTGTAGGGGTCAATCGTCGTGGGATCTTCCCATGTCTGGTGAATAGAACATCAGTCAGCCGTCGTTGATGTGGACACGGAGATGTCGTTTAAAATGGGAGGAAATTGATGAGGAGCTCACCTGTGGAATAGCACCGTAGTTGCACGGATAGCCCTGGAACGGCGGGACATCGGCCACTTTTCTGGGTTTCCCCTCGCTGATATCCTGCTTTATTGGGTTGTGGGCGACCTCCTTCGTGATCTGTTCGATTGCGGGGCTTAGCGGAGATTCAGGGTCCGAGAAATAAAACAGTGTAAGCGCATACCTCCATCTTTGCATTCGTGCCTCGCGGAATCTCCACGACCATATTCAATATCTCTGCCTCCCGATCCGCCCACAACGGAAGGTCATGCCATGGCGAGATCCTCTGACCATTGCGCTGGAAGTACTAGCATCTTAGACCGGGGTTCGCATCTGAAGTGTCCTCGATCGTGATATCAGAAGTCATAGCGCCGTGTGTTGGTAAGAGCAAGTGTCCTGAGATGTGTGCAAAGAAGATGGGCCTGAAGCGAGAAGACAAGAAAGGACTCGACCACGAGAGAAGACGCATGAGTGAGAGTACAAGACAGGACGCAGGCTGATGAGTGACGGCGATGGCAATGAGGAGAGGGTTGGGGTCTCCAGATCGGCAAGACCGGCAAAGACGGGAGTCACCTCTATGGTGAGACTGGTGACGCCATGTTTGACGAACAATGACCTGGGCAGGTTGCGGGAGTCTCATTTAAGTCAGTCCCAGTGCTGTTTCACTATCTCCTTCGGGCTGAATTTATCACTCCTAGAACCATCCTCTCATCTAGTCCCAATGATCAAAGCAATCAAGGCAGCGCAGCGCTTGGACTCCCGGGGCAACCCCACAGTCCAGGTCGACCTGACTACTGAACATGGTGAGCGCCACCCACCCATCATCCCCAGATACAATGCAAGTGAAAAAGGACTGAGATGAGGATCAGGCGTCTTCCGTGCTATTGTCCCCTCCGGAGCCTCGACCGGAGCCAACGAGGCCGTCGAGCTCCGAGATAGCGACCCATCCAACTATGGTGGCAAAAGTGTGCACAAAGCCATTCACAATGTCGAGAGCGTCATCGGCCCCGCGCTGATCAAGAGCGGACTTCGAGTTGAGACGGACCAGAGAAAGATCGATGAGCTGCTCATCGCCTTGGACGGTACCAAGAACAAAGCCAATCTCGGCGCCAATGCTATACTGGGGGTCAGTATGGCTTGTGCACGCGCAGGGGCAGCTGCCGCGGTGAGCAATGATTTACCAGGATAATGTCATGGCGTAGGACTGATCAAGAATCAGGGGTTAGAGCTATATGATTATCTGCGACGCGAATCTGGGGCCAAAAAGCCCTATGTGATGCCGGTGCCGTTCTTCAATGTCCTCAACGGCGGGGTGCATTCCGGGAACAAGATGGCATTTCAGGAGAATATGATTGCACCCGTTGGAGCGAGCTCATTCAGTGAAGCTGTACGCATGGGCAGTGAGGTTTACCAACATCTGAAGACAATCCTGGCAAAGCGATTTGGAGCGTCAGGTTAGTCGTGAAATGGGACCTGACCAAGCATCCCGAGTGGGCACTGACCATGATGATTTAGCCGTCGGTATCGGCGATGAAGGCGGCTTTGCTCCGCCCATCTCGCAGCCCCACGAGGCTCTCGACTTGCTGGCAGAGGCTGTCTCCGAGGCAGGCTACGAGGGAAAAATCAAATTCGCCATCGACCCGGCTTCGAGCGAGTTCTTCAGGAACGGAACCTATGACCTCGGATTCAAGGATGATGCCCCAAATCCTAGATTGCCAAAGCAGCTCATGGATGTTTATCACTCGCTACTTAGCAAGTATCCCATCGTCTTGCTGGAAGACCCATTCGCGGAAGACGACTGGGCCAGCTGGACCGAATTCTGCGAGAACTGTCCGGTGGAACTGGTTGGCGACGACCTGCTAGTAACCAACAAGATCTATGTGCAAGAGGCCCACGAGAAGAAAGCATGTAATGCAATGCTGCTGAAAGTCAACCAGATCGGAACGATTTCAGAAGCTATCGAAGCGTACGTGTCCCTGGAATTGATCGAGACGCGAGGATGACTGACAGTCCTCAGGGCAAATCTGGCATATAGCTACGACTGGAGTGTGTTCGTGTCTCATCGCTCTGGCGAAACCACGGACGACTTCATCGCGGACTTGGTGGTAGGGCTACGGACTGGTCACATCAAGTCGGGAGCGCCATGCCGCGGGGAAAGGGTCGCCAAGTATAATCGGCTGATTGAGATAGAAGAGGCGCTTTTAGCACGAGGAGAAGAGGTGGTGTACGCCGGAGCGAACTTTTCGGCCGCTTCCAGGCTCTAAGATTGATAGTAGTGGAGGAAATTATTTTTGATTGAATTGTTTAGAGGTTATATATTCAGACCAAAGACTGCGATCACATTGACTTAGGAACAGTCTGGCTTTCGTAAAGAAATTACATGGCTGCTCAATCTCAATATGCATAAATGTTTCGGCTATCGCAACTCCCCTCTGAACTCAGCGCTCTTCGTCTGTGTGACTCGTGATTTTCAGACCTCCCTACAATCAGCAGCTGGCTAACATCGACACGGTAGGATAGTTGAGTCCCTTACAGATTGATACATTCTGTTTGCCTGACTTTCAGCGCGAATGAGCGTCCTCGAGGGTGGGACGCCGGACCCTGACCGGGTCAGTGGGCTCAGGAGCAGCGACCTCACTCAGAGCCCCGAGTCCGACATCATCATCCCCTGCCTTGCTAGCCGGTGGTGCATTGGGCTCAAGGGTAGACCTGGTATTGCTTGGAGGTCTCGAATCATTGGCCGGAGTGCCTTGACGGGGTGGCCGACAGCACAAGAAGGTAGAACCAACGCGAAGATAGGAGAGTGAGGGCATAACATAACATGTATGCGTAGTTTCTAGAGAAGTGGACGGTAGTTGCTGGCACTCGAATGCGTGGTTCTCTGTCTTTATTAGTGAAAATTACCTTGCTTAGCCAGTGCAAACAGTCTACATACGTCATTTCGTGCGCATAGATGGCTTGCTTGATGAAAAGTCGATGATCTAGGGCTTAGCTGACACTGTTCAGAGAGGCGAATTGGGAGTGCAGCCGCTCTACCCGTTCTACCCGTTTGGGCTCTGGTCTATCCAAGGCCAAATCTCACAAGCTACATGACACAATTTGAGGAGTGGCTCAAGATGAAGATTCTTCAGTAGACCAAAGCCGTAGGAATGACTTCATTCGACATGCAGGTAGGATTCGTTTAATGTTATAAAGCGGAATCAAGAGCCGAGTCCCTATGCTCCCAGGCACAAGTCAAGGCTCGACCAGATAGCGCAGACCAGCAACGATGGAAGACCACAGAAGCGAGCTGCCCAACGGTCACCAGCCGTCCACTGATCTATCGGAATACACTGCCCTCAATCGCTTCATCTCCACCACGACCACCGCCAGTCATGCCGCGTCGGCAAGCGACAAGGGCTCTGCCGAGCCCGCTTCGCACCCACCCTGGTGGAAATTCTGGCAGCGGTCCCGCGACAGCACAGACGAGAAGAGTGGCGGGCCCTTCCAGACTCCCTCAGAGTGGCTGGATACGGACATTTCGTCGGGTCTATCTGAAGCCGAGGTCGATGGACGGCGCAAGAAGTGCGGATGGAACGAACTGGCTAGTGAGAGCCCTAACAAGCTGCTTCAGTTCATCGCTTACTTCCGGGGCCCGATTCTGTATGGTAGGTGCTCATCAATCCCTGCTTGTGCCGGAGTTCTGCTTGTGCTAAGGAAACACCGTTAGTGATGGAACTCGCCCTATTCCTCGCGGCTGGCCTACGTGACTGGATCGATTTTGGCGTGATCATTGGGATCCTCATGCTGAACGCGATCGTTGGGTGGTATCAAGAAAAGCAGGCCGCGGATGTGGTCGCCAGCCTGAAGGGTGACCTCGCCATGAAGGCAACGGTGGTGCGAGATGGAGAAGAGAGAGAGATCTTGGCTCGTGAGGTAGTCGTGGGTGACATTGTAAGCATACTCTCCCTACTGATGCATCACCACGAATACATGGCTGACTGGAATATAGCTCATTCTGGAGGAAGGCAATGTCATCCCTGCGGAAGCACGGTTGATCTGTGACTATAGCGAGCCCGATACCTTTGCTGTATACCGAGAAAAGATGGCGCAAGAGGGAGAAGACCCTCTGCATGAGGAGGGAGAAAGCAGCGACGATGAGCACAAGCATACTGAAAAAGCGATCGTTGCCGCAGACCAGTCGGCGATCACCGGCGAATCTCTCGCAGTAAGTCCCCCGAACTATCACCCAAACACTGCATGATGAACGTATCCTCTAACCTTTAATTAGGTCGACAAATTCATGGGCGATATCTGTTACTACACCACCAGCTGCAAGAAAGGCAAAGCGTATGCCATGGTAACCGCCTCGGCGAAAGACTCCTTCGTGGGGAGAACCGCATCGCTGGTCCAAACTGCCAAAGACCAGGGCCACTTCAAAGCCGTGATGGACTCCATCGGGACCACACTGCTGGTGTTGGTGATGTTCTGGATTCTTGTGGCATGGATTGGCGGCTTTTACCGCCACCTCCGTATCGCCACCCCCGAAGATGACGACAACAACCTCCTATACTGGACATTGATTCTGCTGATCGTCGGAGTGCCGGTAGGACTGCCCGTGGTGACCACGACCACACTGGCCGTGGGCGCTGCTTTCCTCGCCCGCAAGAAGGCCGTGGTGCAGAAGCTGACCGCGATCGAGTCGTTGGCCGGCGTGGATGTACTCTGTACGGATAAGACCGGCACTCTGACGGCTAACAAGCTGTCGGTACGCGAGCCCTACGTCGCGGACGGAGTGGATGTGAATTGGATGTTTGCGGTTGCCGCCATTGCATCCTCGCACAATACGCGCAATCTCGATCCAATCGACCGGGTGACCTTGCTTGCGCTGCGCCGGTATCCCAAAGCGCGTGAGATGCTGTCTCGTCCGTGGGTCACGGAGAACTTCACCCCATTCGACCCGGTGTCGAAGCGCATCACCACAACCTGCACGTGTGAGGGGGTGCGGTACATCTGTGCGAAGGGGGCGCCGAAGGCGATCATCAAGCTCGCAGGCTGTCCCAAAGCCGAAGCCGAGCAATACAAGAACAAGGCCCAAGAGTTTGCGCTTCGCGGGTTTCGCTGTTTGGCCGTCGCTGTTAAAGAAGGTGACAAGGAATGGCAGTTCCTGGGACTTTATCCTATGTTTGACCCGCCGCGCGAGGACACCGCGCAGACAATTGCGGAAGCGCAGAACTTGGGGTTATCTGTTAAAATGCTGACTGGAGACTCGACCGCCATCGCGAAAGAGACGTGTAAGATGCTTGCCCTGGGGACCGAGGTATACAACTCCGAACGATTGATTGGGTCGCCCCATCATGATCTGGTGGAGCGGGCCAACGGCTTTGCAGAGGTTTTTCCGGAGCATAAATATCAGGTAGTCGAGTTGTTGCAAAAGCGAGGCCATTTGACTGCGATGACGGGCGATGGAGTAAACGATGCCCCTTCCATGAAGAAATCCGACTGCGGAATTGCTGTTGAAGGCGCCACCGAGGCAGCCCAGGCAGCCGCAGACATTGTCTTTCTGGCACCCGGTCTGAATACGATTGTGGATGCAATCAAAGTGTCGAGGCAAATCTTCCAGCGAATGAAAGCATACGTGCAATATCGGATTGCCCTCTGCTTGCATCTCGAAATCTACCTGGCCACCTCCATGCTCGCGATCGAGGAAACCATCCGGGCGGACTTGATTGTGTTCTTGGCTCTATTTGCAGACCTGGCCACTATTGCAGTGGCATACGATCATGCACACTATGAGCCACGGCCGGTTGAGTGGCAGCTGCCACGCATCTGGGTGATCTCGGTGGTACTCGGTGTGCTGCTGGCAGCCGGCACGTGGATCATGCGAGGCACAATGTTCCTATCGAATGGGGGGATTATCGAGAACTGGGGACACCCACAGGGCATTCTGTTCCTGGAAGTGGCGTTGACCGAGAATTGGCTGATTTTCGTCACGCGAGAGGCCCATACGTGGCCTTCCTGGCAGCTGGTGGGCGCCATTCTAGGAGTGGACATCATCGCCACCCTCTTCTGTGTGTTTGGGTGGCTCACGGGGGGCGCATTCGAGCAGACGAGCCCTTCCGACCCGGCCACTTTCTCTGAGGGCCCGACGAGCATCGTGACGGTGATCGTGGTGTGGGGGTTTTCGATCGGGGTGATCATCGTCATCGCCACCGTTTATTATCTTCTCTCGCGGATTACATGGCTGCAGAACCTCGGACGGGCCTCTCGTTCCAAAGAAGAGATAAAGATGGAGCGATTCCTCGAGCAGCTATTCAAGCTTACGGTGGAACGAGAGAAGGATCCTCAGTCTGAGAATCCGCGGTATGTTCTGAAGACTCGAACGGAGGATATCGATGCGGACGATTAGGGTGGAGTGTAGATGATGCCGTGTTCAAGGGTGTAATTCTGTCCCCAATGATACATGTATTCTATAGCTCAGAAGATAATATTGGCAGTACGGCCAGTAGAAATGCAAGCTGGTTCCATCAGTCGCCGCCCTACTACATATAGGGCACTCCATGACAAATCCTGGTCGAACCATCTCTCCCAACTGGCTTTCATCCACTCAAGGATAATTCAGCCGAAGCTAGGAAGGGCGAGACAGGCCTCTCACGCACGATCCCCACAGGAGAAATGTTAGTTAGTATGGAATGCGCAGGGTGGGGCTTGCTGATAAGCTTGTGTGAATTTGGAATCATCTGATCCGTCAGGGTTTTCTAGGGTTCCCCGTCCTGGTTACCAAGCAGTGCTGCACCGGTTCAATCGGAATCACACTCACAATATTCCCCCCCCCGTCGAATGCTCTATACTCCCAGGACGTCCTTAGAACCCTCCGCAGCACAGAAAATGACCGAGTCATCCCATGAATGCTCTAACCATAGCCATTGCAGGCAATTCACCAGGACAAGCCTTCTCACGCAACGGTAGAATTTTCCCCACGCCACCAGGCTAAACTTCACCGAGTCAAGTGTGTTAGTAGCGCAAACTCTGAGCAAAGTCAACCGGCCATGAGGCTCGTGGACGCAATCCAACGCGGCCATTCATGACTCGGAGAAAACCCGGAGGGGGAAAATTGACCGGAAGGAATGAAGGCGCTAAGGCGCTAAGGCCCAAAATGGAACTCGACACGAGCCAAAGATCAATCTAATCAATCTAGTCAATCAATCAGATAATCTGATAAGGCTCCGCGCCCCCTCTTGCCCTTGCTTGAACCCTCTTGGCACTCGCCTTCCTCCTTGGTTTGGGCCCTTTGGGGGCCAGTAGAGCCACTCCTTCATTAATTGCCAAGCCAGCGTGGTCAGGATGACTGCTGTCGCTGTTGCAGTCGGGTTATCCGGTTCTCTGTTGCACCCTTCTTTCCTTAGTCCATGCCTCGAGTCATGCTCCCAGGTTAAATTCATTCGGCCTAGCAATACTGCAGGGAAATTTGTTTTCCGGTCATCGGACCACCTGTCCGGGACCATGTGGCAACCAAAGTATAAGTAGAGGTTGAGGCCCGTCCCAGCCTGCATTGCTGTTCGTGACATTTGGTCCTGACAACCACCACCATGGCTCTCCGGAACCGCTTCATCAACCCCTTCGCAGCCAAGGGCGCTGTCGAGGCACAGTCTGAGACTGGGGCCCTTGATCTCGAGACAACTGCAGAGTCGAAGCACCCCATTGACCAAGCACAGGAGACCGATCGCTCCTCGCAGGATGATACAATCATCGACGACAAAGCGCAGTCGGGTACCCAGAAGGCGCAGGCGAGCACCCAAGCCTGGACGAGGAACACCCTGATTGCAGCCTACATCCTGTACGTCTCCGATCACTCGCTCTGAAACATCCCCCACTGACCTAAACCCCCTCTTAGGGCTTGGATCGTCAACTTCCTCGAATACTTCAGCTCCGGCCTCCTCGGCTCCCTGTCCCCCTACATCTACAGCGGCTTCGCTCTGCACTCCCTGACAGGTCTGACCTCGGTCATCGCCTCGTTGATCTCCGCGATGGTCAAGTTCCCCTACGCGAAGCTCATGGACATCTGGGGCCGACCGCAGGCCTTCGCCGTCGCGGTGGGCTCGCTGACGCTAGGGCTGGTGATGATGGCGGCATGCAAGAACGTGCAGACCTACTGCGCGGCGCAGGTCTTCTACCAGATCGGGTTCAGCTGCATCGACTTCTCGATGACGATCTTTATCGCCGACACGACCGCCCTAAAGAACCGGGCGTTCTGGATCGCCTACGCCTCGTCACCGTACCTGATCACTCCCTGGATCTACGGGTACGCGGCCGACCGCATCGTCGCCCCCGGAGGCATCGGCTACCGCTGGGGCTTCGGGGTGTTCGCCATCATCATGCCCATCGTCTGCGCCCCGCTGTGGGGCCTGTGGTACTACATCCAGAAGAAGGCCGAGCGGATGGGGCTGACGGAGAAACGCGAGCGCAGCGGGCGCACGCTGGCGCAGTCGATCGTCCACTACGCCATCGAGTTCGACGTGGTGGGGCTGCTCATCATCGCGACGGGCTTCTCGCTCTTCCTGCTGGCCTTCAACCTGTACTCGTACCAGGCCCACGAGTGGCACTCGCCACTAATCATCTGCTTCATCATCATCGGCGCCCTGCTGATCCTGGCCTTCGTGGTGTGGGAGCGCTTCTGGGCCCCCGTGCAGTTCATGCCCTGGGCGCTGATCCAGGACCGCACCGTCGTCTTCACCTTCTCCATGGTCGTCTCCCTCTACCTGGCCTGGTACATCTGGGACAGCTACTTCTACAGCCTGCTGCAGGTCGTCTTCAACCAGACCGTCACCCAGGCCACCTACATCTCGAACATCTACACGATCGGCTCGTGCTTCTGGTGCCTGGTCTTCGGCGCCATCCTGCGCTACCAGGGCCGCCTGAAGTACTGGGCCATCTGCTTCGGCGTGCCGCTGACCATTCTGGGTGTGGGCCTGATGATCAAGTTCCGCCAGCCCGACGTGAACATTGGATATATCGTCATGTGCCAGATCTTCGTGGCCTTTGGGGGTGGCACCCTGGTCATCTGCGAGCAGATGACGGTCATGGCCGTGTCGGCGCAGCGCAACATCCCAGCCATCCTGGCGATCGAGGGCGTCGTCGCCAGCATCGGCAGCGCCCTGGGCGGGACGGTGGCTGTCGCCATGTGGACGGGCATTTTCCCCGTGAAGCTGCGGTCGCTGCTGCCCGCGTCCGCGCAGGCCGACTGGGCGACGATCTACGGCTCGCTGGACGTGCAGCAGTCCTACGCCCGAGGCACCGCCACCCGCGACGCCATCGACTCGGCCTACGGCGAGACCCAGCGGCTGATGCTGATCACGGCGACGTGTCTGTATCTGATCACCTGGTCGTCGTGCTTCTTCTGGAAGAACATCGATGTCAAGAAGATGAAGCAGCAGGTGCACGGGGTGCATTTCTAGGCTTCTCAGTCGGGTCCTTGATCGAGTTCTATGAATTGATATTCTTTCTGAGAGGGGAGGCGGAAAACCAATTGCGCTCTGCACGGGCGAACAAAAAGCATGGGGAATGATATCCAGAATGAAAGTGTGGGCTCGCTATTTTGTTTGACAATTACGCTTGTCTCTGTTCTGGTGCCATCAAGATAGTATAATATGTAATCGACAAGAATCGAAAGGAAATGAAAAGAGATGTTCTTTCGAAGACAAACAAAAATTTGCCAAACCAGGGGGATTTGACAAAACAACGACCCCAGCACCAGCTGTCCACAGCCATCGTATCAGCTAGCCCTACTTTCCTTCCTCCTCCCCCTCACCAATCGTCTTCTTCTTCCTCACATCCACCCACCCCATCCCAAACGCCGCCACAAACCCCGTCAAACAGCACGCCATCAGCAGGTAAAACACCTTATCCAGACTATTCGCAAACGCCAACAACACCCCCTCCAGCTCCGCGCTGCTGCCACTACCCTCCGGCACCAACGCCCGGACGGAGCTTGCGCTCGCCCCAGCGGCCAGGGCCGCGTCCACCGAGACCTGGGGCGCATGCAGCCGGATCTCCTTGACGAGCTGCTGCCGGAAGATCACCTCTGCCACGACGACGAACACGGCGCCGGCGAAGTTCTGGCAGAAGATCATGAAGGCGATGCCGATGGAGATCAGGTGGACGGAGAGGTGGTTCTGGATGGCGATGATGCCCTGCACTTTGTTAGCTTGGTGTCTGGATGGCAGCGAAAGAGGTGTTGTGTGCTGTAGCAGGGTGTGAATTATACAAGGGTAGCGTACCATCTGCATCCCAATCCCGCGCCCACTGCCCAGCACGATCTGATACCCAATCCACTTGCCTGTTGGGGTCGAAGGGGCAAACATTGTGACAAGACCGTTGCCGACGGCGCTGATGGCGCTGCCGGCCGCAGCGAAGGGAAGGTAGTACCCCAGCTTCTGCACTGCATGCCGTCAGACGCTTTTCAACCTACCCAGCTGCAAGATTTGGAGTAGGTTATGGACGTACCGAAAGCCCCTGAAAGAATGACCATGAGCAACTGACTCAAGATGCCCGGCAGGGTGTTCACCCCGCTCATGGCGGGCCCGTACTCACGCACTCCCTGGAAGTAGATGGGCAGGTACTGCGCCGCCACCAGGATGGACGCCACCAGCATCCCGCCGTTGATCGCGCTGGAGTAGACGATGCGCGCGCTGACCATGGAGGTCGGGATCATCGCCCGCTCGCCCATGCGCTTCTCCCACTGCGCAAACACGATGGCCGTCGCCCCGGCGCCGCAGAACAGTCCGATCACCACCGAGCTGTCCCAGCTGTAGTCGTTTCCGCCGTACTGGAGGGCCAGCAGCACCATGATGGCGGCCGGGGCGAAGAGGGCGAACCCGAGGAGGTCGAGATCTGGGAGGGTGCGGCGGACCAGAGCCAGCGAGAAGGGGGCTTTGGTGGTGAGTTCGGGGACGTGCATGAAGAGGAGGAGGACGGCAGTCACGGCGCCGACGGGGAGGTTGATGTAGAAGCCTGGTCATGGTCAGAACGGTTGCACCGGGGGATGTCGAAAGGTACATACACCATCGCCAGGTTGTGTACTGGGTGAGCGCTCCGCCGATCAAGGGGCCGCAGATGATGCCGACCTGCGAGACTGGAATTGTTGAGCTGATTGTCCTCTACCCGATCCAGAGAGAGGTGACTTACTGCCAAGGTAGATTCCGGTGTAGACTGAGGTATTGTTAGCGATAATTCTCACTCCAAATGCCGACTAACTAACTCACTTGGCCGTTTCTCCAGCGGCACCGAGCCAGCAATGATGGTCATTCCCCCGTTCAACAGCCCCGAACTCCCCATTCCAGCGATCGCTCGCCCTCCGATCAGCATGGACGAGGAGTTGGCCAGTCCGCAGATGAGGGAGCCCAGCTCGAAAACCCCGAAGAAGAACAAATACGACCACTGGAGGACCGTCAGCTTCTACCCCATGACTCCTCTTGACAATCTCCCGACCTTAGTATTGTAGAAGGTGTACACCTTGCCCGACAGCGGCTGCAACGCGGCACTCGCCAACTGGTAGGCCGCCGTGTACCAGCCCACATCGTCCAGCGAATGAAACTGACTCGTGATGTTGGGAATGGCCTGGAAGCATGCGTCGATGTGCAACGATCAGTATGTGTTCTGAGGTGTAGATGCAATCTGGCGACGGCAACCTACCACCCCGATAATCGACCCATCAAGCAGCATCAGAAACGCCGCGAGAGTGACACTGGCCAGGACAGCGAAGAGTCTGAGGCCCGTGATGTACTCGTGGCTTTCATCGGCCGTCGTTGCGCTCCCCAGCGCCCTCTGACTGTCACCAGCGCCAGCCAAACCGTCCTCTTTCTCATCCGGCAGCGGGTGATGCAGCTCCGACTCCGACTCCGTGGGAGCTGGTCTGGTCCATGGCGAGGATTGAACGTTGTCCATTTCGCACGTTCTGGTTAGAGTTATCAGGTGGTGAGTTAAGATGCGCGAATGCGAGTGAATGTAGGATATAGTAAGAATGAAAGGGTTATGGTATAAAGGAGAACTGGAATCAGGGTCCAAGGGATAGAGACGCAGAAAAGCATTGGGCAGAAACCCCTAGCCCCTAACAGGCATCCAAACCTCACAGCAGACCCTGGACTTGTAGGACCCCTCAATCAGCTCGGTGGGCAACAGCCACCTCCCAGAAGGCATTTGGCGGCCTGCAGCCCCGGCGCGCGGTGGAAATTGCCGAAGATCGACAGTCCCGCCAGTACCTCCGCCGCTAAGTCCGGGGTCGCACAGCCCTAATCCACACTATCGATCGGGACTGCAACCACGGAATGGCTGCACGCTTTATCTGCTTCTGGTGCGGTGACGAGGAGGTGCATGTAGATTCCTGCAAACTCTTGCAGGCTCCTGTAGACTACTGCGCTACCGCACACTACTGCACCCGGGATGGACTGATGGTCTCCATTGGGCCTTTCGCGATGCGCGTCACATTTACCCGAAAGGGAAATCCTCAGAAAAAGCAAGCATGGCAGCTAATGAGTGGGGTCCCGACGAATGGGCGAAATCACCGAATCGAGTCCGTGCGGTGACCAGTGGCCAGGGGTGCTGAAGATTACCACGGTCTAGAGCAGATGGTAGAACCCGATCGCTTGGAGTAGACCCTAAGTCGAGCATAACAAGGTGAAATTTAATAGCTGATTAGTGAAAGCCACAAGAGTGACCTATTCAAAAGGAAAGTTACTCGCCTCGGAAAAGAGTCCCAGAGACACAGACCCCTCCAGCCACTCCTTCGACAAGACTTTGGTCTGGCAGAACTCGATGCTTGGGTTACAACATGTAGTGTTTGCTGGTAGCCAAGAATTATCCTGCGACCGACTCAGAGACCCTGCTCCAATGGACTCAATACAATGCCCTATGCGTTACTGCACGCATAAACAGAGGTACATAGACTATAATGAAATACCCATGTAGATATCCGCTCCTCCAGGGTCGTGTCCCGAAGACCTGCAGTCAAATCGGAAAGGCACATTCCTACCACTAGGATTCCGACCAACCTATTTTGAAGTAATGCTATGTACACCCTCGCTCCTTGAACTCCTATAGCTCCCATATAATCAGAACACTAGATGTCACAACAACCGGGCTCTGTATCCCGAGTCAATCCAGACACCTTACCCGCCTCATCTTCCCCCTCAACGCCTCTATCACCCCCAGTCCGCCTCTCTCCCGCCCACCCCCGGCATTCCCAGCATCCAACTCCACCTGCATCAACGTCGAGAACAGCAACTGCCCACTGGGTCCACTGAACAGCCCCTCCGGCTTGTGTTCCGTGTCATCCCACCCCGTCCGCAGTGACGAGAGACAGAACTCCTCCGGCAGGCCGAGTAGCATCTCGATCGGCCGCAGCTGACTCCCTGTCAGACAGTACAGTAGGTGACTCAGCATGCCCAAGCCGGGGGGGACAGCGATACCACCGAGAAACAGCTTGGGGGCCGCTTGCGTCGCCAGCGTGAGGGCTGTGGGGTTCAGCCGGGCCTGCTCGATGAAGTGGCCGAAGATGGCATCGTAGATGGAGATCGTAAGCAGGTGGCAGCTGAGGATGGTGAGGAGGTCGGCGATGCTGAGGCGCGGGTGGGTGAATGCTAGGGCGGTGGCGGTGTTGCTGCTGGCAGGGGTCTTGGTAGCTAGGTGGCGGCTGTTCGTGATTTCTGACGAGGGAGAGGCTTGGATTGACCGGAGAAATTGAGCAAAGTCCGCAGTCGTGTGTGCAATTTTGGCGAGTGGGTTGGTGGTGGTGATCTGGAGATCCGGTGGGCTAGGGTGAGTGGAGGACTCGCAGCCGCCGGCTTCGTGGAGGCAGGTCAGCCACATGGCTTTGGTCATGTCCCATGGCATCGACCGCAGGGTGAAGAGTTGTTTGGAGAGTTCTCGCTGGAGCACAGAGAGGTGCAGACCGTGGTCGAAGGTCGGAGGGGGCAGCTGGTCGCCAAACAGCGGCAGCAAGCCCGGGTTGATGGGCTCGAGCTGCAGGAGCGGGAGATTCTCGGTCGGGCTGGTCTCTATCATCGGATCATTGAGTAAGGCTGCTGGTGAGGGTCCATCCGGCGGTGTTGATGGAGAGGACATGGTCTGGATGGTCGCACTGCCATCGATGGGGAACCCAGCGTCGATGGAGTTCCACGGAGCATGGCTCATCTCGTAGTCGGCGTCTAGCAGTTCGAGGTTGAACCACTCGTCCACGCTGGTCAGAGCGTTGAGATCCACCGTGGGAAGGGATGGACTCGGATTGCGCGGGCTGTGCATATCATCATTGTTACATTTCGATCGAGTCGAGCCAGTGGTCTGTCGCGAAGCGGTGGTCGAGTTTCTGGGTCGACCCGGCCGCTTGGATGAACTGGTTACACATTCCATCTGAGATCGAATGCATCGAATGCACGAGTCGGCGGGGTGGCCGGGGGCACGAACGCAACGCAGCTTCTGCGTCCTGCAGCGATCACAGGCGGCTCGTTTGGGGGGGTTGTTGGAGTCCGACATTGGGAAGGGTGCATACAGTATCGATCAGTCAACCTTAAGTGCAGTGTCACGGTCTATCGTCAATGTTCAATGTACCATCGCTGCTGATTCTTATACCTCGACTACAATACCAGCAGCCCTACAGGCTCAGACTATGGGACAATCTGTTCTGACTTTGCTTTTCTTTCCTCCAGCACCACATTGCATGCGGAGTTCTGATCGACGCTGTCCTCTGCAGGCGACGAGATTGATAACCACTCAGTCAAGGGCTCTCGATACTCCGATGGGGTAACTACAGCCGACATAAGCCAGTATGAACTCCTATCGCGGTTGCTATAATCCCTCCTGGTGTGAGGGGGGGTTCATTACAACCAAAGTACGTGGACATACCAGCAAACAGGCAAGTATCCCGGCCAGCCCGTGAACAGATGAGGGAACCCTATCTTCGCGGTACTCATATCTTTGCCACTACGTCTCCGACTTTGCAGCAGCACAAGGACTCATGACGAAAGTGAATGCTTCCCCGAGTCAGCACTAAAGCGGGGGATCCAGCCACCAAACTGAAATCGATGTTGCAGAGGGGGCAGACGAACCCTTGGCTTTAGTGGCTTGGGACTAGAGGCATGATCCAGCCCCAGAATGGAGGACAATGCATACAAGGCGTCGAGAGATCCTCTGATAACCCTCTTTGAGTTCGCCCATGGATTGCAGTGGGCCTTCTTCTTCGCTGTTTCAAAGACACGGGGCGTTGGCTAGAATCACTATCGTCTGAAGAAAGCGATCATTCGAATTTAGTGTGCGGATCAGCCGGCCGCACGGTCGCTCCCGCTCCAGCTTCTTCTAATGATGTGATAGTCTGGATACCCTCTGTACACAGAGATTGGATCATTGCTAACTCAATTAAGGGATTCCTCGTACATCGGGCCCATTACTACTCCGGAATCGGCAGCGATACGAGAATAGGGGCACTTCAGGCGACCCGGCGATCAGAATTAGCTCCCGCCTCGGCGTCGATCGGCTGGCTCCCTCTCTGTCTCCGAGGGAATACAATACCACCTTGTACTGTACTCTGCAAGATACAATTCTCACGATGAATTGGAACCTGTTCCAAGCAACTGAGATGTCAGAGCTGGTGCGGAGAGAATGACAGCACAATAGTGCCCTCTCATGCAACTTCCAACTTCTGAAGGATTCCTCGTTGTAGACCAGAAGGAAGGGGAGGTGGTGATCGACGACTAGAGGGAAGACTGCATGACCTCATGGCGATCAATGGGCCGTCGCAAGCTTAATTCCAATCCTGCAATGACTCTGTAATGCACTGACAACTGTGAGGCTAAAGCTGTCCAAGCCGTCCTAAGAAGTCCTATTCGGTGCTTCAGCCAACTGAGGGCTTACACGCTCGTGTCGGTGCAAGCCACCTACCATGGCATAGCTGGACCCTGTTTAACTCTGCTAGCCTCGTATGGATTGGGTGGTAGACATGCTGGCACAGCGAGTCAATGGCTTTGTTGGGGTTGATACAATGTTGATTGCCGTGGATCCTGACGACAAGGCTGTTCTATCGCAGGTTGACCCTGGTTATTGACTGCGAGATCGATCTGGAGATTAGTTCGGTGCCAATGCCTCCTAGCTTAGATTTCGAATCCTATTCCATGCACCGTAGAGGCAATAAGGTGTCTCGTCTTCAGCTGCCTCTCATAAAACTGCTTCCAGAGCATGCGTACCCTCAGCAAAAAGCGGGGTAGCTACTAGGCAACCATGAACCCATCGGTTTACTTCAGAAAGATGAAGATAATGAAAGGACAAAGATACAATACCCCTCTTGAATTGCTTTCCCTGCGAGCCACGTGTGACGTTGGGGCTATACAGGCCGACTTAGCTTCCCACCCACTAACTACCACCTACAAGCCTATGATCTACTTGATAGTAAATCTGCAGCATACCATGACATCAACAGACTTGGTGCACCAATGAACAACGATTCTACAGCAGCCAAAACCATCCGAGTCACCATTGAAAACCGCCGAATGTCTGTAGAGACGCTCAACCATCCGACCGACGGGCGGGGTAACTCCGACCGCTAAGCCCGACAACACCAGCCCTAATCCGCAACAGCCTAGCATTGCAATCAACTTTCCCCTCACTAAACACCGATTAGCGCCCATTAATGCAGCTTGGCTGGGGGGTCACATCACAGCTCGGGCGCGCGGCGGAGCAAATCTGAGAATGAACTCCGCAAGCAAGCTTCAGATGGCCAGGTATAAAGCCTGGGATCGTCCAGCATGAAGCACTATCATTCTCATTCTCATCAACACTTCCCCATTCACCTCCCATTGCATTGCTCCATCGTCCACTCAACAAGATGAACCCCGTCAACACCAAGCCCTACCAGCTCCCCGCCGATGCAACCTGGTTCAGTATGCCTCCCCACCCCCAAAATCCAAACACCACCCACTGACACGCACAGTAACCGGCTGCTCCAGCGGTATCGGCCGCGCGCTGGCCACGCACGTCGCCGCTCAACGCGGCCACCGCCTCATCGCGACCGCCCGCAACCCTGCCAGCCTCTCCTACCTGCCCGACGACAACCCCTCGATCCTCAAGCTCGCACTGGACGTGACCTCCCCCGAGGCGGTGGACGCCGCCTTCGAGGCCGCGGCAGCCCACTTCGGGGACAGCTACTACGTCGATGTGCTGGTCAACAATGCAGGCTACCCGCTGTCCGGAGACAGCGAGGCCGTGACCGAGGCGGAGATGCACGACGAGTTCGAGACCAACTTCTTCGGGACGGTGCGCGTCGCCCTCAAGGCTGTGGCGGTGATGCGGCAGTCGCCCACGCGCCGCGGTGGGCTCATCTTCAACGTCTCCTCCGTGGCGGGCGTGTGCGCCTTCCCGGGCCATGCCTTCTACCACGCCAGCAAGTTCGCAGTCGAGGGGTGGACTGAGTCGGTGGCACGGGAGGTGCACCCTGATTGGAACAGTATGTGTCTCTTACCCGGGCCTCTGGAATGATAAGGGAGAGTGGGGGTGCTGACTGTAGGAAGTCAACTTCTGCATCGTCGAGCCCGGCGCCGTCAAGACCAACTTCGAGACCACCAGCAAGAAGCACATCACGCCGCACGAGGCCTACGCCGCGCCCGATCTGCCGGCCAGACAGCTCGAGGTGTTTGTGAAGAAGGGGCTGGAGGCGGGCGTCGGGGTGCAGCCTGAGCAGGTGGCGCAGGTGTTGTATCAGGTGGCGGCCCGCGGCGAGAAGGTGCCGCTGTGGTTGCCGCTGAGCGGGACGGCCATCATGCTCATCACGGCCAAGCTGAACGGCAGACTGCAGGAGCTGGAGAGTAACAAGGAGTTGAGTGCGATCGACAAGGACCAGGCCCAGTTCAAGCTTAACTAGAGGGTCTGGTTTGCCTGGAGTCCTCGGGACCTATGTTGACACTCACTTATTTGGAGTGATGAAGCGATGTAGAAGACTGGATACAAATCAATAGTTCTTTATCTCAATACGCATTTTGACAGTGTTTCGCCGCTCGAATGAAAGGAATTTCAAGACATCCAATTAGTTTACGGTGTGCTTGAAGGATACTAGAATTATCGACTTAGCTTAGGCGGAGAGCCTAGCTTCTACATAGAATAGAGTACTACGTACGGGGCATTTATAATTTCTCCATATCGCTCTTATATCTATAGACGGCATACTGAGAACATTTAAAACAGGTAAAGGCTAATAAGTTCTCGATGTACCTAGAGACCCGATTACATTGCCCAGTGAATATCCAGATCCGGGTCAACGCCAGCCTGAGGCAGGAGCCACGCCGCAACGGGACCGACCGGGTCGAGGCCGAGAATAACTCGGCGTAAGCGGGGATTTTGCCCCGGGGGCCGAGAGCGGTGAGAGCTTTTGACCACGATGGCCGAGCAGCACCACGTGACTATCTCTGCATAGCTTAGTCAGTGACCCTTGATCTGCGGTATAATTTCTTCATGTCCGCCATTCACAGGGCAGCAACGTCATTCACCCCATACCACCTCAACAACACTGCTCAGGCGCAGGAGAAGCTGCATGCTCGGGACTCATCTCATACAGCTCGGGCCAGACGCAAGACCGACCACAAAACATGGCGCTTATCGCACCAAGCCCTCCTCTGCCCCGCGCACCTGGCCAGACAGCTCGAGCACTATGACGCATGCATGACTGAATGATGTGGTAGTCGGGGCCTGCCATATAAAACCGGGTTTCCACCCTCGACTTGTCCTGGCGAAATTGTCAAACCACCTTCCTCGGTATAAGGTAGCTATCTCTCGCACACATACCCCTGAAAAACCGAATCATGTCGTCGCAAATGGGCAAAGATGGCACCTTCCAGCCCCCGCAGGCAAAACAGGCTCAGAGCAAGCCGGGGTACGTTTCCACGTTTGCAAGCAATGGAGCACAGCAGGGGCTAACACATCGAATAGTCTGGAGAAGGAGATGGCGCCATCCAGCGAGTCCACCAAACTGGAAGGCAGCGAGGGCTTCGTCGAATACACCGGCTCCAACAAGCTCAAGGACAAGAAGGTCCTGATCACGGGCGGAGAGTGAGTCTTCCCACCGGTGCAAGTGTGCCATACTGACCAACTGATCCAGCTCCGGAATCGGTCGGTCGGTCGCTGCATTGATGGCCCGCGAAGGGGCCGACATCACCATCGTATATCTGCCCGAGGAACAGGAAGATGCAGAACACACGAAGAAACTGGTCGAGAAGGAAGGGCGCAGTTGTCTCCTGGTCCCGGGCGACCTGCGGAAGAATGAAACGTGCAAGAAGGCCGTGGAGGAACATGTGAGCAAGTATGCTGGCCTCAGTCTATCTTCCTCACACTACGGGACTAACACAGCTGACCTGCTCTTGTAGGTTCAAGCACATCAACGTTCTCGTGAACAACGCATCAAAGCAGTACATGTGCAAGGACCTGGCTGAGATTGATCTCGACAAAGTCGAGGACACCTTCCGCACCAATATCTTGCAGATGATTGCCATCACCAAATATGCACTCCCGCATATGTCCAAGGGAGATTCGTTAGTTTCCCATCGCAACTGCACGATTCTGGCAGGCTAACCCATCCTCCGCAGGATTATCAACAACACATCCGTCACCACCTTCCGCGGCTCCGGCACGATGGTCGATTACGCATCAACCAAGGGAGCGATCGTGGGCTTTACCCGGTCGCTGGCCCTGCAACTCATGCCCAAGGGCATTCGGGTCAACGCGGTCGCGTACGTTTTGCCCCTACTATTTCACAGATGTCATCCATCCTCTGACTAATAGTGGCGACAGACCCGGCTCCGTATACACCCCCATCCAGATTGACACAAGAGATGCCGAGTCCATGGAGGGCTGGGCGTCCGGCAAGCCGCTGGGCCGTCCGGGACAGCCCTCCGAGGTGGCGACGAGCTTTGTCTTCTTGGCTAGCAAGGATGCGTCTTTCTATTGTAAGTGACTTTGGTTCCTTGTTCTATGTAAGTTCGGGGCTGTTACTAATGACATTGCAGCGGGACAAGTTCTGCATTGCTACCCTCTGGGAGAGTAGCGGCAGACATGACGGGATGAATTGAGATGTATGTTTCGATGAAATGAGCATAATCAATACGAAATAATGATTTCATACATAAGGTAGCACCGTGAATTATAAATCTATACCATCGGGAACTATGAAATTTTATCTTTCCTAGAAGACTCCGTGAATCAGTCGAAAGTTTGTCCACCAGCCCGTTCTGTTATATATTGCTTGGACCGATCAAGCTGAGCCCCCAGCACTTTCTGCAGCAGCGTAATACAGCAACCAATCATTCAAAAGTCAACTTTACACTGACCTGGAAATTTGTGAATGCTATGTACACTATTTATCTTCTCGTATTGCCAATGCCTACAACCTCTTTTCTACTGTGCTTGGCGGGCTACCCGATGGCAATCATATGTGATCCTGCTGCCGGTGAAAAGACAAGCATGTCTGACGCAACACTTCCTTTTCCCGCCAGGCTCGGGCAGAGTGAGTTGTGATGCCAAGTCGGGAGTTCTGCAGCGGGCGCTCGTGTGTGGCGGGCCATGTGCCAGGTACTGCGTGGGGCAGGTTGCAGTGCTTGTCAGCCTCAGTGTTTCAGGATGTTAGTTCTGCGGTTGGTGTTCTTCACCTGGTGAGAAAAAATATCACAAAACCGGCAGAGATTGTGTGCCCAACTATTGCAGCTGTTCTCGATATAAAAAAGCACAGTAAGGGGCGTCTGATGTAGGGTTCTCCCCGAACCGGTGACATTGGCACAGCGACAGCGAATAGGGAGAACCTGCCTCCGGACCAAGTGCCAATTTACGTGATTCTTCGACCTGTAGAGCCCGTTCGTGTCCTGGTGGGGATTGACTATGCAAAATCGGGCAGGACCCCTGGCATGAGTCTTCTGCAGGCACCTCCTTTCTCCTTTCCGGCACCACGCGGATACCACTTCCTCAGCGCCAGTCCACTCATCTCGATCGATGCTTGTCTAGTGATTGACCCAGGGGATGCAGTGGGGCCAGGCTCGTATGCACGGGCCAGACGAATATCTGAGGCCCTGCATCGATTAGTCACCCGACCATCTTGAGTCAACGTTATACAACTCGCCATGGCTGAGTAGATTCAAGCTCCGGGCAGGGTATCATCCGGTGCTGCCAGGAGCCCGTTGGCGCTCAGGGGGCTTCATCTCGAGGATATTGACAGGCGGGTGGTAATTTCAACACGAAGTCTTAGATTGTGGGTGTCTCACTGCAGCCCAACGGGGGAGCAGGAGGCCTGAACTAAGTGGGGCCCGCAGACTAATCACGAATTATGAATGTGACTAAACTCATACAGCTAACTATGCACAAATTTCAGAACAATCCAACGGGATCCAACGGGGGAGCTGAAGGGGTCAACGCAGTGGGGCAGACATATACTAATCATGATCGTACCTTACCAGAACCAGACTGGACTCTCTGACTAGGCACAAATTAAGACTAAAGCCCGGTTCAGCCTCGAACTGGCTGGTCGACCTTGATTGGCGCTCTTGCAGTCCAATCCGCACGGCTCCACGCTAGTCCGCACGCGATCTCAGGGCTAATGAAGAAAACACCATCTGAAGAACCCTCACGGTCGTTAACCGAGATTGCAATGTCGCATTGCTCCAATCTCTGGGTTAGATGAGCTGACCACCATGGAGATTCTGCGTTCCGTGAGAGCTTCAGCTTGCCTGCAAAGGGAAACTGGTCGTATCGTCCTTCAGCTGAGATGGACCCTGGATGGACCCTAGATGGACCGTACCGGTAGGGCTGCGAGTATATAATCTGCATCCTCAACCCATGAGTTCAGATGGGAGTCAGGGTCATTAACTGTCATTCTTTTACCCCCAGTCCTTCGTTCATCATGGCCAAGCTCAGCTGGCTTCTGACCTCTAGTCTTTCTTTTGCCTGTCTTTCCACAGCACTTCCTGCTGGCTCTCTTTTGAAATCGCAACCTCAGTCTTTTATCTCTCCTACTAACTACAGTTCTTTCGATGTCGACCAGTGGATTCCTTCAGCGGACTATGTTCCGGTCAAGGCAGGCGTTCCTTTTCTGATTCAGAACAAGACCGCGCAGCCCTGGAACCCCGTCTCCCCTCACTCGCACGGGGGCAACCTCAGCAACCTCACTTATCCCCACCAGAAGCGAGCCAGCTGCGGCGGTCCCACCCCGGACAGCCCCAGCACCTTCTGGTATGAGAGTATCACTCATAACGGCGAATCCTCCTTCCTCGACTCCTCCTACAAGGCCAACTACAAGGTCTTCCGCAACGTCGTCACCGACTATGGCGCCGACAACACCGGTGCCACCGATGCCTCTACCGCCATCCAGAATGCCATCAAAGGTACGGTTCCTGTCATGCAACGGCTTATGCAACGTACTGATCTCCAGGAAGCCGGAGCCTCCAACGGCCCTGACCGCAGCAGCGGCTCCATGGGCACCACCGGCCAGCCGGCCGTGGTATACCTGCCCGCCGGCACGTACCGACTCGACAGCCCCCTGCAGCTGTACGTTGGCACCGTCTTTGTGGGAGATGCGTTGAATCCGCCCACTCTCAAGGCCAGCGCCAACTTCCCTACCGACCACATTATCTACGGAAAGGATCCCAAGTTGGGCGGAACCATTAACTTCTACATCGCGTTCAAGAACGTGATTATCGACTCGACCAGTGTTTCCACCTCGACTGCCATCACCTTGCTGGATTGGACCGTCTCGCAGGCGACCCAGCTGACCAACGTGGTCTTCAACATGCCCGACAACTCGAACCACGTGGGTGTGACGAGTCAGTATGATTCGAACAGTAACATCATTCTGGTGCGTCCCACCACCGATCTAACCCTAATGCCCCAAGGCTGACCATCCCCTGCGCAGAATGACCTGACCTTCTACGGCGGTGCCATCGCCATGGAGCTGAGCGGCCAGCAGTGGATCCTCAAGGGCATCAACATCAACGGCGCCAACGTCGGTATCAAGGCCGGGGCCTTCGAGCTCGTCTGCCAGGACTGTACGCTCCAGAACGGCGCCACCGGTATCGACGCCAGCAGCATCTCCGGCTCCCTGACGGTGATCGACTCCACGGCCAACTACCTGGGCAACATGATCATCTCCTCCAACGCCGGCGGCAGCGCCCAGAACTCCATCATCCTCGACAACGTCGCCTGCACCAACAGCGGCAGCACCGTCTCGCTCAACGGCAACGCCGTCCTGACCGGCTCCGTCACCAACACCTGGGTCCACGGCAACCTGTACTCCGGCGGTGCAACCACCCCGGCCTACGAGCAGGGGCTGAGCGTGACCACGGCGCGCGCCGACGTCCTCCTCGACTCCAACGGCAAATACTTCACCATGGCCCCGCCCACCTACTCCCAGTACTCGGCCAGCCAGTTCATCAACATCAAGAGCGTCTCCGGACTCCCCGTGTACGGCGACGGCGCAACGGACGACACCGCCAACATCAACGCCATCCTGGCCCAGTACGCCGGCTGCAAGATCATCTACTTCCCCGCCGGGACCTACATCGTCACCGACACCATCCTGATCCCCTCGGGCTCCATCATCATCGGCGACGCCTACGCCTCCGCCATCAGCGCCACCGGCGGCAACTTCTACAACCCCGATGCCCCCACGACCATGGTCCAGATCGGTAACTCCGGCGACGTGGGCACCGCCCAGATTTCGGATATGCTCTTCACCGTCGCGGACGTGCTGCAGGGCTGCAAGCTGGTCGAGGTCAACATCGCGGGCTCGACGCCGGGGGCCGTGGGCTTGTGGAACTCGCACTTCCGCATCGGTGGCGCCGCCGGCAGCAAGGTCCAGACCAACTGCTACGGCAACCCGGACATCTGCAAGGCCGCATGGGGCCTGATCCACCTGACGGCGACCTCCTCGGCCTACATCGAGAACATGTGGGGCTGGACGGCCGACCACAACCTGGATGGCAACCTGGAATCGACCACCGTCTCGACCGGCCGCGGCATGCTCGTTGAGGCCACCAAGGGCACCTGGCTCGTCGGTACCGCCATGGAGCACAACACCCTGTACCAGTACAACTTCGAGTACGCCTCCAACGTCCTCAGCAGCTTCCAGCAGAGCGAGACCCCCTACTGGCAGGGCTGGGGCGCCCCCAGCTCCGGCATCGCCCCCGCCCCCTGGACCGACAACCTCATCGCCAGCGACCCCACCTTCAGCGAATGCGACGCCGATGACGTCGGCTGCCGCATGGCCTTCTTCGAGCGCATCCGCGGATCGAGCAATCTGTTCCTGTACGGCGGCGGTGTCTGGGTCTTCTTCAACCACGGCGGCAGCTGCACGGGCGACTGCCAGGCGAATGCGATCCGCATTCTGTCCAGCGAGGGCAGCGTCTATCTGTACGGCACGAACGTCAAGGCCATCACCAATATCGTGAAGGAGAACAAGGTCGACGCGGCGCTGGAGAGTGCTAACCAGGGTGGTTGGGGTGGTGTCGTGGCGGCCTATCTTCACAGTGCGGATGGCGCGACCTCCTCGGGTGGTAGCAGCAGCAGTGGTAGCAGCGGCAGCAGCGGCAGCAGTGGCAGCAGCAGCAGCAATGGACCTGCGGTGACCGGCAATGGGCTCAACTGGTATAGTTCGTCGTTGACCGACGGCGCCACAGCCTACGAGGACCCCGAGTACTACTACTGCTTTGGCGGAGCCGCGGCCAACTTCCCCCCGTTCGCGAACTGGATGGGCTTCACCGAGATGTTCGACCTGAACCAGCAGACGTCGATGGCCTTGGTCGAGGACGGGCCCATCCAGGGCGATATCTGGAACGCGATTGTGGAGGTCTCCGCCGATGCCAAGGTCGATCCGAGATTGATTCTGGCTGTTGTGATGCAGGAGGTATGTTGTCTCTCAGGGCTTCCATTTGTAGCGTGATTACTAACCGAGTTTCCTCACAATTAGTCCAGCGGCAACGTCTACGTCGGCTGCACCAACAACGGGGTCGAGAACTGCGGCCTGATGCAGGCCTACGCCGGCTCAACCTCCTTCGACGCCAGCGACCCGCAGGGCAGCATCACCCAGATGATCGTCGACGGCACGCAGGGCACCGCCGCCGGCGGAGGTCTCGTCCAGTGGTTCAACGACGACAATGTCGGTGCCAACACGGGCGGCAACCCGTACAATGTGCTGCGTGGCTACAACTCGGGCAGCATCAACTTCAACGATCTGGATGACCCCCAGGATGCTACCGGGTCGTACGTCAGTGATATCGCCAATCGCTTGCAGGTGAGCTTTCTTCCGTGGTTAATTCAGGACTGTTTGAGCTATGGCTAATGTTTCTTGTAGGGATGGAACGGAAATGATGGACACGGATACCGGGCTGCCTGTGGATGGTGATAGCGCGGCAGGATAATGACCACGGTTTAGTCCCGTACCCTTGCAACGTCTGAGCGTCGACGGCTTGTTCTCTGGAATGATCCGCGGAGCAAGAGCGGCTCTCTAGGATACGTCCAGACCCGCAAGAGAGAGGCAGCTACTTGCGGGTTGGTAAATAAAACAAATATAAAAAGTTGTATATTACCTTGTTCAGTATTCAAACCTCGACCTGTTCTGGAACAGCATTCAGGCCGACAAGGTCATTTGTAATCAGTCACCAGCCAAAGCATGCGTATTCGCTGTCCATCGGAACTGAACACCGCGGCTATGCTTTTTTGTAAACCGATCACTGTTGACAGTGTTGTGCTCCTGGTTAGTCTGGGTGTAGGGATTGCAATCTCATCGGTCTAGGCCTATCCTAGTCCCCGCCGTCAAGGTAGCGTAGAACCATGCGCACTAAGCCCGCAGAGCCCGGCGAGGAAGGGTAAACCCCGCAGGACCAGAGCAGGATTGCCAGTGCTCATGCCAGGCTAGAGTTCGCCTTCAAGCAAGCCCGGATTCCGCCGACCTTTGCCTCTCCACTGACCAGGTATCGGAGCAAGCGCTGCAGGTTCTGTGTGAATTCAATCCAGTCTTGCTTGCGAGAGATATCGTAGCCGCGCGAGAAATGCATGTGGAAGGTTTCAGCTACCGAAGAGCCCTTCGCATGTACCCGTTAGATCTGACTCAGAGGAAGAATCCACGAGCGATGAAGATTTGGGAACCGAAGAACCCGACAAGGAAGACCTCCTGGTCCTGTACCTCATGGCGAAAATTGCAGGCAAGTTGTCCCAGCATGATGGCCAGGATCTCGCCCACAAATTCCCCCTAGGTCTGCCCTGGAAACTACTAGATCCTCACGTTAGACGTGGTCGCACGCATCGATCACCAAGGAACACATGCCCCAGTGAAGGACAGAATCGGGATTCGCTGACTCTGCAGGCGGGCCGTTACGGCAGACTCAGGCCGGGACGCATATCGCTTACCGCCAATGAAGTAGTCTTATTTGACCTGAGTCGAGCAGCTTTAGGCAAAACATCAGCTCGGATCCTAGGCGCGACGATGCACTCCGCTTACCTTATCCACAGAGACTCTGTGGCATGCGTCCTGAAATAAGGGTGCATGGTCAGAGTCCGGAGAATATGGTCTTGTTTCGTCATGCAGGACTCAAACTCGTCTCGGTTCGCATATTTCCAGCTCTTGCGACGGAGAGTGACGGTTTCGGTGGGTCTCAATGCATTCTCCAGCTTCGTGGTATCGGGCACTCTGTCCGTCGGGATGATGCCAGATTTGCTGTCGATGGTGCCACCATCGATCCCCTTTGTCCAAACATAGGGAGCGACGTATAGGTCGTTGAATTGGTACAGCATGGATCGGAAAACATCGCTCTCAAGGGGGAGGGGCCAATCGTGGTGAACATATTCTCAAGGAGGTTGGACGTGGACGTGGATGGCAGCGAGCATGAGGCGAGGCGAGGCGCGACGCGAATCTGGGCTGTTGCTCGAGTATGGAAGTGGAGTCGATCCGGCGCCTGCTACGGAGTACCGTCCGGAGTACCGGGGTGGAAAAACCTCCCGGAGTAAGGGAGCACCCACGCTAGTCCCACCTGGGCCACGGTACCATGTGACTTCTAATCACGTGATACTGCGTGAGATAAGTGGTCAGTCCTTGGTTTGGTGGCATCAGACCCCGCAAACCAGCCCCACAATACCAGCCCCTATTTATTCGAAGTGCACCAAAAACACCTTGCAATTTACTCGGAGCCTCGTGGCCCACTATATGAACGATTTCCGTGGTACGTACCCTGCCAACGTAGAGGATATGGAAAGAAAGGGAAAGGGTATAGTCAAATACCACCAGGGAGACAGAATAGAACCATTGGAGAACCACTCAAGAAGTACTGGAGAAGAAAACTATCATCCCTCGGCCATGAGCCGGAGGGCAGTGAGGCTCGAGAAAACGGCTCGTCTGAGCACCGGTCAACCCTCTTACCGTCATGTTCCACTACGCAGTATTGTCCTAACCGCACCTAAAGCTCCCAGCTATCGATGGATCCTTGCCACGTGGGGCTGGGGAAAGGAATTCTGGGCGCTGCCGCTAGCCCCCAGCTCGCCCAGCGCATGGGACTGAAAGGCAGGTCGATATCGTTTGGTCTCAGAGGAAGGCAGTTGAGCCAACCGACGAAGTAACTTGAGGTGAGATCAGTATCGAAAGCAAGCAATCGCGAAAAGGAAGGTCACCCACAGTCTCCGGCCAGTTCCGTCCCAAACAAGGTTCTGGGTCGCTCCTACATAGGGTATATACCCGCACGAATAGAGAGCCCTGCAACGATATCAGCACCCAAAGCACCGAGACGAAAAGATGGGAAGCTGGCTCATACGGAAGCTTGTCTCTGAATTCAGCTCGGATCAGATCTCGCTCTTCACGAGGCAAGTTCCAAAAGGTCTGCGAGCCGAGGTCATCGCCCAGGCGGATTCCTGGCACAATGCTCCAGATGATGGTGTATATGAACCCCCCCGGGACACGGTCCCCGTCCCCTTGCTGCTCCGTCCTACTGTCGAGGAGGGTTGGAGTGCAATCCGGGCTTAGGTGCAGGGACGAAAACCGCTGAAAGGCCTTCACCTCGGTGGGCACCTGCGGCTTGGCTTGCCGGGCGATTTCCTCCGCGGTGTTGAACTCCGATCCTAGGATGGGGATCTGCTTGTACACGCGCATGAAGGCCTCTTCTTGAGGGCCCTGTTGGACCTTCCGCACACGGAACCTGGCACAGACATACGGGCGAATGTCGAAGGTCTCTGCATCCTCGCGGTCGAATGGGAAGACGTGTTCGTTGACCTTGGACACAATCCTCCACCTGGACCGGTCCAGGTGGATGTGTGTGCCCACTCTGTGCTCCGCCGTATCGAAGGAGGTCATACTTTCCATCAAAGGACAGGATGTGATCCGAGCGTACGACACAAGGATCCGGGGCTACCAGTGACGATCGAGGACTGACAGTGCGAGATGGAGTGAGAGGAGAGTATTGAATTTACCTACAACAGAAGAGAATGAACCTGCGGGTGGAAAGAGGAGAAGAAGAATGGAGTGACGAGGGAGAGAGGGGGGGACGATACAAGCCACACGGAAGGAAGATCCGTGGATCGAGTCACTATTTTGACTACTTCACAGTGATGCAGTGGATACGGAGGTTAGGTAAGGCAAAGCAATCTGTTGATCTATTACAAACCTAACCCTCAGGAGTCCTATATCCCAAGGTCTTGACCATAGATATAGTATACTAGGGCCTTGGGCCCAAAACAGTAAAAACAGCTGAATCATGATGTATATCCAACTCATTTATATAGCCAACTTGCTTGGTAATTATATCGGTAATACCACATTTATTCTTCCATCTTCTCATCAACTGGGAATACAAAAGTTACCGCAACAGATTCCGTGCTACCCGCAAATATAACTATCACCACTCTGGCATGTTGGATGTCCGAGTCCGAAGTAACTATCATGTTGAACTGCAGCTGAGAAACGCAGAACCGCCCTCTGCCTTCTACCCCTCTCCCACAAATCCAGCCTTCAAAACAGCACCCTCACCCCCAGGTTCAAAGACTATCAGGCTTAACCCTCGACAACCTTGACCTGCAAGATATACGGATCCTGGGTGTTGAAATTGATTGTGTGCACGCCGCGGGTGAAGACCGTGAGGTAATACTCGTCCGTCGTTTCATAAAACACGTAGGTGCTGCCGAACGACCCTTGCACCTCGGCCACGTTGATGTCCAGCTGGTACGTGTAGAAGATTCCGTCCGCTTTGGTGAACCGATACTTGTCGATGCCGGTCTCGCGCGCGAACACCGTGTCGGTCGCCACCCAGGTGCCGGCCACGGGCCAGCCGGCGTTGTAGGTGCCGGATTTCGCGGCGCTGATGAGTTGGAGGAGGCTGAGGAAGAGGAGGAGGAGGATGTTCATTTTGGTATGTTGGTACTTTGGTACTTTGGTTTCTTTGGGGTTCTTCTCTGGTTTGATTGGTTGTTTCGTTGCAGTGGCAGTGAGGGAGATGATAGTAGTAGTAGTTGCTGTTGTTAAAGAGTACAGTTGGGAATGGACTGTGAGGAGATTTATATTCTTCTTCAACACGGTTGTCGGGCCATTCGGAGGGCAGGCTCGCTGTCAATATTGTGTGATGTCTACCCCAGCTGCATTCAGCATTCAGCTTTCAGCTCTCAGCACATCACTGCTGCTCTGGGAGGGCCAAATAGCTGATGCATGCTTCATCACAGCGCCAGGTCAATGCGGGCAATGCCGATCGCGTGAACGCCGCTCCGAATGATGCGGTGCTCGGCCGATCAGCGGGGCGATCCTCGCCGCGTGCGCGTTATTGGTCGAGGCTGATGTTGCATTGCAGCTCCGCTGTATGCAATGCAGATTAATAGATTGTTTCCCGAGACATCCCCATCATCGTCACATCATTGAGTGCAATTTGCATGATAGAATGAGCGGTGCCAGGAAGCTGAAAGAAAAGGGGGGTCTGGGGGTTCTCCCCCGAAGTTGCTTATTCCGGTTTTCTGGTGTAGATCAGATGGGGGCCATGCATGTTAGCCCGGGTGAGCACGAGTGGCTTTGAGTGCTGAGACGTATAGAATCGCTGGAGGATCCAGATACAAGAGGAATGTCCCGTGGTTTGTGGCGGATCGGATCGAGCCTGCTGGGCGGAGGGGAAGAGAGGGGTCTGGCCTCATCGCTCCCCAGTAGTTTTCCTTTCCAAGCTCCTTGATTGACTCACTTACTCAGGCTGAATAGGTCAAAATTGCTTTCACTCACATTCGCCAAATCTCTGCGACGGAGGATGACGTAAAGACCGAAAAGTGATGCAGCCGAGGTCGTCTTCAGAGCTTATACCTCATACGTTCTAGTAGTCATAGTCTGGATCGGCATCGATTCATCAATGGGCTGAATCAATGGGCTGATGAGAGCTGAAAGAAAGAGGCCGAGGAGCAACCTGTCGGCGAATAATGACTATCGAACTTCACAAGCAGTGATCCCGACCACAGTGGTGTCTACTGCACTGGGCTTTTCCTTTGATAATAAGGCCCATATGACCGCCACTCAGCCTTCCGACCTTTGTGTTCCACCACACAATCTTATTTCTACCGAGCATCGCTAGAATCTCCAATCACGAGTAGATCCTTGCCACGATGGGCCAGCGAAGGGTATGTGGGGTGCCCGAGCAAGGCCCCAGCCTGCCCAGAGGATCGGGCTCCAAGGCTTGCTGCGTTCATCAGAAGTCAATCGGATGCAGTTGAACCAACCAACAAAGTAACTAGTTAGAATCAGCAATCTCTACCAAACCAGAAGCCGAGGGGTATGGGGTTCACAAACAGTTTGCGTGCAGATGCATCCCAAAAGAGGTTTTCAGCCGTCCCTGCCGCGGGTTCACACCCAGTAGAACGAAGAGCCCTGACGTAATCAGGGAACAGAACTAGAGCATCAAAGGTAATGCAGACGGCAGGTGTAACGAAGCCACAGCAGAACTTACGGGAGGGTACGCTGAAAGGCATCGCGAATGAGGTCTCGCTCTTTACGGGCGAGGCTCCAGAATACTTTGTTACTGCAGGCGTCTTCAAGGCGGATTCCCGGAACGATGTTCCAGACAATGGTGCGAATATAGCCACCCGGAACTCGGTCCGCATCTTCTTGCTGTTCCTGCTTATTATCAAGCAGGCTTGGAGTGCAAGTAACATTCTGTCGCGAAAATTGCTGGAAGGCAGCCACTTCTAGAGGGATATGCTGTCTGGCCTGCTGAGCACGTTCCCGCATGCCCTGCGACTAGTTATCCCACAATGGGGATTTGTCTATAGACCCGCATCAAAGCCTGTTGAGTAGGCTTGGTAGCGCCACGGTGATGCCTTTGTACAAGGAAGCGAGCGCAAGCATATGGACGAGTATCGAAGTTAGTTGCGTCCTCAGGTTCCACGGGGGCGACGTGCTCGTTAATGTGAGATAAGATAGTCCATTCGGCAGTATTCAAGCGGAGTCGCGCACCCGCTGCATATTCAGTTTCAGTATTAGCAAAGTAGACTGGCTGTGTCATCGTGACAACGAAGTAGTGGCAGTGATCTGTGGAGTGGGGATGGCAAACACGTCTGGTAATTCGAGATAGTGCGGACCACCGGTGAGTCGCAAGCAAAGGCCGGATTTGTAAGACTGATTGGAGGGTGAAATGATGATGAGAAGGGGGAGGCTGTAAAGGAGGAGGCAGCTATAATGGTGATGAAGGCGGGGGAGAAAGGGAGAGAAGGGGGAAAGATTTAGGCCACACGGAAGAGAAACCCGTGGGATCAGCTGACTGACCTCTTTGCTGGCAATGTTCATGATCAGATTCTTCTTAGTAGGAGGGAAAAATAAAACAATGGACAATGCATCAAAATTTGGCGTGTATAAGCCACCCCCACAACCTATAATCTATAGTGAATCATGTGATGCAAATGACCACCCCCTCCGACTCTACTCCTCATACGACCGCTGGTCCCCATTCAATGAGACCTCGTAATCTTGTCCCCGGCTGCCACTTTTCGACGAGGGCGCCAGCTGCGTCAACGGCAGTTCGCTCTCGGTGTCGCGCATGCGCTGGAACGCCCGCGCCGATGCCCCGGACTGCGCCCCAGTCTGGGACGAGTACGCCGCCTTGGCCGACGAGAAGACACCGGGAAAGGCGGCCTTGAAGACCGGGCGCATCATGGGGACGCAGGCGTTGAGGATGGCGAGCGCAGGTTCAGCGACACTCCAGAAGGCCGCCCAGATCATACTATACGAGAGGTCGGCAAAGTCGACGGTGGTGAGGACGCGGATGCGAATGATGGTGATGGCGGAAATGCTTCCTTTCTGTCAGTTTTTGGAGCTTTGCTTCGAGATTAAGTTTCAATGCAAGAAAAGGGCGGGCGACTCACAATAAGCCCATTCCGAATATACCATACAATGCCAGCTTTGTGGCCGTCGAGGTCTGCAGCTTCCAGATGTGATGCACGGGCAGGGCCATGATGACCAGATCGGTGACGAGATTGAAAGCGCCAATCGTCGAGAATGCCACGTTCATGCTCGCGCAGTGACCGGGGAGCGTCGAGTTCCAGTTCTTCTCAAAGGGTTGGCAAATCAGGAAGATCTGGAGCATGCTGCCCACCCAGTAGGCCGCTGCACAGCCCATGCACACCCGCGCGGCGATGCGGAACCCGCGCGTGACGAAGATGCGAAGGTAGAAGAAGAGATAGGAGAATTTGGCGAGGACCATGCAGTTGTAGTAGATGATTTGGTAGACGATAAGCATCTGTGCTAGTCAGTGACCGTTGCCGTTGCTCGGAACTGGATGTAGAACCCACTTTGAAGATGAGAATGGCGTTCTCGGCGGGAATGGCGGTGATGTGGTGGCGCATTCCCACGCGTGCATAGTGGTAGTGCATCGCTAGCATGCCATAAGTGTTGAGCTAATCAGGACCCCAGCTGTCAGTTCGCATGTCCATCATAGATTTCTCGAGGCCCTCGTACCATCGACCCGACGATACAGACATCGTCCCACCAGATCTTGCTGCGTCGGATTCGCCGCGAGACGAAGCGCAGCACGATCGCCAGAGTGCTCACGGCCACCAGCACCGTGTTGGCGATGAGCTGGTCGCGCACTATGGCATATTCGAAGACATTGTAGAACTGCATGGCCATGCGAACACCTGGGTGCCATGCATGATGGGAGACTTGCAAGACAGAAAGGAATTCAATCCCCTCGCGACCAGGAGTCGTGCGGCAATTCGGTACTTGAAGAGAATCCGCGAAACGCACGTGCAAAAATAACCCAACAATGGGGGGGGGGGGGGGGGGGGCAGACACCGATGATCATTGCGTTTTGCATCGCTTCTTGTCACAACAAGCGAAATCCACGGACATCCACCGAGGACGGTTCGGTCCTGCGAGTCAGCCAAGTGGAGCCCGGCATTGGCGGATTGTCGCATGGCACAACGGTTTTTGGCAGAGATTGGCGTGGCTAAACATGGCCAGACAGCCTAGACATGTCAAGGGGCAGAGCCAAAACCACCGGCGCTGTCAACCATGTGGATCGTCCGCTTGTCCCGCAGCCAATCCCAACCCTAACAACCAAAGGCGTTGCCCAGCGTTGCCCAGCTCCACCACGCCATGTCAATCTCAATTCCAATTCTGTCTGCAGGCCGTGACAGCGCCCCATTTTTCTTGATCCTGCACCAGCCTGCACTTGCCTGCTCGGGCTTTGTTCGCCCCTTAGCCTCGGCGACTTAGCAGTTATTTCATGCCGCCCCCCCCTGCAGCGGTTCCTCTCCCTCGGGCTTTCCTTCCAAACGAACCACAAGCTGATTTCTCGACAATAATGACTGCCGCTAAATCCTATGACTACGTGGTTGTCGGAGCGGGGACCAGCGGGCTGGTCCTCGCCTCCCGACTCACTGAGGACGCCGACGTCAACGTGCTCCTGATTGAGGCCGGAGCCAACCGCATGGGCGATCCGCGCATCGAAACCCCTGGCTTTTTGAGCACGTTGTATGGAAACCCTGACTTCGATTGGGATTATATGAGTGAGCCGCAGGTGCGTAGCAGTACATTGTCTCCGTTGCGTTTTTGACTGTGACCATACTGACCATGTAGGCAGGTCCATGTGAATAACCGCCAGATCGCCCAGCCGCGCGGTCGGGTGGTAGGGGGCACGTCGGCCATGAACTTTTCGGTGGTGATGTACCCCTCAGAAAGCAATTTCGCGGCCTGGAAGTCGCTGGGCAACGAGGGCTGGGGTCCCGAGGACATGGCGCCCTACCTCCGCAAATTCCACACCTACACGCCTCCGTCAGAGGCGACGTCGACCTTGCTGTCGCTGGAGCGCTACATGAGCCCGGAGAACCAGGGTACCAGCGGACCGGTTCCCATCACCCTACCGGATGTCTATGGGCCGTTCAACCAGGCCTGGGAAGAGGCCTTTGCCCGGCTGGGCTGGCGCACAGATGCGGATCCCATCGCCGGTCGCAAGATTGGCGCTTTCACCGCACCGTTGACGGTTGATGGGAAGACTGGTCAGCGCGGATATGCGGCAGCGTACTACTCGCCAGAGGTAGCGCAGCGGCCAAATTTGGACTTATTGACTGACACGATGGTGGAACGGGTGTTGCTAACTGAGGTGGATGGGGAAGTAGTCGCGACCGGTGTGCAAGTTAGAGCCAAGGACGGTGAGCGTCAGGAGATTCCTGCTGCACGAGAAGTCATTCTTTGTGCGGGAAGCTTGAATACCCCCCAACTGCTGGAGTTGTCCGGCATCGGCCAGCGCGAGTTGCTGGAGAAGCACGACATTCCAGTCATTCTCGACCGCCCCGGCGTGGGAGAGAATCTGCAGGATCACTGTTTGGCAAGTATCAACTTCGAGGTAGCAGACGACCAAGTGTCCGGCGATATCATGCGAGACCCGAACGTAGTGCAGTCCTTGATTCAGCTCTACGAGCAAACGCGCGGGGGGCCTTTGTCCGGCATGCCCATCAGTATGGCATATCTGCCGCTGGTTGACCACGATGGCCAGCTCTCCCGCGAGAAAGTCCACGAGTTGCTCGACCAGCATCTCAACCAGCAGGCGGCGGATCTCCCACCCGCGCTGCAGAAACAGTTCGCACTGCAGCGGGAGCTGCTCCAGGCAGGTCACAATGCCTCCTCGCAGTACATGCTCATGCCAATCCAGACGCATATGCTCCCCGGCGCCACGACGCTCGCTGACGTCCTGGCCAAGTCGCTGCCGGGCAACTATCTCACTGTGATGGTTCTGCACAACCACCCCTTTTCGCGCGGCTCGGTGCACATCCGCTCAGGAAATGTGGAGGACAAGCCCGTCTTGGATCCGAACTACCTCTCTCACCCGCTGGATCTCGAAATTCTGGCGCGACACGTCCAGTTCCTGGATCAAATCGTCGCGACGGAGCCGCTTGCGAGCATGCTGAAGCCCCACTCTCGGATTCCCCAAGGGGTCGTCGATTATAGCGACCTCGAGAAGACCAAGGAGGTGGTCAAGGAGCGCCTGTACACCTGCTTCCATCCGGCGGGCACCTGCGCCATGATGCCGGCGGAACTGGGAGGTGTGGTCGACTCGCAGCTCAAAATCCACGGAACGCGGAACCTGCGCGTGGTCGATGCCAGTATCTTTCCTCTAGAACCGGCCGGGAATATCCAGGCCACCGTTTATGCGATGGCTGAACGCGCGGCCGACTTGATCCGGGCGCACTGAATACTGAAAACAATGTACATATTATAAGACTTAATCCGCCATGGGAACGAGACCCATAGATGAACTGGTTGTATGATGTCCGTGAATGGAAAATGGACTGTCTTGGCTACGGAACTTCGGACGCGGCCCGTTGCGACCGGGCAGTAGGTTTATTGCGATCATCCATGAGGATCCTTCGACGCCCTCATTCCTAGTTCTGCCTAGTCGCTGGCTTGGTGCCTTGTAGTCTCCACTGCACACAGGCACACAACTGGTAGAGGGTGGACAGGATGGGTGTGGCGATACCTCTCCTCTGTGCCTCGCGAATTACCTCGCCCATGATCACTTCATGCTCCAGAAAGTTGCCCTAGCAATCAATGAGCCCATGTCTACTTCACTTGCAGGCTCGATCACTCACCTTTGCCATATCCTTCTGCATGCTGGGGTAGATCTTCCTCTCCGGGGGATTCTTCGCGAGTGTTGTCGCGATGGTTTCTTGAGGGAGGTCAATGCCGGCTGCGTGTGCGACCGTGAGAACCTCGGTCATAGCAGGAATGAGCAAAGTGTCCAGTGCGTTGCCGGCAATCTGAAGATCACCGGTGCTCAGCCCCGTCAGCGCAGAGATGGGATTGAAGGCTGCGTTGTAGACCAGCTTGCGCCACCGCTCTCGCTGCACGTTCGGTTCGTGATAGCAGTTAGTCTTTCCTCCAGCGCTGTAGATTTCCACAAAGTGAACTGCCGCATTTGTTTGGGCATCGACCCGGTCGGACGGACCACCGAAGGCGCCGATCTGCAGGTTGTCATGGTCGATTTGTTCGATCACGCCCGGGGCGATTTCG